ACTATCAAAAAAAAATTGATCACCCATTAATATTATGAAACTTTTATTTATTTATTTGGGTATGGGTATGCCATTAATATTTTCCTATTTAATTAATTTTTAACAGCTATTTAGTTAATTAATCCGCAAAGAAAAATGGACTTACTTTAAAAGGTTAGTCAAATGTTTTTATTTATTATTTATTTTATTACGTTGTCAAACTAGTTATCTATGTATTCTTATTATAAAAATTTAATTGTATTTATAATTGAGGAGATATTTCCGCCAAAATATAATAAAAAGATAAACAGAAATGTTAGAGTAATTTAATTATTATTATTACTATTATTTTTACAAAGAATTAACTCATTCCTTAGGTATTTTGGACTCTTACATGATTTGTAAATTTTGAATATTTGCAATCACCTACAAATCACACATATCAAGTTCAGGCAATTCCGTATGTCTTGAGAATCTAACCTAGGACGTCAAGATTTACAACTGAGGAACTTACACTTTGTTTGATATAAAATGTTTTCCAATAAATAAAATAAAATGTTTTTCAGCAGAGAAAATTTTGAGAAAAAATTATTGTTCATAACTACCTAATTTTCTCATAAAATTTTCCTATAAAAAAATCACCGAAATTTTGATTTCTCAATAAAGCTTTATAAACTTGCAATAATACTTTTCTTTTATGGTAATTTATATGCTATTTAAACTATAACATCATAATTTTTCATAATTTTCTTGAAATTTTTTCATGTTAATCAAATACACAATGAAAATTTTATTTCCTTTTATTTACTTCACTCTTTTCCTTTTTTTTTCTTTTTTACTTTCACTTTAATCTTTAGTTTCCATCTAACCAAACCGAAATGTTTTTGTACGAAAACAACCATCTGCCTTATTTTCTAGTGTTCTTTGACAAATAAATACATGGAAATAAATACATAGATCTAGAGGGGGATGGATGAGGCATCATCCCTAGGCTTCATTTGGATTGATGAAATTGGAAGCCCTTCAAAATGGGCGGAAGAGATGAAAGGAAAAAAAAAAAAAAACTTACAAATATGTAATATCAATTTTAACCTTTAACCACTTACAAAATCATTTGTTAAACCCAATTAAAATTCTATCACACATATAACGTACAAGAGTATATTGGTAATATATATATATATATATATATATATATATATATATATATATATATAAACTCTCATTTCCTAGCTTCCTTCCAATAAAAAAATAAGAAATGTGGTACATCATTCATCATTTCGATTATCATTTTCATTCAATCAAACAAAAAGTAAGAGAGACTCCTTCCCTTTCTTAGAATACCTCATCCATCCCTCCTCTCCATGATAATTAATTGGTTAATATTAGAGCATGATAATCTTAACATTTACAAAAATAAAATTAAAGATATTTGGATCCCATCTTAACATTAGAGCATCATTGTAAATTGATTAAAATAGTTTTTTTTTTTCTTTTACTTTTTTTTTAAAAAAAACAAAAATGCTATCATTTCCTTTCTTTTCCTATATAATTTATCCAAACATGAATACAAGTCATTATTATTTTTTCTTTTATGTCATAACTAATGTTTCTTTCTTTTTATTTTCCCTCCTAATTATCCGACTCAAGCCCTAGACAAGGGAATGCGTAACCCACACTTTTTATTTGGTTGAATGAATGGTGTGATAGAATGGATGGATGTGGGGCCCCATTTTTTTTTTTTTTTTTTAATCAAGGTAGGGAAATGAGAGTTATATATTTGTTTACCAATATAACCTCATTATTGTTATTTATGTGTGAGAGAATTTAATAAGTGATTTTCTAAATAATTGAAGGTTATAATTGGTAGTACATAATTGCAAATGAGTTTTTCTTTCTTTCCTTCCTCTATTCCGCCCAATTTTAGATGGATAAAAATAATGGAAAAGGAGGGATGATTCCCTTCATTCCAACCCAGCAAGAAAAGATTGCTTGCCTCTTCTAACATTTCTTAATCCTTCATTCCCAACCAAACATAAAAAGCGTAAATTTTGATTCAACACTTTCAACACTTTTATTTTTAATTTCAACACATTTTAACTTGAAGTTATGCGTTGAGCTAAGATTTAAATTTATTGAGCGCATTGGTGATAATTTTATAATAATATCCTTTAATAAAATAGTACTATATTTGATATATAATAGTAGCCTTATAAAAGAAATGGTGAAACTATCTTTATAAAAAATAAAAAAGGACAAAATTATCTAAGAAAAAATTGTTACTTGAAATATACCAGCTCTCAATTCTAAGTAGAAGTGCTTCACTCAAAAGATTTATTGAGCTAAAAATCGATAACTATTATAAGTGTTCTTAATGTTACCAAACACATCTCAGCACATTTTTTTTAAGAGCCCGTTTAACATTGTTTTTTTTTAGTTAGCACCAGGAACTCACCTAGGCAGGGCCCCTTCGGGACCCACCCTAGGCTACAAACTTGGAAGTGCAGAGCCTCGCCCCAAGGATACACCGGGCCGTTTAACATTGTTGTTAGAATAAAAGAAGCGGTTTTGTCACAGATTGGCGAAAAATATATTAGGTATTTGACAATATTTTTAAAAAAACTTGTATTGCTAATTTTACAATAATATCCTTTAATAGAATGCTATTATATTTTATAGGGTAAAGTACAGCAATATCTTCTGAGGTTTATCAAAAATATATTGTTACCTATTTTTGGGATAATGACAATTCTTGAAGATTTAAAAGTGGACAAAGGCACCCCTTAAAGCTAACTGGCATGAAAAATTGACCAAATTACCTTTTTGACCATTTAGTTGAACTTTTTAACTTTAAAAGTTAATAAATTGGATGAAACTACCTCTTATGAACAAACCGCCACAATGCTAGGAATATATATATATATATAGGTAGGCTCTCATGCTGTCCAAAAGAACGGATTTTTTAGCTAATTAATAGTCAAATAGTCAATTACACATAATACTTTATCAAACTTAACCATAATTAATAATTGTTACCTTAATAGTCAATTTACCATATTTAGTGAATACCTTTATTCAATCTCTCACCTTCTTAATCTCTTTCATTTTCTTTGCAAACTAACAGTCAATTTGTTTATAAATTTGTAATCATTGCTTATGAAAAAATCCCCCTAAATTGAAAAGAAAAAAAATTAAAAGAGCAAAAAAAATAAAAAAGCTTATTTACGAACCCTAAAAAATTGGTATCCTTTGAATCCATGAAAAAAGCTTATTCAGGAATTATTCCACACTTCGTTCTCAATTTGTTCTTTTAATTCAGCAATGCGATCTTAGTTATTTTCGATTTGAAATTAAGCATCATTTGGAAACTAATTTAAGAATTGTCCCACATGTATTTAGAGTACAGGGAACCAATTGGCATATTGGAAGCATATGATAGATTAACGGCATGAGAAGGAACTTCCAATTTACATTGTAAATTGATAAATAAGGTTTAGTTTGATATACCTGTGCAAGTAATATTATGAATTGCTAGACATGTAGTATTAAAGTTCTTATTAATGATGATCTAAATTGGAGAAACTGTGAAGTGGTAAATGGGGGGTGTGTGTGTTATGTGCACTTGACATGCCTTGCCAAAATGTTTCTGCATGATTATTTTCAACCACCGAAAAAAGTAAAAAAAAAAAAAAGTTGAGTAATAAAAATAGTTTTTGAGATATTTTAAAATTTTGAACGTGGATTTTCTGATAATATAAAATATTTTCAAAATTGGGATGATGAGATTGGATATTTAATTGTATTTGTGCATAAAATTTAGAAGAAATTGTAATGCGTGAAAACTATAGTAAATTGACTATTAAGGTAACTACGGTAAATTGATTATTAAGGTAATAAATATTAACTATGGTTAGGTCTGATAAAGTAATAACGTGTAATTGACTATTTGACTATTGGTCTGCTAGAAAATCCGTTCTTTTGGACCGCATGAGAGCCTTCCTGCATATATATATATATATGCACACATCATTAATAAATTGGACGAAAGTACCATGTGTGAATTAGTAACAAAATTTTTGGTAAAAAAAAAAAAAAAACATTTGTTTTCATTCTGCCACAATTTTCCAAAATAACAAAATTGGTAATTCATAATTTCTCAAAATAACAAAATTGATAACAAAACTGCATATTTCTTTTGCTGTAATAAAATTTTAATTTCTTACAAAAAGAAGAAAATTTGACCAATCTAAAATGGGGGTTACTTATATCTCTCAATGTTATTCAATTTTGCCTTAAAAAAATTGTAAGAGATTATGGATGTGTTATCTAACCTTTGAATTTTCTTTACAATATTTTTTTGTAAAGAAAACTCCATTTTAGTAAAAAAAACAGGATTGAATTTTTTGTTAAAAAAAATACACGTCTAATATTTAGCAATTCACATGTTGTTACAAACAAACTTAAATACAATTTTTTGAAAATAAAAACACTTATAAGCAGTTGAAAAATAATTTCAAATGAGTTCTAAGTAAGAAAGCTTGTAAATCCCAAACGGGCTCAAAACCCAAATAAATCAAAATCCATTTCCGCTAAATTCATTTTCAATCTAGGTTCCACAAACAAGATAATTCACCCTTTTAAATACAATTTGAGGAAAGAAAAATTATTACAGTCCATTTTCTCCGCCAATCATTAATTATTGTGCAAATAAATGCATTAATTTTTTACTTTCATGACGGTTTGTGATTCGTTAGGGCAAATGGAATTAAGACCTATTAGGCAATTAAAAATATTAAATGATGTTGATACATTTTATTTCGTGGCACCTTGTGATTGGCAATTTGACAGCAGACTGGAGGAATAAAAATATGGACCAATCAAGAAAATAAAGAAAAGAGGTTGTAGAAAGAAAGATCCAAAGTGTCAGCTTCTAAGTGGATGTGGGTCTCAAAGGTCCAACCAAATAAACGCCGCCTCTCATGAGTCATTACATAATTGTTTTCCTGACCCTTCGTGCTTAACATATAACTTTGCACAATCTCTCTTTCCTATTTCACCTCCACTTCTTCATTCTCTTTCTCTCCCCTTTCTCTCTCTCCATAAATATATATATATATATATATATATATATATATATATCGTCAGTATACAACTGAACGTTCTCCAAATCTGACCCACAGCACCCCACACAATTTCCATAACAGAAATGAATTTCGAAACTACTTAAAAGCACGCCAGTCCATCTTCCTCCTTTCAATATCTCCTTTCTTTCTCTCTCCCTATATTTATAAAAATATATATATATAGACATATACATATACATCCGAGTTTGTTGTTGTCTATGAAAGATGGCCCGGAATGTTCGTTTGGCATTTATCTTTGTTATAGGGCTGATTGTCTTTTTGGCTTCTCTGTACCACAATCTCTTCCGTGAAGAACTTTCCGGCGACTACCTCCGCCTGCCTCCGGTCGATTTCAGAGGTCAATACGATAATACAAAGACCGGCGTCAATTACGCCATCCAAGAGGTGCCCAGCCCGCTCACCAGCCGTCACGTCTCCCCCAATTCCGCAATCCAAGAGGTGCCCAGCCCCAGCCGCCACCAGAGCAGTCGTCACGTCTCCTCCGTACCGGACACCATATCCTCCGTCTCGATTCTGTTTCCGGGATGGGACGTTCTCGTCGTCGTCTCGCCGGAGACACCGTTGCCATCAGGTACCGGCGTGGACGACTACAGGTGTGTCTTCCAGAATAACGACACGTCTCCGGCGAGACCAGGAAGGAGAGTCACCTTCAATCGCAGGACGTTCAAGTGCGAGTTGCCGAGAAGAGTCCGGCGTCTCCGGCCTTACCTCCAGCCGATTCTGACACGATCAGCGGAGTTTCCGCCGGAGAGAGTCTCCCCGGCGCCTCAGCTGCATTGGTGGAACTTCCTCGTCTACGAGTCCCTCTCCACTGAAAACGACGTCATCTTGTTCGCCAAAGGCCTCAACAATCGCCAGGGAGTCAACAGAACCCCGACGGATCTCCGTTGCGTGTTCGGCGACGACGGCGTCTCCACCGCCGTCACCACATCAATACAAGAGGTCTTCCGCTGCAAACGGCCGGAGCCGACGGCCGTCCCCTCCTCATCCGGCACGGACGAAAACGAGCGAATCAAAATCTCCCTCGAAATTTCTGAAGGAGAGAAGCGTGTCCTGCCCTCCCTGGCCTACCACGCCCCGCGGCGCAAGTTAGCAAGCCAGCAGCCAAAGTCGCTAATATGCGCGTGCACCATGGTGTACAACGTAGCCAAGTTCTTGAGAGAGTGGGTTGTTTATCACTCCAAAATTGGGGTTGAGAAGTTCATATTGTATGATAATGACAGCGACGATGATTTGGAAAAAGTGGTTGAAGAGATGGTTCGAGAAGGTTACAATGTCAGCACATTGTTTTGGATTTGGCCAAAGACGCAAGAAGCTGGATTTTCTCATTGTGCTATATATGCCAAGGACTCGTGTACTTGGATGATGTACATTGATGTTGACGAGTTCGTGTACTCTCCCTTATGGTTGAATTCATCACAACCGTCAAACCAGATGCTATCATATCTTTTGCCCGTTTGGAATCCTGATATCGGACAGGTCATGATGAATTGTTACGAATTTGGACCGTCGAATCAGAATTCACATCCGGTGTTGGGCGTGACACAAGGGTATAATTGTCGAAAATTGGGCGAGAATCGTCACAAGTCTATTGTGTTGTTGGAAGCAATAGATGATTCTTTGCTTAATGTGATCCACCATTTTCAGTTGAAGCAAGGGTACAGGTCTAAGAAATTCGGAACTCACAAAGTGGCGGTGAACCACTACAAGTACCAAGCGTGGCCTGAGTTCAAGGCCAAGTTTAGGAGGCGGGTGTCGGCCTACGTCGTGGATTGGACAAGGTCAGTGAACCTCATGTCGAAGGACAGGGCACCGGGACTAGGGTCCGCCCCGGTTGAGCCCCAGGGGTGGCCTCAGAAGTTCTGTGAGGTGTATGATGATAGGTTGAAGGACATGAGTCGGAGATGGTTCGGGTTTGAGTCACCATCAGGGCACCAAATGGCTTGGCAGAGATGAAACAGAGGCTTAAATTAAAACCCCCCAATTGATGCATTTTAGGTTGGTTATTGACTTGTGAGGGTCATCTCCGGTTCCACCATTTTTAGGGTTTTAATTGGTGGTGCATTGTACACATGCATATAAAGAAAGAATACAGATATGGAAACAAAGTAGGGTCAAAGTTTTGAATTGTTTTTATTTTATTTGTTTTACCTCCCTATATTCTGCTTAGGTTAGGGGAGAAAGCAAATTCTTTTCTTGGTTCAAAAGGAAAATTTTCTTGTTTCAAAAAAAGTTTGCGTGTATGTAGAGAAATGAAATACCATATTTTAATATTATTGATGACTAAGATTGGCTTATAAGTTGAGTGCACAAATTATTATTGATTAAACTAATAACAGCATGCCACATTACTAATTTCATGACCTAATAAAGTGATTTGTATAATTGTATGATTCATTCTGTAATCTATTTTGGTCCACTGGCTTGGTTACAATGCGGCATTATCTATAATTTAATTATTCTGTAATTTAATTGAGGCTTTCATATGTGGATTGGAGCTTTAGGTTAATTAATTATGTAGAATGTTTTACTTTGGTTCAATTTTGTAGAGTTAGAGGTTATAATCTTCTAATTGTGTTTTTGAGTGTTATAATAAGTTCTGTTATGGCATTCTCAAGTATGTTCGGTTGTATAGAATTAAAATAGGTGAAATTTGAAAAAAATTAATTCATATTTCTTTGTTATATTTTGTAAATTTCACAAATTTTAATTCCATATAACCGAATACATCTCAATATTTTAATTTTTGTAAATCTTAAAAACGATTTCAGTATTACAACATTGTTGTTGATCCTGAGAGGTGTGTAAGTGAGCAGTATCCTTTCAAAATGTCAACTATCCTTTTTACTGTTGGTACACATATATATACCAACAATATTAGGTCCACACACACACACACACACATATTATATATAGCCACCTAAAGGCTACCTCTCACAGTTGAGCAACCCAAAGGGTGGTGGCCTAAGAAATTGAAGTGAGGTATAGGATGATGTGTTGAAAGAGTTGAGTCGGAGATGTTTGGGCATTGAGTCACCATCAGGGCACCAAATGGCTTGGCAAAAAAGAGTCAATAAAGTTTTTAATGGTTTCACTTCTCTCTCTTATTATAGTTTCAGTGTGACCTTTATTCCTATTTAGTGTCAAAAATATATATGTATATGTATATGTATATATATATATGTATATATATAATTTCATTTAACATTTTAGTTCTCTTCATAATTGGTGTGAATGGAGTTGGGTCCAGTTCAATAAAAGATTGATACAAAACCCTATCAACATTTATATCATTTTCCTTTTTATAATGTGTTTTATTTTCAATAAGTTTCCATTTAGTATTGGACAACCCCAAACAAGTGGGATGTTTGAGGTAATCTTTTTTTATAATGATAAATGTTATCATATTGTCAATGTTTCTTAATTTTGTGGCACTAAAAGAAAAAAAAAATTGGCTACATATATCTGTTTCGTCATATCGGCCCACACGTAAGAGTCCAATACTGTTACAAACATTTTTAAAAATTGATTAATTTATTCACACTGATGTTCGTTCGAATCTATTATATCAACCATCAATAACTATGCATATATCTAAATTAATGTCAAGATATGTACATGCATGCCTAATAATTTACACACGTACCTCATAATTGAGGAAATCATCACACTCATTAAACAGCTGCTCTTGGTAAAGAAGCTCTCTCCGCGACTACTACTTCTCCTCCTCATTTTCTATTGATATTTGTTATCGGATACAAAAAGTAATTGTTTGCTATACACATTTGGGAATTATTTATTTATTTTTAAAAAAAATTAAACCCTTTTTTCCTTTGTATTTTTACGATTTATAAATCACGCGTGTGTGGATTTGACTAAAAGCCGCAGTCGATGAAGGATGGAAACATAAAAGAAAATTAAGAATTAAGAATTGCAAAGCACATATTTTGAGTCTAGGACAAAGAAAAGAATAATTATAATAGGCCGTGAAAAGTTGGAAAAATATAGAACAGTCGATGAAGGATGTGCATTCAATAAAATGATTTGAAAAAAATAAAAAATTCAGATCAAAGAATTATTCTCTTAGATTCCTTATTTTATTTTCTGGTGTTTAGCAAATATTTAAGTTGAAAGTTATTTTTGTTAAATTTTAATACTTTTTTTCTTCATAAATATTTTATGACAATCAAATATCAAAATAATAATAAAAATATTATTTATTTTATATCCAAACAAACAAATTAATACAAAAAATGTAAACTTAAAACTTTGAGTTATAGAAACATTCTATGTTGTGGGGATGAGAACATGTTCCGTAACAACACAAAACAGTTTGGGGATTTGGGAGAATTTTAAATGTTGATAAGAGAAATGCTAAGGATAATGTTAACTTTTGTTATTGGGTACATTTTAAACTCATTAAATATTTGTCTCCTTATTTAATGAAATACTAAAAATATGCATTTTTTAGACAAATACCATTTTAAGTCTTTATTCATATGATATATATATATATATATATATATATATATATATATATATAGCTAACTTTCTTTTTTGGCAACTAATAAAGATTTTTTTCATTAATATTAATTCAAGGCAACTATAGTTCACTGTTTAATAATACGAGTGGATTTTGATGGGTGAGCGTAAGACTTTAAAGCACACCAAAGAAGAAAAAACTGTGCAATCAAAATTAGAGTTTATTTTGCATCTTTGCATCTATGAAGATAACACGGTAAACACAAAATATATAATTAAGTTTTTATTTTTGTCTTTGAATCGATGACGGTAAGAATGAAAAAAAAAAAATTTGGTATAGAGTCATGCACACTAATACTGAAAGAGTACTTTGTATTTAAGAATTACAATGCAATATTAAAAAATTTACTTATAATAATACAATATTATATTATAGAAACTCTATTGAAATGGAATAATAATATTATTAACTTACTAAATAAAAAATTAAATTTTAAAATCTAAATAGTTTTTTTTTTTTTTTTTTTTTTTTCTTTTTGTTTAGTAGATATTTATTTATTTATTTATTTTATGAATAAATTACTCAAAGCACATTTTTATCCATTAGTTTAATTAGAACATAACATCTATAATAATAGGTTTCTCAAATAGTAGGTAAGTTTTTTTTTAATATTACATCAAACAGTTGAAATTTTACATAATCTATACAATTATTATTATTATTATTATTTTATATATATATATTTTTTATCACGTGCACCATTCAAGTCTGGAACCTCTATAATAATAGGTAAGTTTTTTTAACTAATTGGAACACAAACTTTATTATTTACCAGGAACCTCTATAATAATAGGTAAGTTTTTTTTAACTAATTGGAACACAAACTCTATAATAATAGGTAGGTTTTGATAAGGGATAGATATTATAATAAAAAGTTATCGTAATTATATATATACACACACCCATATAAATATACTACACATAAGAATCAAGACAGTTAAGAGAAGAAAATTTTAAAAAGGTATTTTTGTCTGCAGAAGATATAGTAATTAATGAAGTTAAAAGTGGCCAATAACGACGACGCAAAAAGGACAGTAGCTTCCTCTATTGATAATCAGTACAAATTTAACAAAATCTGACACAAATTTGGGATTTGATTTATTGGTTAAAATATTGGAATAAGCCCAAAGTAATGCAAGACTTTAGGTAACATGACTGATGTATGTGTACTGTGTGACGATCCAATGCCATCAAGCATCCCCTAGCACCTTAACAGGGCTTATTTCTCGACAAACAGTGTGGAGGAATAGGAGCCCAGTTTTGGTGAAAAGATTGCCCAAGTCATATCAAATGTAGCATTACTCAAATTATAATTCATCTGGAGTAAGAAAAAAAATTTGTATATTACCGCTAAATTGACCCGCCACCATTACGGGATAAATACAATGCCTGTCTGTCCCCTACTAAATACAACGCTGAAATCACAGGACCCAACGGAATTAGGAATTAATTGTCCGAACAAATCAAAGAGTAGAACTCTACCCAGTAAACCCACCACCGTTGTCGTCGTCGTCGTCGTCGTCCATGTTGGATACAACAAAGTATCCTAATCCACCGCCACCTATCTAACACCCATCTCCCTTTTAGTCCACTCCAATTTGCCATCAAATCTCCAACAGCATAACTACTTCCACTATGAGAGTGAGTTGCCATGGCAGTGGACCTGCTAGTAAGGGAGGTCAAACAATTTCAGAAAAACCAATATATGTCTATATGATCAGAAATATAGTGTGTCTGTGGCATATATATGTGCAATACCCAAAAGCAGAAAAGAATGGCTTTGTGTGAAGTACCATCATCACGCATAATACTCGATGATAGTTTGGGGGTCATAGTTTAGAAACACGTTGATGGTATGTTATTTTAGTAGAGAATAAAATTGTATGGGGTCATAAGAAGAATGGTGTTTAAGTGAAGCAATTGGAGTGTGTCACTTCAATGTTAAAAAGATGAAAACAGAACAGAGAGTAGATGCTGATGTATGGCAATAAGAGAGTGGTCTCAGTATTGTTTATGAAATTAGAATTTCATTAAGGCTAGCATTATATGGTTCCATCACTTTTGTGAGGCCAAAATGGCTATTCTGAAAATTTTAATTGCTTAAGCAAGCACAATTCGTTCAGTCAACCAACGGAACATGAAGGGGGGAATCAGTTATCAACAATAAAGCAGGAGGGGTGTCGGTGCCATTACAAAAAAATCTAGCTTTAGTAAACAAGTACCTTGGATGAGGTGAATATGATTTAGCCAAGGCCAATACGCACGACGAGCTCCAATGCTAATCTGGCTGCTGGGGTGAACCAATACCAAGACTAGAACTAGGCGAGCCAGGAGACTGGAATCTGACATTCAGGTCAGGTGGAACTGGAAGAGAATAAGGTCTATGGTGAGGTGACAATCCCTGCCAAGGGGATTTCCTAGAAAATCCCACTTCAGGTGGTGTGTGAGAATCAGGACTGCTACCTGGGGCTGATACATTTCCAAAATGAATACTTCTAGAATTTCCTGGCAACTTGGGCTCTTCTGAAATTATATGATTTTCAGCCATTGGAAGAGTCGAAAAATTATCTCCCCTAGAAACCAAGCCAAACATTTGAGAAGGCACTGAAGCTTCTTCCATTCCAGACTGTCCAGTGGGCCTTCCTAATCCTGTCATCCCCGTTTGAGATGAAAGACTATAACCAGAGCCAACATTTAAACCATTCCTATCTGGGTGAAGTACTTTTAGCTGAGTCTGGAACGAACGTGTAGGTCTTACCCCATCTACACCAGTCTTCACTACAGCAAACTCATTTTGCAAATTTAGTCCACCAACACCTATAACCATATTGTCTTTACCAGGCGAAGAAGACTTGTATGTGCCAACAGAATTTAAGCCAGGGGTAGATGGAGTTACGGGTCTGCTTGGACGGCCATCGCTGAATGAGTTCTTCACTACAGCCAACTCATTTTGCAAAATTTGTCCACCAACACCTATAACCATATTGTCTTTACCAGGCGAAGAAGAACAGTATTTACCAGTAGAATTTAAGCCAAAAGTAGATGGTGTTACGGGTCTGCTTGGACGGCCATCGTTGCATGAGTTGCTTAAAAAATTCTGCTTCTCAAATGATAAAGATTCGGGCCGTTGTGATGACTCATTTACTCCCACCCATCCAGGACCAAACTTGAGTCCAGTAGGCAGAACACGCTCAATTTTCTTCAAAGCAATTTTCCAAACAGCAGGACCAAGATTTGAAGCAAATTTTGCTAGGCTTCTTGCATAACCATGCTCATATTGTAGACCTACCTGAATTAGGCCCAAATAAAAAAACAAAAAGAACAGAACATGCAGTTAGGTTAACATGTGTTACCAAACACTTCGGGTTGAAAATAGTTACCATGCATCTAGCAAAGCTGTTTCCAGCTCCCAATTAAGAACTAAAACAAGTGTATTAACTTTGTCTAGATACATACTCCAATCAATTGTTTGTCATGTCCATTGAGGGTAGTCAATACAGAGGGATTATGACCAAAAGAAGAAGGATGGAATTGCTTGTAGGTGGCACGCCTGTTCTCATCTGATATAAATTGTTTCTTCCCATGTTTCACCTCGGCCCTCAAAATGGAAGCTGCAAACCAAAAAAAAATGACTTTTTGTTTCACTGAGGTTGAAGTATAAAAGGAAAAAATTGACAGACAAATATGGAACTTAGCAGCAAAATACAGTGGATTTAAGTCCTAAACCTGGAAATTCATCATTCCATTCAGACAATGAGTGGGTGTAAGTTTCATTATGGCGTGACCGGTGGAAATCTCTGACCAGTGCATCCATAGGTCCTCTATTTAGATTGTAAGAGTTGGACCCAATGGCATTATCTCCTCCAGTAGCAACAGTTGCATCTGAGGAAATCTCAGGACCAAAACGCTCAAGGGGGGGTCTGCCCACAGACTTTTCCAAGTTCTTGCTTGGTGGCCTGCCTCTCCTCACAACTATTGGTCGTGGTTCACCATCATCACTAACTTGTTTCAAATTTTCAAAGTCCCTCTTTGCAAGCTCATGTATGGACCGGGCCTAACAAAAAATGCCCAACATTCAAAACAACTTAAAAGTAAATTTATTAGGGAAAAATGGAATGCGTTCAGACTTCGCCGCACCTGTCGAAAGTAAACAGTGTCTGGAGCATTATACTGCATTGCATTTGAACATATCAAGAGAATGTCAGCCTGCAGATATTAAATAGTGAGTGAGTTCAGAATCCTAAAATATCAACATCAAATTTTAGAAAGAGAAATCACCAAAATACTCGGGGGGAAGGTAACATGACAAAGATATTGCTTTAAGTAAAACTCTGATTCGATGAGTTCATGGAAAAAGCTAGCTAAACTATCACAAGTTTTGATACATAATCTTGAAATAGCAACACAAGCTACAAGTTTGTCATCAATTCAAACTGCTTTACTCTTATAGACTAACCCAAATTGTAACCTTTTATAGTTTAAAGCTATACAAATATTGAATGGGAATATCATTTCATCAAATGTATCTTAGATTACTAAAAAATTAATCGAATGATGCTAATATAGCACATACAAAAGGTCATAAACATTTCAACGGAGCCACGCTCCCTTTTTTTATCAATGATGTTCTCAATAATAATATAATTGTACTTCCCACATTAGGGAGATTAGAGCTGTGTTACCCGGACTATCCTATTCCCCTCAACAAACCTATGTTGACACATCACAAGAAGGGTATGTATGGGATATATGTCCGAAACACGTAACCAAATCAGATGCCAGGATCCTCTAATCTTGATGATGGAAGAAGAAGAAAAACTCAAATGTGATAGCAAAGAAGGATTACCTAATTTTTAGATAGACGGAATCTCTCTCTCTCTCTCTCTTTTACCCACTTAATTTTGATTATTATCGAGTTCATTTTTAAAGAATAATAGCATAATGTTATATTTTAATGTAGCATATTGTGTTGTTAAGTGTGCAAGACAGGTTTTTTTCAAGCCAAATTTATGTATCCTAGTTAGGTATCTAACATGGTGACACCTCATGGATAAATAAAAAATAAATCAATTGTTCCAAACACTCCCCAGTGCTAGAATTATGCTGTACGAAACACATCTTAAGGAACCATGCCCAACACTCTAGAGAACAATATAAACAAACATGCAACTTACAGTTTTTAAACAAAGGGGTAGAATGTAATCATAAGGATAAAAATACATTAATTGAGGGTAGCATTTTTATAATCTTAGTGCATAAGTTCAGATAATTAATCAAAATTATATGCTTGTCTTATATAATAAATGTATGCATCTAATTATCTGTATATATTGACAAATTCTCACCATGTTTGTGTCCTGTTCTTAAAATTTCTCATGTCAGTGTATCCACACATATTGTGTAGTATCCGTACTTAATTAAATTATTGAGCACCAACCATTGAGATACTATAGAAGATGGTACACTGCAAGCAGATTACAGACCTTACAGAAGCACATCACACGTGTCGGCGTAAACTAAAATGGTAGTTAATTTCTGAAACCTATACAGATAGAAATCAATATAATTATAATTGGTCACCTTAAAAGTAGTTCTTGCAATGCTTATCTTACGATAATTTTTTTCTTTTTTACTTTTTTATGAAAGGAAAAAGAAAAAGTTTCAACACCTCAAAAGAGGGAGAGAATGTTCCAACAAAAAGGCTATTGTTTACATTCCATTGCTTGTTAGATGAACAACAGATAATCACAACAAAATGAAGTAATCTGACTGAAACACAAGAGAAAAAACAACAAAGTCGTACAGGGAGTCATATTCCCTGATCTTCATTCAAATACTACTATTTCCATTGAAAGGTATACAACCAACAAATGTCTTTAGTTGTCCCCTCCATCATGTCCAAGGGTAAGTTAAGGCACAGCCAGTGCCCCTGCTTCAACCACCCAGAGTAATATTAACTAGATAACATTATAGTGCATTTAGATGCAATAAACGGTAGATGGCAGACATGGAAAAGATTAAAATAATCCATTAACACCATGATCACAAATCAAGCGACATAAATATATTGTAAGATCGATTAAGCATGCATTACATGGCAGTGGAACATTCACATTCAACCGAACTTTCAGATCCCAATTCCTCGTTCATTATATATGTCGATGGATCTTACAGTACTCAAAAGCACATCAAATTTCAGACCACCACCAAGATCCAGTAAGAAAATATATTTTGATCTTCTTTCCACCTCCTCCTCCCCCAGATTCTCACATCTCCCTTCATCACATATTGTGGCTATTCTTTTCAAGGAAACTGTATAAATACTATTCTAAAGTGCCTGCATCATTTATCATTAATCAATCTCTAAAAGTAGGGGGTCATACAATTTGAAGTGACCAACAGAGTTCTTGATCCTTAGTGAAAGACATGCTGAAGTCAATGCAAAAATCCACATATATAATAATTCTACTGAATGTGCATTTATAGACAACACATACAAATGCTGAAAGCTGAATATTTCAGCATTGACCAGAAACAAGTTGCAGCTAAGCATTTCCCAGAAACTGAAAGAATTATTCATGAACTTATACACTGGAATAAGCTCTACATCTACACTAGATGCCATGACAGAAACAATATCCAGCAACAAACACAAATTTTATTTTCAAACACAAAGTTCAAATACCCAAAACATAGAGTCAGACAGTCAAAAACCAACCTCAAAATCCTCTAGGTTGGAATAAAGTCCCTCATTTAATTTCTGCCTCACAGTCCCAAAATCCATTGGATGCTCTATAATTTCATGGTAATCAGGAAGCTGCATAACAACTGTTCCAATATCAATTTAAGAAATGGGAATTCAAGTAGCACCAGTTATAATTGTCCAATTTTTTGGAACTCAAGGTAGCATCAGCAAGCACCTCATCTGGATCTACAGGCTCTGAGAATACCCCATAAGTGTCCTTCCTGCAGTTAAGTTTAAAGAACCAAAAAGCTTATTGCTAAAATCCAAATTAATAGTACAATGGAAAAGAACCTATAAGAAGTCGGAAAAGAAAAAACACACTTTTGAAGCCTGTCAAGGATGAACAGAACCAACTTTTTGTCTGGCAAAGGTGTTGTGGGGCCCGACTCCATTGGCATCCCTGCCCTCAAATAAAAGATATAATTAAATTTAAACAGAATTAAAATACTGGGAATTTGAAACAAAATTCCTTTTGTCAAAGAATGGAGTTTTGATTGGAACCATGTATAGATTTCATTGATTCAGAAAGCTTTTGACCCTGCAAATAGATGAGGTCAGACGAAATTTTTTAATTAGAATTAAACCTAGTGGTTATTGAAGAATCACAAACAACGACAGTTGCAGTATAATTGAACACACATAGAGCAAGTGCATGTGATAATAACTGAGAATAATTAAAGAAAAGACAAATCTAAACTTTTTCCAAGACATGATGGTGTGTGTACCCACTTTCTGTACATAAATAAAGGTCGCTTAAATACGAACAATCAAGAATAAAATAATAATAGGAAGAATTTATACTGATTAGAAACTGAAAAACTATGACTCAACCAGATTACAAAACATTAAAAAGAATAAATATACAAGCTTTATGTATATATTTCCAAAACCAAAACCAAGTCCAACACATGCACTCAACTTCCGATCTTGGAAGCCACCGAGGGGACCAGAAAAGAGCGTTCTAATTAAGCGCGAAATTCCAAAAGATTCAAATCCCATCAACACACCGTATATTCTAAACAAAACAAAAGAAAATCAAAAATAGAAAATAGATAAAATCGATTCTTTTTCGATTTCCAAATATAGAAGTATAGAGAAGTAACCCATAAGTTTCGAAATCTTTGAAAAGCTAATTTATCGGGGGGAATTTTAGAGATATATATATATACACACACATACACATATATATTTATATAAATTGGTGACCTGATCAGTAGCGATTTCACCAGATCCGTCACCGACGGCATTGATCCTCCGTTTCTTGGCGCGATTTTCAGCATCGGCATTGGAATCAGAAGCGTAAGAAGCCGAATTGAGGGAGAGGGATAGAGAATTGGCGGAGGATCCAGGCTGATGAAAATGTTGATTGGAAGGGGGCAAACGGACGACGAGCTTGACCTTCTTCTCTTTGCGCTCGTCGTCATCGTCTCCGTCGGCCTCAATGAAGTCCGGCGACGGAGAGGTTCCGTCGTCGAAGTTAGGGTTCCGACGAGTGGATCGACGGCTGCTAGGGTTGCTGTTGAAATTAGGTTTGGAAGTGATTAGGGTTTGTTTTTGTTGATTGAGAATGCGTTTTTGGAGATCTAAGACAGAAGGTCGTCCTCTCTTCTTCTTCATCTCCGCTGCTGCCACCTTACCCGTTGTTGGCGTAATCTCTCTTTCTTTCTCTCTCTTTCTCTCTCTTCAAACAGGCGTTATTTTTATTTTTTATTTTTTTCTTATGAACAGATGGAGTTTGCGCGTGAGAATCACACGGAAATCGAAACGACGTCGAGGGGAGAGAGAGCGGGAGGGTCTTGGAACGGGGTGTGTCACGTGTGTTTGAGACCCGTGACTATGGTTGGGACTTGGCCCTTGGGTGTATAAAAAAAGTAAAGGGAATTTTTATAGATATTTTTTTTTCCTTGGCCAATTTTATTTTATAATATTCTAATTTTTTCTTTTTTGTTATTTGGACTTAAATCCTCTTGAAGTGGACAAAAGTCTTTCATTGCAATTCAAGTTTTCGTAAGGGTTATTTGTTGAGCTAATTCTTATGTGTTAAAATTGATTTTGGGAGAATGTTAAAGCATAATTGCTATGTTATTAACTCGTTGGATTATTTTAGTTAACTCTGTGAAATATATGATCAAAGTTGTGCCCGCATAGCCGCGCATATACTCAGTAAAATTCTAATAATTGAGGTTGTGCCAATTATGCTTTAACTTGTACCCCACGTGTAGTTTAAACATTCCAACTGCACGACCATTGCTTCAAAACAGAAGTAGCGAAAACTCGAATTAAAAAGTAATCTAATTTCAATTACCGATGTTGCTACCAGTGGTAAAAATTTCGAAATAAAATTAATATAATCTCAAAATAAAGATGATGCAAATTCAAAATTAATGTGGTGAAATTGAAATAAAAAAAGAAAGAAGAAATCTGATGGAGTCAAAGTCTAATAGTTTTGAAAAAATAAAGTTGACCAAAATGCTGACTTCTGTTCACTGTCACTTTTTGTGCATCAGGTACCACTTTTGTTTTAGATATAGAGATACCACATTTATTCATATAGATACCACTTTTTGCACTTTTTGTGCATTCAGGTACCTGATGCACAAAATGTGGTACCTATTTGCCTAAATGTGGTACCTATGTAAGGACAAACAGTGTTTTTTCATGTCTTTATTTTTTCGAAACTATGGGTCATTAAATAATGCCATCAAATAATATTGGTCATTAGCACCATTTATATGTAATAATCCCTACAGTAGTAACCACCATAAAATAGTGACCACTTTGAATGTGGAAAGAAGGGCGTGATTTGGGCGATTTACATGATTTTGGCGAATCATAATAAAATTGAATAAAGTTGACACGTTTATTTGTGTCGAATTGTGATTGACTGGGACTATAAAAGAATTTCTCAATCCCGTGGTATTGCAAGAAATGGTGTCAAGATTTTGATCCTCAATGAAAACACTAGGATGGAAATTTCTTATTAAACCTTCATGCAGCAAAAATAAAAATAAAATTTATTGACAAAATAATTGTTGGTTGCCATACTGCCATTTTATTGGATTCACACTTGACTATGCTAAATTCCAACCACAACTGATATCAGATGTTGGCACCAAACTTTCACTGGCACAATATCATGGCAAACATTAAAGTTTAAAGTATGGCCTTTAGTATAGCAAACAATGATGCCAAGGCAAGTATGATCACTTTTTTTTTTCCCCACCTCCGGGCACACGCAACATCCCACAAGCCACGTGCAGTGGGCAAGACGGCAAGTATGATCACATTGATCACCAATGAAGTTGTTATAAAGAGGGAAGAAGCATAGTTGCAAGACGTAGCACAAACTTCAGAAGAGAAGCAGAACACAAATCTGGAATGCAGATCATCTTGGTAAAGAAGTCGGTATGAACAACAGTAGTGAGAAAGAGAAGTATTGCATAAGATTGTACTAGTCTTGATCACAGTCCTCACTAGGATTCAAGCATAAATCATGATCCAGACCAATTAAAATTACAATCTTCAACCTATATCAGTTGGGGCCTTATGCAATTCATCCTCTGCTTGCACGTTACGACGACAGAGAGGACTAGAAGCAATTAAAACCGACAACACATTGTCAAAGGAACCAAGTGAGATAGTGTTGCTACATCAAAACTGACCTTATTAATTAGATCAACAAATCAAAAAGAAATTGTAGTAAACACTAAATGAATAGTTCCAATAACTAGTGGTGGAATTAATCTTTCATCAAGAATCAATGGCTATACTTGTTGGCTAGTGCATCCAGTTTCTGCTCAAATGGATGAGTAGGCATCTTGAATTATAATAAGAAGCATAGATAAACTAGTTCCATATGAAGCATTATTAACCAAGTATTATCAAGAAGAATGGCACAAATGAAAACAGTGATTACATATATTATGTCATAAACATGAATACCAGAAGAATCTGAGCTATCGGTGGTAACACCGGAATCAAGGATCCAACAGACGACTATAAAATCGGGTATATGAGCATAAGGTGTGAGATTTACTGCACCCAGAAACCACCAAGAAAACTTTTTGGACACCAAATACATTCAAAAATAAAAATCACATGTAATCGATAATTACATTTAACTAGTTATCTGAAACCCCTAACCTGATTTACGTTGAAGTTGCAACAACTCTGACCTCATTTGCTTATCCAATATGAAACCTGCCATTTCGGCCTCCCTGCATACCTCTTTACACTTCGACACTCTCCCAGAGACCTTGTAGATCGTGAACAAGTCCCGGTAAATGTCATATGTTGGAGTGAGACCTGCCTCCTTAAGTTTGGAGAAATATCTAACAGTCCTTGGGAGATCATTCAAAGCAACTAAAAGCTTTATTACCACGCGATAAGCAGGAAGATCAAATAGACAATTTGAACCTTCCATTTCCCAGACCAGTGTCAATGCCTCCCTGTATTTATTCGCTGAATAATGGCTATGAATCATGGTAGTGTACATAACCACACTTGGACCATCCCCGGATTGTTTGAACCAGTTAAAAAGACTCTCCGCTATTTCAAATTTCCCAAGCTTTACACAGACTTTCATGATAGATGTACAGTCCTGCTGGCTTAAATTCAGATCTTCTCTTTCTCCGAGTTCTTCTAATAAGGTCAATACCAGCATCTCCTTATCTGTGTTCTTTCCTAGTTCTAGTATAAATTTAGCATATATGCTGGAACCCAACATTCTTTTACCATCCTTGGCAAGTAGAAGAAGCCTCCAGGCAAGTTTGAAGCTTCCTCCTTTAATGAACCCCCTTATCATTGCCTCAATCACAGTCCGACTAGCCAAGCTCGTGAACTTCTCAAGGTCGAATGGCAATTTTAACTCACGAGTCCTTGCTAAGACCTCAACAGTTGAAGCCAGAATCCGATCATCCGGGAATAGTTGAGGTTGCTTCTGAGCCCAGGAGAACGTCTGCAGAGCACGGTCTGGAAGACCCATGTGTCCTAACTCCCGGATTGTCAATGATAAGGACCCCTTTCGCAGGAATGGAACCCACTTCTTTAGAACAACAGATGCATCTTCCTCAGAGGGAAGGTTTCTAATTTCCTTGGCCAGATTAATTAAAATACTCGGGTTCTTGTATACTTGCTTGGATAATGATTGCCGAGAAGAAATTGCAGCTGAAGAAGCTCGTTTCTTCGGTGTGGGAAGTCCCAAAGGTCGAAGCTTGTACGGAAGTGGGAGTGGAAGAGGCCTGTCCCTACTCAATTTTCCAGGTTTTTGAGGAATCCTTCCTCTAAAGAGAGATGAGATTGCTTCAATCTCATCTTGTTCCCAAACTGTATCATCATCTTCTTCTTCCTTTTGTTCCTCTTCGTCTTCACTATCCTCAGTTTCAGTGTCATACTGCCCATCAGGCCCAAGACTCTTGTCAATAGAATCAGGTGGTCCATTTTGAATCAAATCTGTATGTGAAGTGGTATCGGTGACATTGAGCGTGTCCTTTTTGAAGAAGGTGTTAACCCCGACGTCTGGTGGAAGTTTGGTGCGTCGAGGATAACGAAGGTTCTTGGGCAGTTTTCGATGGTAAATTCTGGTACTAGATTGTGCCATCAACAATATTCTACATATGCTTGATGGGTGCGTGTCAAATGCAGCTCTGCTGAACCGTTTGACCCCACGAAAAACATGCATTTCTGAGACAGGAAGCAGACAACGGGATGAAATTAAGCTCTCCATGTCTCAATTTTGGATGATTGAGGAATTCAAATGTGAGGTTGCTGAGATTTTGTATTACATGAGAGAGCAATATGTTTCTCGGAAGGAATTGGAAGGCAATCGAGCTGGCGTGGGAATTTCAACAAACAACTGGTGGGCATGAACATAGAGGATGGATATGTACGCTATTACGGAAAAACGATTGGGACTATCAAGGAACTGAGTCTCTCTCTCTCTCTCTCACACACACACACACACACTCACTCTCTCTCTCTCTCTCTCTTCCTTTTGTTGAGTGAGATCAAACAAACACTACCGTTTTTACGGTAAAGGAAAGGAATTTTTCGTCCGAAACAAAAACAGGGCCAATGTGTGATACGGTGCAGAGGTAGGACCAGTAACCAAAAAACCTTACCTTGATATGACACCTTCCATTGTTATTCTAACTCAATTCATTTTATTTCAAGTATTTGTGTAAATGGTGATAATGCCCCCATATTTATTATTTACTGAAGTTAAAGTCTTTATAATTTTTTTTTAAAAAAAATTATGTTGACCAAAATATTAATGTTGACCTGGAAAAATACTATTCACTTTCAAGGTTGTATTACTTTTTGGCAAATATGTATCACATTTTGGGCATGCCGTGTATCATTTTTGTTTTGGGCACAAAAATCCCACTTTTTGTGTACGTAACAAGTACCACTTTTTGTGCGTAAGATACTATTTTTTTGTGCAATATAAAACGTGATACTTGATGACCAAAAATAGTACCTGTATGCACAAAAAGTAGTACCTATGTGTCTAAATATGGTACTTCTATAAGGGTAAACAGTATTTAAGACTTTGACTCTATCAAATGGTAAATATAAATTATTAGCATCATTTATATGAAAATAATCCCTAAGTGTGTAAAAAGGAGAAATACATTTTAAAGAGACAATTTACACAAAAATTTCCAAAGTAGCAAAAAAATTCACTAAAGTATGAATAGTAAGTTTGGTGCCAGTTTGCTAATTCAATTCCGTAATTATGAACCACTTATTATAAAATTTTAAGTGACAAAAAAATCAATGAAAGTTTTAAAAAATGTCAAAGAAATATTTATTTTATAATTACCACTTAATATTTTCAACACTTAAAAATTGATTCTTAAATTAATACTTTTCAGTTCTGCCAAACAGCACTTGGCATGTACCACCTTGCTCTTATTGTTGTTACTTATTTGGCCATTTAAGTTATAAAAATGACAAGCATTCTCATTACCCATTTTTACCGTTATGTTCAAAATTAGTAAATTCACTAATATTTTCAGCACAGAAAGGAGGAGCCTTCATAAGGTCAGCAACTTTGACAAAGTAGTTCCAGTTTCTTGTCCATGGGTTTAGAAATGAAACCTCGCAGTTCCAATATATAAAAGGGAGTCAACACCAACACAATCCTAACATAACACGAATATGATTATTTTTATAGCAGCTGCCAAAATCAGGAGTGTACAAGAAACATAAAAACATGCTGTCTAAATTGTTCCTAACCAACTAAAAAACAAATGACTCCGGGTAGAATATCTCAGGAAACCAGTAAGAACGAACGAGTAACTAGTAATACTTCAGATGTAAAGGAGAAGTTAAATGTGGGAAAAACAATACAAGAAATAGAATATTATAACTTTTGCAGCCAGAGATGAAGGAAATAGATCATGATATGTGCGCAATTGAAATGTCATAAGGAACAACTAGAATGATTCAAATAACATGCACAGCATGCACACATGCACATTTGACATTCCTACCAACAGCCAAAACAATGACAATTAAAACAAAGAAAACCAAAACAATGATAATTCCTACAAAAATATCCCATGACATACAATTACCAAACATTCAGAATCCAGACTCTAAAATGGAACTCGCTATACAATACACAATTTGCTAGTACTGAAATTTAAAAATTTTTGACGATTGAAACTGACTTGTGTTACAGACCTCCAGTGTGGATAAAAGATCTTAAAACTTTCTATAAGACCTCTCACACCATCACCCAAGATGGAAAGCAAAGAAATATATATATATATTTTTTGGAAGTTAAGCAAAGATGATTTACCCATGAACAATAAGGAGGACAAATTGTATTTATATCGCTAAATGAGAAGCCAAAAATAAAAAATAAAGAAGAAGAAGAAATAAATGGGAAGTGTGAAGACTAGGGCATCAGTTATAAAGACTTGTCAACATGTGAACTTACCTGTAAGTTCAGAGATCAAGTGTAAGCCATCATTTGCCATAAGGAAACGCGTGTATATTAATAAAAAAAAATTTGAAACATATACCCATAGTGGAAGAGGCATAGCACTAATTTGTTGCCTTTTATGATTCCAGGTTTAAGCATGTTACACTGGTGCAGGCGATAGCTAGTAACGGAAATATGATTTATGAATAGAAATTTGGTCTAAGCAATGCCACATGATAAAACACGTTGGTATTACTTTATGCATGATATAGTGGAATCACATGATGAGTAGAAAGAACATGAATGTGCTGCATTATCGAATTAAGAAAGATCTGCTATTAGTATCACTCCAACCAAAAAAAATTACAATTCTAGAACATCCCATCCAAGACCATTGGATGGAATGAGCCCTTAAAATTCAAGAATAATGCAAAAAATAATTAATTAATTAATTTAAAAACTAAAAATGAAAACTTAATCTAATTCTTCACTATTTTCTATTTTGGTCTCAAAAATTTTAGAATCAAGTTATGCTGCAATAAGCATAGCCAAAAACTAACTATACAAAAAATCTACTAATAAATTTGTAGTAACCCAAAGGATAATTTACCAAAAATAAAAGTAGCCCACCAGATCTTCATTTTGTGAGATGATTCTTAGGCCGGACGCCTTTGTAACAGATGAATAACCCAAGATCATGCCAGAGCTCAACTTAAATGAGTTTGTTAACCACTAAAATCAAACTGCATACATGACCATTACCATCTATTAACTTAGTACAATCACAATATCAACCATCTACGCAACTATCTCCTTTCATGTCTTCCTAATTTACATGGTAACTCTTTTAGTCTAACAAGAGAATGCCATCACTCACCTTCAAAAGAGAACAAACTAAATTCTGAAAAAAAGTTGCTGCTCAAATTGGTATGTATGATACAATTGCTAGCTTGGAAATATGCATATCTGGAAGTCCTAATGCAGTCGCAACCCAAAAAAGAAACTTCCCTGTTCATCATTCATGAAAAAAGCAAAACCTCTCCACCACCTGAAATGATGCAATCCAAGAACTCCCTAACTTCTTTTGTATCTTTAAAAGAGTAAATATTAGCAAAATCACAATCCAAATATACCAAACCCCACTGATCCTTCTCAAAGCAATCCAACGCCTACTCCAAATCCCACCATACTAATGGCCTTGCTTTTGAAAATTTTTAAGCCAAAATTTTCGATGCCTGTAATTTTTGACAAGAAATGCCTTTGCAAGCATTGCATGCTGCACCAAATAATCAAATGCTGTGGCAAGAAACTCCTAACCAAAACCACTTGTCTTCATCCCCTCTTTATATAGCTTGTTAATATCCAATCGATCCTCTCAATCCTCAGTCAATTTACTAAGGGCAGCAGCTACCTCTCCAAGTTTTGCCAAAATGCTTTCAAGTTGATCTGTCTCATACGAGATGCGACTTCTCTTGCCATGTTGTCTTGATTTGGATGACGTTGCACTTGATGAGATCACTCTTTTACCAATCTCTTTCTCCATTGATGCTTCTTCAGTGCTAATGCCATTATCTAAAGGTACTGACTCAAGCCATCGGTATATTCCAAATGTGTCGTTATCTCTTCCTCCATTGATGATTTACTAAAATTTCCTTTTGCTTTATTCTTACCGACAACTAGAGAGATTTCATCATACATTTCAATATTTTTGTTGAGGTACTTCTCATGACTAGGATTCATCTGTTTTAGATTAAAAAAGAGAGTGACAAAATTTCAAAAACTATAATAGTTCCATATTCATTAAAATAACAACACTGATCATGAAAAAATGCATACCTGAATATGTTCATCATATACAGTTGGATTAACTACTACCATCTTCATATTCTCATCCCATTCAAATCCTGATTTTCAACAAAGTTGGTCTATTGTCGACCATACATTTTTTACAGTTCGAAGACAGTGTTCTACATGATCGGACGAGCATTCAAATCCAAAATGCTCATTTATTGCATTTGCTACTCGATAAAAAGAACTAACTTATACCTGTTATTAGGTTTATTCCCGTTATTCACCTCATCGGCATGCATATTCAATAGCATCCTCTCCATTGGTTTTGTCCATCTAAATTGTTTGGAACCTTCTCCTTTTTTTTTTCCCATGTAGGTCAGTGTCAATATAAGACAACAAATAGAATCATACAATATAGCTAAAAATTAAACATAGCAGACTTAAGTGGTCTCATTGAGATATAAATGCAGTATTATAATTGTCAGAAAAAACACCATTTACATGATAACTAAAACAAAAAGTTGTTGCTCAACTGAGGAACACAACAGATCATAAAACACCTTGAGCGAGATTATATTTTTCTTCTACATGAAATATAATATAAGGTGGTGAATGAATCAGAATTTTTCTTCAACAAATAGAATTATAGATTTATCACTTACCATCCACTGGAAAAAGATTCTAGATTTTTGTTTGTTTGAACTATGAAGTTTATCAAGTTTACAGTTACTAGTTATTACTTAATACTTCAAGATATAATTGGGGCATTAAAGATAGTGATCTGACCCAAAATGTAATTCATATTGGCCTTCTTGTTCACAGCAAATATCATATGGAAGACTCCAGAAAGGATTTTGTTTAGCCACCCCCATTACAAGAACGACCCAAATAATACTATACTAGTTGGATTAATTATGACATGGAATCCAACCTTAATTATTGAAAATTGTGATCACTAAACCTTTAACACATGTCATAAGAAAAAAAAAAAATACAATTAATTTTTGACAATTGAAACTGACAACATGTGTTACAGGCCTTTATTGTGGCAAAAAAAAAAAAAAAAAAAAAAAGATCTTAAAACACTCAATGAGACCTCTAACACCATCACTCAGGATGGAAAGCAAAGATAAATGAGACGCCAAAAACAAAATGAGATAAACAGGAAGCGCAAAGAGTAGGGCATCAGTGATAAAAACTTGTCAACATGTGAACTTACCTGAAGTTCAGAGATCAAGTGTAAGCCATCATTTGCACAAACTTTGCACGAAGATACCGAAAAGTAGATAAATAAACAAGGCAAGACAAATTATGCAATTATTTCATGAAAATATATGAATATTTGCATTGACGATGAATTGCATGTATATAAAATAAAATTTGACACACACATATATATAGTGAAAGAGGCATAGCAACATATTTGTTGCCTTTCAGCATTGTCTGCTGGCTAAGATTCCAGATTTATGCATGTTAGATATTTGGAACAAAAATACCGGTTATGAACTTAAAAAAGAAATTTGGTCTAAGCATGCCATATGATAAAACAACTTGGTACAACATTGTATGCTATAGTTGGGCCATAAGAAATCCAAATTAAATTGAAAAAATACGAAAAAATGCAAGCCAGGAAGAGAATACAAAACAAAATATAGACTCAGATTTCTAAATGCAAGTACTATCCGATAAGTTTTGTTAAACCCACATCTCTGTTCCCCATCTTACTTCATATTTTGTAATATACACATATATATATTCTTTATCGCATAGCTAAATAATTACATCAAGAAATGAAAAAAGAATAAGAGCATATGCCTAATAAGATTTCTTTAACAATATTTAATAAATTCAAACACGAGAAAATTCGTAAAATCTCAGAAACTCATGAAATCACACATATTATCAGATTAAACATAACCAAATCGTTCATTTAGCAGTAATTCTCGAGTAGAAGAAGAGATACGGACAGTCCATACCATATGGTAGTAAATTTATTCACTTTTGAGGATTTGATCAACAGCTTCATTGTGTCAACTAGGGTTCATCTCCTAGGTCTAGCGAGAGTGATGGAGGGTTTTATATGGAGACATTCAGAGTTTTCATGGACCACGTGTGGGCCTGGGTTGGACCAATCTCCTGATTAAATTAGTTAGCCCAAGTCTGACCACTGCGTATTTGGGCTAAGATTAGTTCAGCCCAGCTGATACCATTGTATGACTATTTTTTAAAAAATTAAAAAGAAAGCAAATAAATAAATAAAAAGCTTCTTCACAAGAAAGAAAAGGGAAATGTGTAGCTTTGTTATTAAACTATGGAGTTATTGTGTAGCATCAATGAAAAGTTCACACTCAAAATAAGTAGTCACATGAGCTCTCTGGTGTTCAAATATTAATCCGAGAATTACTTAATTTATACCTGATGTGAAATAGAATACGTTTACTCATTGTTATACACACTCTTTATATAAGATTTTTACTATCTCACGAGGGACTCACACCCATGCAATAGTTCCCTTTACTCAAATTCTAGAGCCCCTAGATTCTTATATCATCATCACAAAAGCCAATTTCACATGCAAAAATACTAATGTTTATGTTACCCTTGTATTAACACCAAAATCACCAAATACACATTCGCATCGTGGTGCAACACAAGCACCAGTTCAATTCACTATAGTTTGCACTGTTTATGGTGAAAGCAAAGATGCTCCATCATTGTTTTTTCATAAAGTTGTTGCATTAGTTTTACTGATTAGACGTCCCAATTGTATGAAGTGTGGAGTGTGTTCTAATTAAAGCGCCAAAGAACTATAAACTGATGCGGGTTGTTAGATGCACCAAACTCTGTCGGGACCAAAGGAAAACCCTCAAATTATTACAGTCTCTGGAACGATTGGTCCGGGCAATCACACAATACTTTAGCAAATGTGTCAAAATGATATAAGTTTTATTTATTTTTTACTATTATTATTTTTTATATGTCTAGTGTTGATTGGCCGGAGCTATTTAACACTTTTAAAAGTGTGACTCGGATGAGACACTTTACTATGTTAATTAAAACCGAAAGCAATATTCACTCACACTAAAACCAAAGTGTTTGCTTAATCGAGCTACAGCTCCAATTTTTTTTTTTTTTTTTTTTTGTTCTTTTTTTCACACAACTACTTTATTATTTTGGGGACTCAAACTTTCAGCATTCGCCATTCACTTTGGGATGAGGAGGAGCTACAACTCCTATTTGAGTGGACTAAATCGAGTCTAATCTAATTGTTCACAGCTTAGAGAATCATTTTCTATCATTAGAATTGCTCTGGACCGAAATAATTATAACTAGGGGTGGCTCAATATAAGTTGAGGTGTTGGACGAAAAATATAGAAGTGGCCTCTTAATATGTAATATATTAATACAACATAATAGATAATAATGTTTATTTATAAACTATTTTTTTATAGATATTTGAGGGAATAAAATATAATTTTTATTAATATCTTCATTTTCTTACTTATTTCACCTTTTTTTTTTTTTTTTTATAGTTCTTCTTCATAAAGATCAAGTCACTAATATATTTTTGTTCTGCTATTGTAGAATCTTTTACTTCTTTAAGATGACTTGATTGTTGATTTGTTTTAATAATTAGTTATAACAAATTTATTAATAGTTCCATTTTAAGATTGAATTAGTTTATCTAATCTTCTTTTCTTTTTAAATTTTTCATTTTCAAATTCATATATTCTCGGAGGCATATTCAACAATACAATTAAAATGTGAGAGAGGAAGAGGAAAAATATGTGAGGAATAAGGGGATAAAAGAGAATATAGAAAGTTTCGCCAATTTCATAGTGATGGATAAAAATAAGAAAAAATGGTGAAATGAGGAGACGAGAGAGGACATAAAAAAAAAAAAAAAAAAAAAAAGAGAAAGAAATGAGATAAGGTAAAAATCTTTTGGAGCAACTAGTATATCTCTCTTTATTGGTTAGGGTCTAACTATACAAGTAAATAAATTTTTTAAGTATGCTACCATAATATAAGGAAATAAAAAAAACATTTGGGCTTTTCTATTGGTAGGGGTCTAATTTTAGGAAGTTTTTATTTTTTGTACACTAATTTTAGGAAGGTTATATTCTAACCAATTAAAAAAAAATTGGAGCCTTCCTATTGACTAATGAACTCGAATTCAAATTTTAACTTGACTTTTGTATATTTATAGTTTAAAATCAGCCTTTCTCTTTCAGTTCATTTTTCTTTAAATTTTAATTTATTGAATATTATTTTTGAAATGTTTTTTCTTGACAAATAATCCTTGGAAAATAACTTTTTAAAAATATATATGTTTAAAATTTTCTACATTCGGTATAATTTGTAACCAATTGATATGTTTGTGCTTGGATTTAAAGATTTGGTTAATAAAAATGATAAAGTGTTACATTTATTTGAACAGAAATAACTAGATCATGATGTTTTTGTGACGGTGTGAACTTATAACATTATAATATTTTTATTTTTATTTACACAAAATGGTATAATACAATTAATTTTTCATGTTATCTACTGAACGACTCATACTCTACTCAGACACAATATTGTTTGTTTTTTAATTTCTCAAATCAGATACTTTATAGGGTTACTACAATTTAATTTTGGAGTTTTAATAGATTTATGATCATAACGATTTTAAAATGCATTGTGTTATAAAATAGTATTGAACCTTATTCATAACATTTCATTTTCCCCAAGCGATATAGAATTATAATACTTTATAATTTGTCAGTGTAATAAGTCGTCCAGTATTTCACACCAGCCCACACTTACAGTTTCAACACTCATTAATCTGTCGGGACTAAAGGTTGGGTTAGACGAGTTTGAGTGGAATGTTCTACAACTTGTGACGTCTAGGTTGAGTTGTCAACTTGTCAAATTGCACCAGCTAACGTGTGTCGTTACCATTTCATACTTTCGTCCTCAACTATGGTTTATAGACATTGAGAGGTGTGGGAAAGGTCTAAACCTTCATTAATGCTTGTTAGTATTCAGAACCCTACAACTATTTCCTCCGACGTACGTAGTCTAAAAAAGGCAGCCCACACATAATGTCGTGTGGAGTCAATTTATTTAGTCTAGGAAAAACAAAATACGTGTAAGAAGATGTTTTAATTTGATATTATTACGAAATTAAATGATGATCCGGGGATGCAAACTCACTCACAAATTCTATGATATTTCAATTTGCTTTGGAAGACACTATCAAGCAATCCAACGGTGATGAGGGGGTAAACTCATAGAATCGGTCTCATCACACACACATATATATATATATTATAAACGTCCTCATTTTCTGACTTACAAGAATGGCTAGACTAAATTGGCATGTTTGCACATGGCATGTCTGGTATTCGTGTTGGAAAAGTACAAAATTCAAGTAAAAGAATGCATGTAGGTTTGGGAATGTCCCAATCAGCCGCCTTGAATACGTTTAAATTCATTTGAAATACGTGCACTTTGAGTTGAGAATAGCACTAGTCTAGTCCACAAACAATCTTTTGCAAGACTGGAATTCTTCTGGTCACAAGCTCTCTGAGTAGAGAGAAAATTCCAAATAATACCGTGTTCTTTCAGAGAAATTATTAAATACTTCATAATATGATATTAAGAAGAGTAATGATAGAGAAATCGAAAAGGAATTTTCAAATTAGCACCGAATTTGGTGTGGTTGGTTATACTTATCACGTATTAAATAATTATTTTTTGTAAACTGTTTAAGTAGATGAGGTGGACAAAAATACGTCAGATTCTGGACTTATTCGAAAAAATCATTTGGTGACTCTATCATTTTCCTATTAAGAATAATAATAGGTCTTGGATCACAGATGTGGTGGTGGACATCACTACATTCAATAACTTGATATACTATATCCTAAGGGTATTGGTGGATTCAGGGGTGACGAAGGAGTAGCCAGAAGCGGAATCCATTTCATTATGTATTTCTAGATCCGCCCTTATCTAAGAATATTTAACACTTTCATTGAACACACACACAAGCACAACAGTAAGCAATGTGTTCATAAAATTTGGGATCACATGCATTTGGAAAGTGGGGTGTTTGGGAAGGATTAGGAATACTCTATGGTATATTTTTTAAAGATATGTTTGCATTCCTCTTACCAAAAAAAGGGTGGGTCACTTTATTTCCCTCCCTTCCTTTCAACCAAATAAATTTGATAGATATGCACATTCTTTTTCCTCTATTTTTTCATTCCTCGTACCAATTGAAGCATAAATATATTTTCTCTTATTTCCTCTCCAACTTGTACGGCTCATTGTTTTTTCCCACACTTTCACCTTCTAGTCACTTTCACCATCCCTCCATGAACTGTTTTCTTCCACCCCACCTTCCACTCCCAAGTCCCAACCCAATGTTTTGTCTCATTGCTATAATAGTTGTTGTATAAGATTTCTAACATATTTGTTATATATTTTTTTTATAATAAAATGTGTCTATAATTATTTAAAATTATATATATGTGTAAGCAATTAAAAGGTTATATTATAATTTGTGTTTGATTTGTTGACACCATCGTTCAAAACATAACCTAAATTAAATTTGAGCGGAGCTTTATATGAAGAAAAAAAAATTAAAAAAAAAATTAATGTTAATATAAAAATTTATAGATAAATAAGAATGGATGACAATAGTGACTAAAAAATATAAGATTAATAGTAATATTTAACGTGTGAGAGAACAATAAGTATAATGCGTGTGAATGATAAAATAGGATAAAACAAAATTAGATGGTATGACCATATTGACCGTATATTAAATGATGAAAAAAAAATCAACCAAATTTTACATGAAAAGAAGTAGTCAAGAATAATTTAAAAAATCATAATTTAAATAGAAATACGATACATAATAGAAAAAGAGATAAAAATATATATATATATATATACGTGACCATCCCATTTATATATCACGATGACTATTATGAAAAAAAAAAATTCAAATTAGTTGTCTAGAAAAGAATTTTCTAACAATAAATCCTAATAAATAAAAAAAGTTGTAAATATAACCATATAAATACTTCGAATCTTTGTTTACATTAATTAGAGCAGTTCAAATTTCAAGGAAAAATTTAAATATTAACTACTTAAGTTGGCATATTTACAAAAATGACCGTATCAAAATAATATATGAGTAAAAGAGCTAATAAACTAAAATAATTACCAAACAAGGATTTAAACTTTTTTTTGTCCAAATTACCCTCATCACTTTTTAATTTTCCATCCCCCCTCATTTATCTCTACTTTCTTTACCACCACGGTACCACCTACCACCATTACCAATACCCACCACCACCACCCACCTCCATCACCGCGACCAATATCCCCCGTCACCACCACACCCCCACCCACCTCCATCCCCACCTTCCACCATCACCACCACACACTCATGATTTTGTCCTCGGTGCAGTGGCCGAGTTCGCAAGTGAGTTGGAAGATTCGGGTGGCGTAGTGGGTCGGAATTTTACTTGCCGGCGATGCACGTGGGGAATAATGGTTTGGAAGTCAATTTGCATAATGTTGAGGGGTAATTTTGTCCTAAATATATACCGACATGTCAAATACATGATTAATAGTGTAGAGTTATCGTATTTGTAATATATTTTTTCTAAAAGTGGCATTTTTCATCCATTCATTTTGGATTTGGTAAAATTACACTTACGTAAACTTAAGAACTCTTAATAACAAATTAGTGTATTTTAAAAGTTGATTTTTTAATTTGGTTGAGTTAAGCAAAATAATTACATATGTATAGAAAACTATTGTTTAGGTACAAGATACCATCCAAACTCTTATTTTAAAATATCATTCCTAATTTAACAATAGTCCTTTCATTCAAAAATTTAGAAAATCAAGATTTTCTAGTTGTCTTTCAACTAGAGGGCATTTTGCATGTGAGATATATATTACCAAAATAAAAAAATAAAATAAATAATATATATATATATATTGCTTTTAACATTAACAGTATCTCCCGATCTATATATCGGTTCAAACCTATGTTAATTTAGAAATATACAAATAATTTAGTGAAAATTTATTATATATATAGAAATTTTATTTTATTTTATTTATTTATTTATTTTTTTTGTGTGGAAATTCATTATATATATAATTTTCTATGCACATAACTTTAATTATATCTCCTAATTCATACCAATATAAAACCTTACAAATGTGAAAATCTTCCTTTGCAAAGAAAATATATATATACACACATACAGACAGTACACACGAGAAAGGGAGATCATGAAATTAAATGGTTGCTTCTGTAAATTGGACATGAACAACTAGTTTTTTTATTTATAAAAAAAAGTATAAATTGAGCTAAATGATGATCATCTTAAGGCGTGCATCACATCAAAGAAGACTTTGCATGCATGAAAGAGTTTAATTATATTTTTCTATTTCAGGACTACTTTTTAATTGCTTGATTTTTTACTATATTGAACTTTTTTTATTATTTGTATAAATTCCCGTGTGTGTATTATATATATATATATATATATATATATATATATATGATTCAAAGTTAACTGAAAGATATTATTTTCTTAATTTTTTTAAGTTAAAGGAATTATATCAAAAAAGTATTTGATTTAAGGAGAATATTTTAATATTTTGAAATAAGAGTTTGGAGGGTATTTTGAACTTAAATAAAAATTATTGATACACATGTAAATATTTTACCTAATCTAACTAAAGTAAAAAATAAACTTTTAAAATAGACAATTTTATTATTTAAAACTTCTAACTCTGTATAAATGGAGATTTCCTATTTGTTATGTATGAAAGTTAAAGCGGTGTATTTTAAATAATCCCAAACTCTAAACCGGTGAAAATTACGGGTGGGGTATGTTGATACACTAAAGTGCGCAGGTAATTACGGTCGTACCTAAATACGCACGCCATTTATGCTAATCCCATTCGTCTTCAACTTTCTTATCTTTTACAACATATATACACTCATATATATGTATGTGTATGTGTTGCTTCAATTGTACTCCGTTTTGTGATTGCTACATGGGGCTTAAATGAAGTAGCGATTGATTGATTCCCAGAATGGGTATGGTGAGAAATGTAGCCGAAGCTGATGAACAATTGGGAGTGATGGAGTGGAACAACCAAGAACAACAATTGAACCACCACCAGTATGTGGGTGTTGGCGGTGGCGGTGATGTGATGTACGCGAAGGTGATGACTGACGAGCAGATGGAGCTCTTACGGCAACAGATCTCTGTCTATGCCACCATCTGCGACCAACTTGTTGAGATGCACAAGAACATTACGGCTCAACAGGATCTTGCTGGTCTATATTTTTCTCTCTCTACTCGCTTTCTCTCTCTGGAACATGCTTTCGGTATTAATTGCTCATGTGGGTGCAGTAGTAATTGTTGGATTGATGTTCTTGTGTTGTGTTTTACTGATTGAAGCATAGAGGGTTTTAATGGGGTTTTGAAGGCATTTGTGATTTTGGGTCCTTTTCTTTTTGTTTATACTCTGTTTGTGTTTACTTTCTGGAATTTATTTATCCAAATAATTTTCTATTTAATTTTTAATAATCAATCTTTCAGAGAATTATAGTTGTGGTTATACCGTTTCTTTTCTTTGATCATGTCCGAATTCACCTTCAAAATTATTTATTATTATTATTTTTTTGTGAATTGTCTTTGATGGTTAATGTATTTTCTCTCTTGGGTTGGTTTGTTAAATTGATATTGAGTGAAAGCATTCGCTCTTACCCCTTTTGGTATTCTGGTATTGGAAACAATAATACTGAAAAAAAGTGTGATTTGGAGTGTTAATTCTGGTAGGATGCAGCATAGTTTGAGGACGAGAAGCTGAAGTTAAACAGGCTGCATATAATCCTGATGCTATTTGACAAACTGTAGACCTGAGTGCGGTGTGAGATGAACAGGCTTGAAGTCTTATTATATGATATGACTTTCAATAACTGGGGTTTATCTTGTTGAAGAGGAAACTTCGTCATTTTGTATCTATCTGACAATGCCTGTTTTGGGTACAAATATACAACTACATGTGACTTGGCTTGCATGTCTATAAACTTTGTCTTCTACTAATTCAATTACCAAAAAAAGAAAGAAACTATGTCTTCTATTGTGGTAGTCTGGATTGAATCATTTAACCGCTAACTCAAATGTTCAATTGGTGTAATTTATATTCTTCATTTCCTAGAAATTATGTTCATATAAAGGACAACTTGTTTACTGTGTCATACATTCATTTTTAATTCATGTTATGCACTTCAAGATTTTCGTGAATATTAACTATGGTTGTTTTAACTTGTATTCCAAGTATGATGGGCGAGGAGGTGTTTTACATGCAGGACGGTTATCAAAATTAGATTGGCATTTAGCAATTTATATAATTAGAATCTCCAATTGATTGTTAAGAAATCATAGATGTTCATTTTGCATAATTTAGCTCTTTAATTAAGTTGTAACATGTAATTTTACATGAAGAAGATATAGGTATAGTATTGCATGCAGTTCATATATTTACTTTTCTCATTCTCTTGATCATTACTTCTAGAAATTAAATTCCTCAATGATTTGCTCAACATTCCAACTTATGTTTTGCTCCAAAGCTCCTTCTGAATTTCATTATATAAGTCCTTGGACATTCCATCTTTTATGACTTTTTGAGTAAGTGGGAAGTAGATGTGGAGCTACTAGACTACTAATTGACATGTATAGAAATATTTGGTGGTGCAGTATGAGGCTTGCCATACAGTTATGGAGTTGGAATCTGGTCTATGTTTGCCCTTTTCTTTTACGTGTATCCTTTCTTTAAGTGGATTTTTAACAACATTATGGGGTTTCCTTCACAGCTTCACATTGTTTCAGTACTCACCTGCCCAAAAAAGAGAGTTAAAACTGCCTCATGGCTCTTTGTATCATAATGAAAGTTCCATCATACTGTTCACTCTTTAATTCTGAGAAGATACAGAGCGCGATGCGTTATGTATTATTATCCACCATTTTCCTTTTACCTTTTTTTTTTTGGTTGCTCTTTGGTGGTTGGAAAGCAATTCTAGCTCTTTTTAAGAGTTTTATGTTTATTTCCTTTATCTGATCTTGCAAAATGATGTGTGTTCAAGAGTTCCCTGGTTCCTTTTTATGTTAATGCAGTATTTAAACTAAATTAATATTGATGCGCGTCTTCTATTATATAAACAAAAGTTCCAATTTTTTTATTTCTTTATAATAATAATAATAATTCATACAGACAATAGACATGCACGTTGTTACTCAATTAGAATGTGAAACTTTAATTCTTGTCTCCTTTTATTGGAGACTTTAAGGCCCTGTGGTCGTTCATAGAAATGATAATGCATATATTAGGTTATTCTTTTCTTGCACTAATTTGTAGTACAATTAATATTTAATTTTCCATTGTTTGAAAAATTGAAAGTTTGAATCACGTTTAAGTAATTAGTCCCCTGTGATCTTTTAGAGATTAAGCTTGAAATGCAAACTTCAAGTTAATTCATCATTGTTGAAACATATTCATGCAAATTGATGTGGTAGGCTTCTGATTATGGTATTTCTGTTCTTGTTTAATTGAGTTCAGAACTGTAACTCCAATGTACATGGATTCCTAATCCTTGGCACAGCTTCAACCTTTTTCATACTTGTCTTTCTGGTTAATACATTTATTTATATGAGGACAAATGTTATATATTTATTTGATATGCTGGGGCCTCTACTGCCTTTTAAAATTATTCGGCTCTTCTCTGGTTTAGGAATGAGGTTGGGCAATCTATACTGTGATCCCTTATTGACATGCGGTGGCCAGAAGATCAGTGCCAGGCAGCGATGGACTCCAACTCCTATGCAGCTTCAGATTCTTGAGCGTCTCTTTGATCAAGGCAGTGGGACTCCTAGCAAGCAGTTGATCAAAGATATAACTACCGAGCTTTCACAACATGGTCAAATTTCTGAAACAAATGTCTATAATTGGTTCCAGAACAGGAGGGCTCGATCAAAAAGGAAGCAACCTGTTTCAGCACCAAACAAGACAGAATCAGAAGTAGAGGCAGAGGTTGAGTCCTCAAAGGAGAAGATGACAAAACCGGAGTGCACTAAATCCCATGAGAACACGGCTGCAAATGATGAAAATGTATATTTCCAGGATCATGAGATAAGTGCTGAAATGCATTGCTTGGATATGCATTCCAGTAAGGAGGAGCACATGTTCTCATCAGATCATTTTTTGAGATCTCCAGGCAGTTTGGGTCATTTAGCTTTGCCCGAGAGTATTCCAAGTATGTATCCACTAGTGTATGCTCTCTTGTTATTGCCCCAAATCCAGATTAAAATATGACTTCACATTCCCATGCATATATGTCATGTATGCATTTGAAATCTTTGATGCTCATGTCACTAGTGGTTTGTGTGTGCAGGAATTGACCAGCTGCTGATTGGTAAAATGGAAGTTTCAGGGGGCTTTAGTCCTTATCATCACGGAGATGGATTTGACCACCTCGGATGATGATCCTCCTATGTTTTTATGTTGCAGTGGCTTGATCACAAACTTATCGAACCTATGGTTTGGAATTATATCAACATTTAAATAGCATAGTAAAGCATAAGTAGCATAGTAAACCATGAAGCGTATATGTTTTGGCTAGAGTTGTGTGGGGTTGAGAATTATGCAATTCCATTCTGCATTTACAGGAACCTATAGAGGTATACTAGTTGATTTTTGTAGTAAACACTGATTGCTGTTTGTTGTGTGTGATTCTATTGGAAATTAAGTTGCTCTGTTTAGTGCTTGTACCATTGAGTTTTTGTCTGTGTTGAACTGGGCTGCTTTGATGGGAATTCTACTCTCTCTCTCTCTCTCTCTCTGGTTTGATTCCATAACGAAAGGGCAAATACCATTTTCTTTGTTTTTTTTTGGTAAAATTTGGTGTGTAGATGAAAAAAAAAGGTCCAAAAATGAAATGCCCCTTAAAGCAGGCTTGAAGGGTTGAGAGAGGATGATTGTAAGAGTTGGGCGGTGGTTCATGCCTTCTTCAAACTGAGGGAAGCAGCAGAATGGTTTCATCCAATGTCTTGCATTGATTGGTGCAATTACATTACTCAGTTACCCTATTTTTCATCAACTCTTTGAAATCAAATTTCAATTTCATAAAGATTCTTTTGTTAAATCTTCACTGAAATGAGACCAATTACACATTAATATTGTCATGTGACTGAAAAATACTACCGTACATAAGTTATAAACAAAAATTGTAAGACAAAGCCAACCATTTCATGTGGAACTACGGAATGATACTACGGAGTATTTTTTTGAATAATTTTGAAAACATAAGACAAAATCTGATTATTTTGAGATGAAGTTTTTCTTAAATTTCATTTTTATATTACAGTTTTTTTTTTTTTTTTTTTTTTGGTATAAAACAATTGACCTGTCAAACCTGCTTTTAAATTAATTTTTTTATATTCTAAAAAAAATAACTCCATTTTTGGAGAAATGGGACTGAACATCATTTTTGACAGAGATTTGGTGTAAAAAGGAAGGAAAATTAATTAACAAAAAAAAAAAAACCAAAATAATATAAACTCTTCTCTATTTTTTTTTTTTTAGGGTGGGATTTATTTGATACCAAGACTCTTGTGATCTTTATGTACCGGTCTTTATGCTTATACAATATTTTATTTTGTGTAAAACCTTTCACATAAAAATAAAAAAAAAAAGAAAAGAAAAAAAATCTCTTATTTATTTATGTGTTTAGTTTGAAATAATATTATTTCAAAATAAAATAAACTCACATAAAAACCAAAAAACAAACTGAACACACGCTTCTCTCTATTTCATTCGCGCTCATCTTAGAAGACGACATACGCCTCACGGCCCAATTCCCTACTCTCAGTCTCATCAATTTGACTTGTGGTATGAACTATGAAGTTGATGACACACTTGTTCACAATTAGAATCTCAACCCCAACTTATATGATTTTTACAGTAGACTCTAAACACTCTTTAAACCCTAATTGTCAATTTTGGTATTTACAGTGTGTGTGTGATGGAGGCGATGGTGAAGAAATATCAGCAGAAATTCAGAAAGGTGAGGGACGAAATGAGCCGATGGGACGAACTTCAATCTCGATTGCTTTCACAGTTCGGAAACGCATCTTCCGTCATCGGTAGATTACAGGTTCTTCTACTATTATAATACGCATATACACAAACACACACGTATGTATACTATTCCTAATTTTAGCTACTCAGCAATTCCTTTCAGAGCTTATAGTTCTTAGTATTAGAATGTGTGTTTTGTCTTTCTATGATCAGGTGATCCAGGATCCCAAGAATTATGGTGCTTTGAAATGCGTTGGCGGCATCAAAGATGCAGTTTTGAAGAAGCAGATGGAGTCTTTGGAGAACATCTTGCTTTCAATGAAGAAGACTCTGTAAGTTAGGAACATCTCTTAATAGGAATATAAATATCTTTATATGTAAATAGATATTTATATATGAATATATAATTCATTGGGATACACGATATACATGTTAAAGTTGCGAGGCAGTTTGCAAAAGGTCGATCAACCAGACTTTGGCACAGAATGGACCAGTCATTTTGCTCAAATCCACGGGCCAAAATCAACTAACTGATGGGAAAGAAAAATGATCAAAAGGGTCAATATGATTTCATTTTATTAATACATGGTCACTGCTTTTATGATTTGGGTTGTATCATCACATCTTATGTTGCATTTGGTTGCAGAGAAAATGTTGGAAAACTGTATACCTTCCAATATTATTTTTGATTTTCAATATAATTAAGTAGAGACGTTTGGTGTTATAACGCATTGCAATGTTGTGTATAACTTTTAATTGTCACAATATGGGCATATTTGTTTATTGTTTCACAAGCAATTGGTTTAGTGTGTTAGATGTTGAAGTTCATGGATGCTTCTGACAAGAGTTTTGACTGTTTGTGCTCTTGATTGTGAATTGATATCAGGGAAGAGCTTCATGGTATAGTTTCGTCGCTTGAGAAGATTTTTCGTGAGGGTAGACAGCTAGTTAAAGGGGGTTCTATTAAGCCAACCCTGAAACAACTGCATCAACGAGTTGGCATAAAACCAACTCTTGCAGATTGCTTAGACGGGCTTAGTCTTATTCATGAGATGCACCAAGCAGAGTATGGATGCCTCTCCAATTTGCTTCATCATGGTCTTCTTTTCTTTTTAAATCATTGTCAATTGTGATTTAAAATGGCTGTTTCTTTGTGCGGTAAATGAGCTATCATGATACTTAATGGGTTGGTAGCTAGGTCACTCGGAGGATAATCATTTACTATTAACTTGGGCTGAGTGAATTTTTATACCATTAGAAAATGACCATGATTCACTAACCTTTAGTCACTTTCTAACTGCATAGTTTTGTATTTCACTTGACTAAGTTTACTTCATGTATGACATTCCTATATTGTTGCGAGTATAGGTCATTGAAAAGTTATAAAGTGATCAAATGAGCTGTATTGTTGTTCCAGTGGAATAACTTGGTCTCTCTCTCTTTCCTCTCTTTTTTCCAATGTTTCTACCTTCATAGTACGTTTTAGTGTTCTCTGCTGAAGCAACACTAAATTTTATATTGCTTGGTCATTGAATTTGTTGACATCATATTTTCTTACAATGATTAGTTGAGACTATTACTTTGGAATAATAAAGAGTCAAAGGCACTTTGATATTGCTTACCAGTGCCTTTGTCAATTGTGATTTTTAGGTACATTCTCAAATCATCAGTGATATCAGCACTTTCAGCACTTACCTTGAAACCCAGGTATGTTTGGGTTATTCAACATCCATTCTTAGGCTTTTATGTCCAATATATTCACTTTGAAAATTTATTTTAGAGTTACTTTCTTGATTCAATTTAATTGAGCAATTTTTATTTTTATTTTTATTTTTTAGAAAATGAATATCAAATGTAAATATTGAACATAAAATGAGTTTTGGTCATAATATTTTTTCAATGCAATTCAGCAATTTTAGTCATGGTGCCTTCTTTCTTTCTTATGTAGAAACCCAAGTCTGTCAATCCTAATCTGTTAGAAAATTCATTGACCAATGTTTCATCACCTTATTGGATCTCTGAAGCCAACATTTGCTATAAAACATGATTTTAAAAAGTAATCTTTACTATTGATTACTCCAGTCCATTATTTATAGGTTTATACGAGTCATAGGTTTCCCAATATCAACACGCTGAAGGGTAAAACAGGAAAAATACTTCTAATATCATAAAAGTAGACATTATGGACTGATTTGCGGCTTTTTAATAGTTTAAGGGTTTCTTTGTTATACCAGGGTGTAATTGCAAAAAAATTGATAGGTCAAGGGTTCTTTTTTGCATTTTGTGTTACATTTTATTTTGTTGGGATTATTGATGTGTCTTGGATTGTTTCCTTTGCAGTGCGAGTGATCTAGGAGCTCTCCAGCAACTTTTGGTTGATCAACCTAACATTCCCAAAGAGGAAGGTAGGCAAAGGGTTTCATAAAAAATAATGTAAGAAAAAGATATGTGAAATATAGCCATTTTTGGGTTGGAATATCAACACACAGCACATGATCAGGTATTTCTATGTGTGATTAATCGATATTAGTCTGATTTTATTTGTCATCAGTAAATTGATTGAGTTGAGAAGTAAATTAGAAAATGTGGGAACTATAATAAACAGATATAATGTATACATCATAAAAGGGTAATGTGGAAAGTATGAGATGCTGCTAGGTACCTTTTGACGGTCCATCAGTTGGATATTCTATGCTTCCGAGTCAGTCTGTTGACATAGCATTGACATCATAGCAAGGTTGAATCAAACTTTCTTAATGTCTACTGAAACTAGAAATAAATAAATTCTTAATTATTTGGAAATAGATTTTATTTAATTACTTTTTCTTGAGTAATCAACTCTTTCCTTGTATAGTTCTCAATGTTTCTACCAAAAATTGAAGGTTAGTGAATTCTTCAATCAGGTTGATGTAGGAACAGATGCAGTAACAATATATGTTGAAAGTTTTAGAGGAATAAAGTTGATACAAAAGATGGATAATTGGGAATCTTTTTTTTTTCTCTTTTTGTATAATTATGAAGTTGGGTACAAAGCTAGTGGTAGAATAAATTTTTGAGTTCAATTTATTTGGATCAATATCTATATGGTTTTTCTTGTGCGACAGATCATGTTGCTGCTTGAATTGGGAGACCTTGGCAGGACTATCCTAGAAAATCGTCGCATTTTTTGTTGGTCATTGTAGGAAGTTCGATCAAAACCTGTAGATATCTATGAGAAACCTGTATTCCCTTTGTAGTGTGGTTGAAAACTCTCTTGGGATGAACTCTCTCGTGTTCTACAAATCAATTGGCACCTTTTTTTCTTTCGTTATTTTTTTCTTTTTCTTTCTCCATACTGAATTTGTAGAAAAAAACTGTCTAGCACAAATATTTAACACTACATTCCTTGGCATCATCGATTCTCCACTGATTTTTACTTTTTTACCTTGTCTGATAGCAATAATTTCTTTGCAGTTCAATACATACTTGACATCATATTTGCAGAAGAAATCTGTTGATTTATTTTCCCTACGTGAATGAGGATTGAAACTTCGAAGTATCCTGCATTTTGGGGACCTCTTGGTTTTAGTGATGATGGCAGTGTGCTTGTTTCCTCCCGTCGAGACTACAAAAGATCCCTGCAAAGGACTTCAGTCACTTCATTTTTGGCAGTCACTATTTCTGGAGATTTGTATGGAACCAACTTGTCTTAGATGATGGAGGAAAAATGACGAGTTTGATGGCGAGAATCATTAAATCACATGTATATTTGTTGCAAAATTTTGAGGAAAATGAAATTATTCTCTCATTTAAATCCGATGCTGTTTATTTCTAGTTTATGCATCATAATTGGTTGTTTGGAAACATCATCTTGGGATGATCTCGTTCTTTAGGAAATGTGGCATCTTAGGCAAGTAAAGTTAATTTGCGGCTGGCTGAGATATTGGTTTCAGTATGTTACATGTATCTTTATTTTATTTTTTTGTAATACCGGTGGATGAATCTGGCAGATCTTGTGTAGTCTGGTTTGGTGGTCCAAATTATACATGTAAGTCCCAGCTTGTTGCTTGGAGTGGCTCTATGCCAGCATGTTTTCTTATCAGCAGCGTCTTTGTCATCTGCTAGTATTATTTTGGGTTCTGTAGCACACTCGACTCAACAATGCAAGAGCTCAAAAAGTAACACGTTTGAACTAGTCCAGAACCAATTAAGCCATCAACGATGTGGAACTAAATTCGTTAGGCAGCCCGAATCATCAAACGAACTTCTTACAAAGAGGGGTTCAGGTTGAAACCCAAGGCAAATTTTGAACAAGTCAAGAGCAGCAGGCTCATTTGAGCAAATGCTTGTTTAATTTGGGGCAACACTTCACACCTTTACTGACGTGACAGCCACAACTTTGGTGGATAAAAGCGTAACAATTGATAACCGTGTGTGTGTACAGGTTGCATGGAATTGAAGTCTTGAAATTGGAATTTGAAAAAAATTTGGTCCAATTCCATGCGGCCGAACACACCCTTCATGAAAATTCAAATTCTCAAAAGTGAAATGAACAAAAGACCTACTTAGCCAATTCATGCATAGAACAGCTCAGGCCTTAAGTATTGAAAATAGCAAGAGCCAAGAGTAATGCCAACTGATGAATAAAGCAAAGCATTGCCATGATAAATACAGAGTCAATTTCTTTCAATAATTGTGAACAAATTACAAGGAGACCTAGCAAGCATACCTTAAATAAGAATCTGAACAAGAAATAGATGCCACATGTAGTCGCCATAATACAAGTTCATTAACCAAAGAATTCAATTGAGAAGGAATATAACATGTCGCAAAGCAGAGTCAAAATCTCTAGACGAGAGCAGATAGTTGCCCAAACTTTTCTGCACAAGGTACACGGTGTGGAAATGACATTACATACGTACCACTGCAATTGATTTTGTCATGCACGAAGAAGCATCCAGTTCATGAGCCGCGTGATTCCTCGAAATATGACGCCAGTTAGGTGTTGCATCAGACACATCACACACAGTCATGAAGTCTAAAACCTGCCCAAATATTTTGAACATTTCAACCCCGAATATCAGGTTTCTATCAGCCACAAATGCAGCATTCCAATCCATTGGGGCATCCGGATGTATTGAAACTTCAGTCCAAGTTAGATACATGAGATTTAGCTCCCAAAGCTTTCTAACAGCTTTGTTTCTCCTGCCTATTTGACCATCCCCTTCACACCAGGAGACAGAAAGCATGAACAGCCGGCCATCACAAGATATGAGTTTTGGGTAGTACTCATGAACACGGGGTGGGGACGGAGCGGTTTGGATTCCAACCCAGTAGCCCCTTTCTATGTCATACCCTGCAATCTTGTCCATTTCAGAATAAACATAAAACATCCCATTACAAACAACCCCAGAACAAACAACTCCAAAGTCCGCAGGCAACCTCTGGATTTCCACCCATTTATTTGATAAAGAATCATAAATTTCCCCAGAATCCAAAGGCTCATCCCAGGGTCCAAGACCCCCTACAGCAATGAGCGCAAACCTTTTACAATCTTTTGTATTTGAGCGGTCACTTTTTTGTTTGACAAACTTGGAAGTCTTTACATTGGCCAACAACGAAATCTCATTTTCATCATGAGAATTTCTGAATTGACGTCTTACAGAAAGCCTGTGAGGATCCTCATAAACATCTGACACCCCACCAACTCGTGATCGGGGGAAGCGTCTCTCTTGCCTATTTTGCTGATTTCGGGCAATAAAACATTCCGAACTGACCTCAGAAATTCCTAAAATGGGTGTTGATCTTGCATACTTCATGGATGCAACTTTACGCCACGATTTAGTCAAGGGGCTAAAGATCAATACACCTTTATGTGTCTTAAACGAGCTCCTGTCCACCTTCCCAAAGTTTGTCAAACTAGAACAACCTCCAACTACATAAACATCGTACTGGAAACTGGCAACAGAGAACAAGAACCTTCCCTTGAGAACTTCAGCATCTATTCGATGCCATTGGTTAAGAGAGACATCCAGTGCATGTATCTCTCCAGGGCAATAGCCATCTTTAACAATACCAAACAAAAACAACCATGGACTCTGATACAAACCTTGCCGTCTCATCCGCATGAACTGAGAAGTTGTAGTCAAGTTTCTCCATTTCTTGCACACAAGGCGAGCATTCATGAGACTAGTTAGCGGGAGTCTTACCAAGCACATTTCCAGAATGTCATCTGGAAGAAACACGTGCATTCTACTGTTTTGTGGTGATTCTTCAATCTCTAGGCCCTTTTTGTTATTCCTCTTCCAGAACCTCTCCTTCATGCCATATGAGAAGCAATCCACAGCAGTTTCCTCAGTCCCACATATATTTGTGTATCCTTTTCCTTCTTCACTGGCGCTTGACCATCTTCTACCGCCTGAATCCCCAAACTCTTCACTTGTGTCAGCGCCTACTTTGCAACCACCACCCCTACCATAAAGAGTGAGACAACTCAAGGAAACCCCCCTTCTATGATCCTCTTCCTCAGCTTCATTTCTATGAATCTTCTTTTTCAACTTCTGGCTAACACTTCTGACAAGACGTTTTGACACGCTCAAAGACTCAAAATCCTGATGAAACGATGTTTCTCCCATCAATTTTTCAGAAATCATCTTGTTTTACTGTCTTTCTCGAGATGAATACAACTAAACTGCGTGCAATTTGCATAGGACGTCATTCTCTATCCTGTTTTTCATCGTTCATCTGCAACAAAAACATGGTTAGGCCAAAACTTTCTCACAGAGGAAACTATCAACATAAAACTGTTCATAAAAAAATGCTACCTAGAAAGGATATCAATTTATAATACCCATTAAACGCATCTACATTGCTGTATTAGATAAGGGAGAGAAAATGAAAAGGAAAAGGAAAATAAATTGAAAATTTACCCTCTTTCTGTTTATTGGGGAAACTAAAAAATTCCACGAAAAATAAACAAATAAAAAAAAAAAAAAATTACTGAATCTTATGTTTGGCATTATTTTGGTTTCTACAAGAAATCTACTTGGGGGGAAACCTCATATCAACTATGCCAACCAGTAGCTTTTAGTGGGATTGGTTGGAGGTTTTCTATTTCTTCCATCCAAACACTGAAACCATTACCTTGTTTGGTTAGGTAGCGGGCGGGGGGGGGGGGGGGGGGGGGGGGGGGGGGGGTGGGGTGGGGTGGGGTGTGGGGTGGCAAATCGAATACGGAACTGACCTTGGGCATAATTCACACAAAGAAAATGCTTTCTTCAATCCAATATTACAAAAATGTAAAGGCTTGGAAACACAAATTTCCATCATTTCCTATCCTTTCTATGCAACCAAACAACAAAATCAAATTTTAAAGAACTGAGACATGAATGCACACCCAGAAAACGATAGGTGCGGTTACATTTTACTTCCAGAAATGGAATCAAACGCAGCACTAAAGATGGAATTACCAGATCGACACCATTAAATCCAGATCAAATCACTTCCCAAATTAAAAAACCCAGATCAAAACAACAAAATCATTTCTACAATAACATGAGATTCGGCAGTTCCATATCAAATCCAGGACAATAAACAACATTTTTAAATGAAAACAAAGTCATAAAAGGAAACATATATAAATATAAACGTGTGTATATACACATACCATTTGAAATTCAATAGGTATAAAAGAGGGTACCTAGAGAAATTGCCTGAAATTGCGATTGTAATTATTGACTATCCGTTGAAATCAGAATCGAACTTCGAGGGCAACAGAAGATTAGATCCAACGGCATTGACTGCTTCCGATTATCTGCATAAAATTCGAGCTTTGGGGACATACTGATTACGCTCGACTACATATAAAGGAAACAAATCTGAATGATCTAAACATAATCGATTGTATAATCTAAACGACTATTATAATTATATGAGTGTACTCTGTATATATATATATATATATATATATATATATATAATTACACACAGATACACACATGTATGTTGTAAGTACAAATGGTGTATGATTTTAGGTTGAAGAGTGAAAATGTGGGGAATTTAGTAAAGCAAGTCACGGCACCCACTGAGCTTAAAAGCGACGCGTCAGCCCTCATTTTTCTCTCTCCTAACCATGTGGAATTCTCTGCCATCAATTATCTTATCTGCCTTTCGTTTTGTTCTTTCATGGGTCACTCAAATCTTGCTCTTTTTCTATTTTCTTTTTTGTCTTTTTTATTGTATATATATATATATATACACACACACATATGTGTGTGTTGTGTGTGTGAGATTCAAATTATTTTGAGGTGCTCGTGAAATTGTGCCACGCCAAAAGAAATAACAATAAAATATAAAATAACATATTTATCCAATAATTTAATTTCAATATGCAGTGATAAAGTTTCCGTAAATATATGTATGAAAAATGATAAAATATAAGAAAACTAAACACATTTGATTACATTTTTCACTCACTTGATTATAGCTTGATATATCAGACTTTCAAATCTTATATTATGATTTTATATGATATTATTAAATTTTTTTATATTTGACATAAATGTAAAGAGTGTTTTGATTCTACTATTAGAAATCTCCAACTAATAATTATTAAGATATTCAATAATATTTTTTACCAATAACTATGAATTGCGAACCAAAAATTCTTCTAGTATCATCCTTTTTGTTACTTTTTCTTAAATCAGTCTCAACCTTCATTCTATTTTTACACGTCTAATTATTACAATTAATAAAGAAAGTGAATATATAATTTACAATTAAAAATTTCACGTGTAGCAATATTAATTGAGTATCATTTTATCTAATACATCAAGTGTTATAAAAATGATCTAATTTAAAGCACAAATGATATTGCATCGTGATGATTAAAGTAAGACCAAAAGTAGAGAAAAAAATGTTTTTTTTCAAAAGATACTTAGGGAAACCTTTAAAATATGTTATAAAGGTGATATAAAAAAACAAAATAAGTTCTAAATAGGAAAGTTGTTACTTTTAATGAAAATCAATCAGTCAGGTTGTCAATAAATATTCACGACTATTTTCTAAAACATTATCATGGCTATATGCTTAATTGCATATATATATATATATATATACAACTAAAAGTATATTTTATTTTTGTATATACACAAGGTCTTTACCATATTGGAGCTCTTTTGGTCAGAGTAGATGAAATGATGCCTTAATCACCAGTTTTAGATTATGGATATATTTATTTATTTGAAATATAATTACACATTAAATAAGAAAATTCAAATTAAACACCAATTATTACATTATTTCAATGTTAGAATTTTCAGAAATGTGTTCTTATGATATAAGATTAAGCAATTAAAACTCTGGATCAATACAATTTCTTCAATGATTTTTATTACCATTCAAAAGCATTTCACCCTTTATTAATCAACAAATCATTGTATTAAATGTTCCAACATAACCTTTTATTTTAGCGTTCTTAAAACACATCAAATAAATTCTTTGATACAATATATTTCAATATATATATTTATTACAATCTTTTGCTCATCAATGAGTAAAAATTCATCACATCAGAATTGTTATATATATATATATATATATATATATATTTTAATAATTACTATTAATTTTACATTAGCGGTCACTATGCATGAATGAATTTATTTTTAAAAAAATTATTTTATATAGATATATACATACGTATGTATATATCTATCTCGATCATTTGTCATCTTTATTCTATCAAAAAGTCTTGAACTTTTGGTTTGAGGGAGAGAGGTGGTGACCCTACCCTCCAATGATAATAATATTTGGTAGGTTAGAGGTGGACTCACTACCAAACAATCTGTTGTCAATAGTATGATTATTCTATTGAAACTATTTTCCAAATTCTTATTATTCAGTGGCGTAGGTGATGGCCATTTCTTTTGGTGGTTGAGATGATTTCAATTGATTGATGTCTGTGCACTAAAAGGTACCTCACTTGATATTTCTATTATTTAATTTTAATCAAATTTATTTATGTGCTCTAAAAAAATTCTATTTAGTCATTTATGCAAGTTCAAATTTAAGGATGAGTACTTTGTATATAAAAAATCCTAGGATCATACCTATAAAAATCTTTACAAAATTTAAAGGTTCTGAAAAGAAAAAGAAAAAGAAAAAGAAAAAGTAAGTACGCATGTTGAGGAAACTCCTACAATTTGGGAAAAACTTCATTACACCTCCAATATTCCGTTATTTATACTATTAACTAATTATATTATTTTATGTACGTAAAAATGTTTTATTTTAGTGTCCTATAATTATGAAAAAGACTTTATGTACCTTTAATACTTTAATTAATTATATTATATCACATAAGTAAAAATGCTTTATTTTAGCATCTGAGAAAGATTTTTGTACCTTTAATACTTCGTTATTTGTGCTATTAACTAATTGTATCTGATCACATAAGAAAAAATATTTTATTTTAATAGATCCTATCACTACATTACACTATTTAATAAATTAGTGAAACCATGTTCTCATTACAACCAACGTAATTAAGTTTTTCTTCTATCGTTACATGCATTGTTTAATAAGTTAGCGATATCATATTATCACTATAAGGCTTAATTAAAATTTCCTCTTATAATTGAGCTTTTTTAGTAGTTATCAGAGTGTTATACCGGTCTTGCCCCCACTTTGTTTGGGACGGCTTTGAAAATGCTTAATAGAATATGGTCAAGCATGGGGTTGAAAAAGTAAAAAAATTATGTTGAAAATTTATCATGATACTAAAAAATACTAAAATATAGCAATTTACTTTCTGAATTCCCTTGCGTTAATTTCTCACCACTCTTTTGTGGAATCACGACTCTTTGTCTCAGCCATTTTTTTGTGGAATCGCAACTCTTTGTCTCAGCCAATGTAACACGTGTATCATCAAGGGCACGATGACTTGACGACATTTTCACTTTCATCCGACTTACCTCCGACAGCCTATTCATAATTTCAATGATACAACTAAACACAAGGTTGCATGTCAATGACAGTCATATGCTACCTATGTCGTTTCAAAGGCATTCTTATGTCAACTCCCGAAACGATATATATATATTAAAATAAATGATTGAGTGGGAGGATGGGGCAGGGAATTTAAATGGATGGGATTTAAACTGAAGGGAAGGGAAATGAAATGAGGGATGTAAACCATTTTGGATGGAAATGAGAAATGCTATGGTACATTAGGAGGGAAGGGGAAAGGACCCACTGTCCCAAACCTGATGTGTTGTTATTCCTGGTTATCAACTAGTCGATGGGACCATATTGTGTTGTGCCCTTTTGTTTGTCACTCACTGCAAGTGCTTGAGCAAGGATGGTTGTTACAACTAGCCCCAAACCCAATTAAAGAATACTTCTCTCTCTCTCTGGTTTAAAAAGACCATTCCATTCTATGGAGGTCCCTCACAAGAAGAAGAAATGGGCTGAGGATCATACATGGAAGAAATGCTAGCACGAGAAGAAAGCCACATGCACAAATACATATGTTTGATGCAAGGCATCGGTGTGACACTGGCCAAAGAGTCTCTGATGATCACATTAGTCTTAAATCGGGAAGAAGAGAGGATTTCGTTAGAAAATTGTGTCGTACCTTAATAAGTTGACCGATCCCTAATTTTATAGGGACAATGGTAGCGTTTATGTTGGGAACATATTTTCCTTTGCTTATCCATCACGAAAATGAGAGCTATTGACTATTCTTATCCTTTAATTATTGTGCATCATTTAATCTCTTAACTTTGGTGACGGTCAAACTTCATGTTGAAAGTCTGGTGTCACTATATATATATATATATATAGATATATATCTCACATTTGAATTCAATAAAAGAAAATTATTTATCATAAAAAAATACTGTAATGTTCTTGGTATATTAATGATTGGTATATTAATGATATGATATCACCAACTGATAAAAGGTTGACACGTAAAAATAATATTATAATACCTATAACATAATATCATTCGTGAAGAGAAGTCCATTTGCCAGATCTATTATATAAAAATTCATCTTTAACCTATAAAATATTTCAACTAAGAAAATGCCCCCCAACAAATTTCCCTTCATATGAATCATAAAACCTAGTACTATATACATAAACATTATACATACATATATAGATAAATAATTAATGGCATTTAAATCATTGGCATCCACTTTGCAGTAGTCCCCATTTACCAACTAACTAGAATATATACCGTTGAATAATAATAAATCTAGCTTGATCACAGCCATGCTAAATAGGAGGACAGCCAAACAACACTTGGTCTCATTAATGACCCACATGGGCTTTGAAATATGCTTTGACATCTTGTACACATACTAGAGCTTTTTAAGTAATACTGAAAGAGCAATAGGCACTTAAAAGAAAGAGAAAAACTAGTACTGCAATGAAGTCACACACATTATTAACTCATTTAAGGCGAGAAAGGTAGACCATTATAAATAAATTTAAATTGGTGAACGTTAACGGTGGACCATCATCACCATTTTTCTTCATTTGTAATTTTGTATGGTGCCCTAATCATATTTTCGAATTAGTAGTGGTCCAAAGTCCAAACACATCATATTATTATAAGGCCTTTGTTATATGTAGTAAGTGGCACATAAAAACCATCATTTATTTCTCTCTCATATTTTAATCATATCATTTCTACTAATGGTTAAACTTTCATTTGATTCCTTTTTTAAAAGTAACATGTTTGAATGCATGTCCTAATGTGAAAACCGAAATAAAATAATTTTGAATCAATTATTAATAAAAAAAACAGTGTTGTTCCAACATGCACACATATATTGACCCACTAATTATGAAATAAGATTATCTTATTCAACGAATGAAAATGAATGATGGAGACGAGAAATTTTAGAATACCTCAGGAGCATGTGTTTTTAATCACTATCAACCGTTGGATCATCTATCAGGGAGCTTCACTACTACATCGAATTGTTAATAGTGAATGAATATTTTAAAACTTCTAGAAGGAGGTAGTACAAGATATTGATATTTTGAAAAATAAAAAAGAGTAGTTAGAAAGAATATAGTACCATATGGTATTGATCACTAAGAGGAACAAAGTTGAAATTGGACATTTAACAATGTATTAGGTAGTCGGATGAACTTTTTTAATGGATGCTGTTATAAAGGCAGCCGAAACTTTGGGTGTGGAATGGTACACATACACCAACCGACTGCTTTTTAGCAAAATCAAACACATTACTAGTTACCCAAATATTCTCCCTTGGCTGTTTGTTTGTATAGCTCGAGATATGGGGGAATGCGAAAATATGTCTTTAGTCTAATACTTACATACACATATTGTATACATATAGTAATATTTTATATATATATATATATATATATATGAAATTTTGTTGTTTTATGAAAGAAAATAAGCTGGGGAAAGATGTTGAAGATGTCATGTAGAATAGTTGCCAAGTTATTTTGCTAGCAACACCACATAGATGTTTTGGTTTAGTCTTTCAAAGATATCTACTTGTATACTTCCTATTTGCATGCCAAACTACCACCATGCGCACACACGTGCGGGAAATCCGACATGTACAGTTTAATTTTCATAATAGAATATAGTAGTTCTCAAGAATTCAAAAAGAATTATAAAGAACAGTTAAATGAAAACATGTCTTTTCACAACCGGTTTCTAAAAATAGAAAATAGTTCATGCTGGTGAGTACATCGTGCCAGTGTGATGATCCTCACCCTGAGTGCACCGGACACCACAGTTCAGTGGAGGGATAAAAGCCCGAAATTAAAAACCATCACAATGCTTCCTATCTTTTTTTAACAGAATTATGTCCATGCAACAACTTCAGGATGCAAAGTTCCTAAAATTTCAACCGATTCACTGTCAAGAAGGCGAGTCCATTAGAAATTCAGAAGGAAGTTGACATAATGACATGTACAAGCAACTAGCTTAAACATATTGACCCTGGAAATCTACAGATGATACAAAACCAAATCAACGATAAAGCAGGCAATGAATAACTCATTTCGAATGTTTCAATAGTAAAATTACAACACACCTCTAGAATTTCTATAGCGGGGGATGGGAGGACATGACCCCATGCATCTGGAAAATTAAACAATGAATTCTTCCAGTTGATACAACATAACTTATATAAAATGTACAGGAATAAATTCAAAAAACGAATCCTACATTAAATTCCCCCAGAATGAGAAAAGAGGCTACAGGAAAGCAACAGCACCAGCACCAGCACCAGCAGCTTGGGATAAAAAATGTCCCGTGAATGGTATGGTAAGCTCATCCTTTTGCACATGCCATTTTTCACCTTTTCCTCTCACGAGTTACTGTCCAGTACACCCTTGAGAAGATTCAGCCCTTCTGCTGATATACTCCTCCTAACTCGGGATTGAGGCACCTCTATCCGGGGAGGAGGGTCGGGAGAGAAACAAACCACAATAACTGTTAGATTATCACATGTATTGCGCTTGAGTGCTTCCCTCACCAGCTCTCTAGAGCATCTTTCAGGGTCATTGTGGAGCATCAGTTCCTTCCTTGCCATTGTCACAGCACCCTGGCTGCTCATTACATCCCAGAGACCATCACACCCTATTATCAAGAACTCATCATCCTCGGTTAATAGCGTCTCCTGCAACTCTGGCTCTGCACTCAAAGGACAGGCAGAACCTTTAGGACCCTTCATGTGCCAGTCTCCAAGGGCACGTGACACAGATAATTGGCCATTGAGGTAGCCATCATATACGGCTCCACCAAGTTGTTCTATTCTTAGTTTTTCGGATGTGCAATTGGGTTTGTGATCTTTGGACAGCTCAACTGCTCTACCTCGTTTCCCCAACACAGCCCGACAATCCCCGGCATTGGCAATTAGCATTTTTCTGCAAAAGTAAAAACAAGGTCAGGAATAATCCAATGAGAACTTTTCACAAAACTTCTCATTCATAATGAAGTGGCAGTGCAACTTTCGAGAATTAAAGAGACATTAATGGTCCTTTATTTCAAATTTGCAGTTCACTATTAACTTTAGTGAACCCTCTCTCTCTCTCCCCAACTAGCGATAACATGAAGGTTACTACAAAAGTAACTACGCACAATCCTTATTATAAAGTAAATATAGGATATGGGTTGAATCTCTCTCTCTCTATCACACGCGTGCGCGCGCATATTCAATCCTTCATAAAAAAAATAGATCACTCTCTCTCTCTCTCTGTCACACACACACACACACACACACTCAATCCTTCATAAAAAACATTGAATCACAGCCGTTTTCTCTTCTTTCTTTCAAATCCTAAAGCATCTCTTACATGTTTTTCCAGTAAAAACTAATAACTATATAAGTATTACTGATGTTTGCAAGCCGAGCTTCAATGTGGGATCCTTAATGAGTACATGTGCTGCATAGAAACACTTGAGAACTGTCCTTGCAACTAGTTAAGGCGGTTCTCAAGGTAATTCCAATGACAATATATACCAGTACCATTTTTAAGTTCATATTTACACTGACAAAATAAAAACAATTCTTCATCCCACTTACCTTCCAAAAACAAAACCAGTCAGAGCTGTGGTGCCAGAAGAGATGTCAAGAGAAGTATCATCTGCAAATGCATGGTCAGCTTTGACAAAAGCATTCTTAATTGCCTTCTCCACACAAACAGGAAAATGGGAGTCCTCAACTATAAATTTAAGGATGTTCTTTCTGATAAATGATGCTGCATCTGTACCACCATGGCCATCAAACACCTGTGAAAATTAAATAATAAATATCACATCATGAAAATAAATAAATTAAACAAAGAAATTGAATACTAGTCCATGTAATCATGGTGATGATTCAATATATTGAAAACCTCCAAACTCACCCTAGGCCATAAAAATTGAGAATTGCAACACCCAGATATTAGCTGAATAAAGAAAGGGACTGTCTATGATTTGATAGAGAGTATATCAGAAGAAACAAGCCAATTAAAAATAATAATTAGGGATCATTTTAGATTTAGCTCATACAAGTTTAAGAGCACATCTGTAACCTCTCATGGTTTCTGGGAATTAAAAACCTCTTGATGCTTTCCTTAGTTCCATTACATCTAACTTCAACCACCTTTACTTCACCTATTTTAGCCAATCCACCTTAATGTTTCAATCGGGAATAAATTGCAATTCAATGTCCAAGAGAAGAACTCTATTTTTAAGGAAATGTAACAATTAAGGCCCATGAGAGATCAGTTATATTTTAAAAGCCACGAGGGAGGTCTGATCTTTTCTGATGACATCAAGCGTATTTAGGATATCAAAATCCAAAGCTAAAATGTGAAATGATTTCCAAAATTCGCGATCTTCTGCCATGATCCAGCTAGATGTTACCCCTCTCAATTAGATGTGACTGATTATAAAGTCAAATGGTCCAACAAAAAAGCACTAATCAAATGCTAAAATAGATCACCTAAGTCCCAATTCAGGAAAACATTTAAAGGAAAATTTGGTCCATGAACATCGTTTCAGTGATTGTACATCATGTGTGCAGGTCAATTATCCAGTATCGGTCCATCAATGTGGGATACTAAGGGATCTGAAGAGGGGTGGAAAAGATAGAACAAGTGTACAGATCCAGACCTTATATATGCACCTGTCTATCATAAGAAATCATAATGCAAAGCAGAAGCAACATTATCACACAATCTAATTAACGCTGGATTCCAAAGAGTCACACACCCCATAGAAAGCTCCACAAGAAGGGAAATCCGCAGCTGCACCTAAATGTTCAAGAAGATTATCTATGCATACGTGCTCATCCTCCATGTATTGCTTAGGTCCTTTCTCAGCACAGCTTCCAGATCGAAACACAGGTATAAAACTTGATTTTCCATCTGAAGGCGACTTGATGCCAAAAGCCCCAAAATCAAAGTCCTGGCAAGGTTAAATAAATAAAAATTAGGCACTTCAAATCCCTTATGCAGAAAATATATATGAAATTAAGTAGAAGATTTTAGGAATATGACCAGTCCTCCACTCAGTTGCCCATAATACAAAGGAGAATAAGAAAGAATTGCTGTTTAAATGGCTTTCACAAGGTTCCAAATTCTTTTCCTTCTTTTTTTTTTTCTTTTTTTTTTTTTTTCTAAGTATAAGGTTCCAAATCAATAGTTACTTTTTCACCTTAATAACAGCAAAAATGAAAATATCTAAAGTGCTAGGCTCAGTTTTATCCAGAACGCGGCAGAAGTGAGAAGGGAGAGAGCGCAGTCGCATTGGTTCACTGTGAACATAACAAGTCTACAAAAACATAAGATCTCAGGCAATAAAACGGTGGAAGGCACAGACAACCAGAGAATATAAAAAAGATATAGTTTATATATATTATAGAAACTGGAAATTAGGTATGAAAGATCCTTTTAGACAGTTGTATGATATCCTAATACACAATCACCAGTGATGATGGCCTCGTATTCCTTAAATTTTCCAATGATGATCACAGGATATCTAAAGTTGACCTTACACCAAGTGAAATTAAACTGTAGGCATACAAAGTCCTAAACTTCTTCTATTTAAACTCAATTACTTCATTAGTTGAATTTATTCAAGGATTCTATTGATTAAAAGGCTAAAAAACGTGGACATGGATATAGAAACGGGATACGACACAACATACACACACCGACACAGCATATCTTTAAAAAGTACGACTCGGAAAGTCATAAAACAACCACCAAAACCTAGTGATACTTCCTTGCCTTCCAAAGTAGAAGGTCAAAGGTTCAAGCTCCCACAGGGACAAGTAGGTGTGATCGTGTATTCTTGCCAAGGTAAAAAAAAAAAAAAAAAAGTCATAAAACAAGAACATGGTATTAAAATATATATTTTATACAGAAAACGGTACTTCGTGACAGCTAAACATAATATTTTATGATATGACTAGATTAAATTCTTAGCTAAAGGAAAGTCTTATAATCTTATGTGATGTATAACGTTCATTGGTCACATGATGGCGAGTTTCCAAGATGTATCGATCATGTGTTGAAATTAAGAAATGTCTTTTTACACATCCAAATTGTTTGAATGTATTGGGAAGCGTCTAAAAGGTGTTGGTGCCCGCCACCTGTATAAAACAGACACAACTTATATGTGTCCACGCTTCTTAGATTAAAAGGTTAAAACAGTACACCCACTTAACAGAATCATAATAGACTATTAAGAGCTTAAACACCAACATAATATATATTATATAGAAACTGAAATGAAAGATCCTTTTACTCTAAATTCCTAATACACAACCACCAGTGAATATGGGCCAATGGCTCCATATCGTTTTAAGTTCTCCAATGATGATGATGGACTATAGTAACATATACAATGAAAAAGACAATAGAGCAATTTAAGTTCCATGGGATATCTATAGTTGACCTGACACCAAGTGAAATCAAACTGAAGGCGTATAAAGTACTAAACTTTTTCTATTTAAACTCAATTACTTCATAACTTCATAAGTTGAATTCATTAATAAAAATTATTAAAAGCTTTGAAAAATTAAAAGGCTAAAAAGCATGGACATGGATACAACACAACACAAACACGCAGACAAGGCAAATATTAAAAAAGTATGAATTGGACACAAGAAGAAGATGACAATTTATACAGAAACAGACTTCATGGCAGCTATACATTAGTATCTTATGACAGTATGACTAGATGAAATCCATAGCTATAGGAAAGTCTTATACTCTTATGCAATGTATAAGGTTCATTAGTCACGTGTTAGCAAGTTTCCAAGAAGTATTAGCCTTGTCGAAATTAAGATATTTATTTTTAAATTATAGAAATATCCAAAATGATTGGCCACACTGGGAAGTGTCTAAAATTGTAGAAAACATATACAACTTATAAGTGTCCACACTTCTTATATTAAAGGTTGAAACAATGCACCCAATTAACAAAATCATAATAGACAGCTAACAGCTAAAACACCAACTTGATATGATCAAATTTGATTAAGTAAAGGGTCATCTCACCAAGTTAGCGGCAGCAACCAGCGTAGCAGAACTTATAGAATGGCGTACAACCGAGAGGTGCCGTGGAGGTTTCCTACTTGTCATTTGCTTCAAATTATCTGAATTCTCTGAAATTTCATCTTCCACATTGGAGGCATTTTCGTTATTGTAACGGCCTTCTGATATACCGAATGGAGGCGAGAAATCAGTACCTGCAGCCATATTCTTTTTCCACAACATAAACTATGTTCCTCGAGAGAAACCTTAAACCAGACAAACTTTCTACAAATAATCCTGTGATCGAAAATGACTGTTCAAACTCTATCAAACTTCAACACTGTTTGCAGACAACCAATTTCTGACTCAAGTAGAAAACCCGAACAGCCAAAAATTGTCAACCAAATGAAGCAAAACTAAAAACTGTTTCTCAAACGATGACCAAATCCACAACACACCAGATACACTTGAGCCTTAATCTTTGTCGGTTTCCTTCAAATACCAAACTTCTACACCGTCACTTCAATCTTCAAAAGCCAATTAATTGTCAAGTCTCTAACTTTATCGACCCAAATCAATTCGCATATAACAGCATTCAAACTTGTACAAACCTTCAGTCACTTCTTATTAGACAATCACTGAGAATTATATCAACATAAAAAAAAACAATTTCACATCCAATCCTCAAAACCCTCACCAGATTTCAAAAACTCGCCAAATACGGAAACTTGGTAATCCAAAGAAAAATATCAACTGAGAACAATAATTCATATATACAAGCTGCCAAATTCGTTAAAACCCAGCCAAAAAAACCCAAGATTTCATCCAATCTCTAAAAATCGCATCAAAATTACAAGAATCCAATTCTTCCTACAAATAAACAGAAATATATAACCCTTAACTTAAAAAGTAGGAATTCTCACATATGACGATGATGATTGCTAAGCCTTTTTGCCTTTTGGTAAGTCGACGGGTATTGACGAAACCCTAGATAGATATCTCCAAAAAAGAAATACAGAGAGAGAGTTTTAGAGAGAGAAAGAAAAAACAGAAATAGCAGAGGGAGGGGCGACAGAGAGAGAAAGGAGAAGTAAATTGTTGTTTGTTGGTATACGGTTGGCAACCGGCGATTCCAAGTAATCCGGTGGATCTTGTAGCTGTCAGGCGGGAGATGCCGTTTCTCAAACGTGTTAGGTTTTTATTGGCGAAGCTTCTGGTTGACCGGATGACCTTCAGTTTAGTTGATGGTCAATGCTGCCAGTGCGTACCAGCCGTTGGATCCACAATGGACGGTTGGACGCTGTCCAATGGTTTCTTCATTTATCTGAGAGGGTAGGTTCGCTAACGGACGTTAGAGGCGTGCGTCTTAGATTTTCGAGGAATACGTGTCCATTCATGATTGGTAGGTAGTGGTCTTCTGGCTAGGACAAGGTCTACCAACCAAACAAATAAACACATTTGTACTGATTTCACACTTTATTTTACTACTACTATTTACTCACTTAACGAATTTTTTTAATTTTAATAGTCAAATTCATGCCAATAATTAATGGGTATTAATTGAGATGTTATGATTTTGAGTAGACAAATTTAAGTGTGCGGCGTTAGTTTTATATATATATATATATATATATATATATATATATATATTTGAATAGTTGAACATTTTAGTCTTTAATTTCCCATTTAAGAAAAAGGAGATACTAATGAGAATTTGAAATGACTTTTGTGCTGACAAAAGCTAAGAAAAAATTGTTTCTCAAAGCAAAAAGAAGTAGGTTGCCAAAGGTTAACCGTTAATGCAAATAAATCTATATTTTTTAGGAGATAAAACAATTTAGTCATATATACAACTTCAACTTAGATTCCAACTCATGACTTTTTTAAAAAAAATTTGAATCTAATACCACTAAGTAATTACTTCTTATTAGTTAAATATATCCACTAAATATATCCACTTGAAATTGCAGTTAGGTACATATGGTTAACATAGATTTCATACAATAGGGAAGATTTTAATTGATTGTCTATAGGAAAAATAATCCACTTTATAAGTTGATATTGATTTACTCATTCATTTAAGTCTTAAAAAAAAGACTCTTTTATTTTTTTTCTTTCTTAAAAGTCCAAAATTTATCTTTCCTTAACCTTCTTACAAATCTTCTGGAACTAATCCTTACCAGCGAAAATGATATTTTTATCATAAGAAAATAATATTAATTGCGAAAGTCAATAACCGACAAATCACAAAGATGTAAGTAATTTAGGTGTGAAGTCTAATAGACACCTTGAGAATAGTTTGTTGTCTTGACTCTCTTAATGAATAGAGTCTCGTAATGAATAGTAATGCTCGACAACTTTAAAGTTTGAAAATTGTCAAAAAAATAAAAAAAAAAAAGAAAAAAGAAAAAGAAAAAGGAAGAGGTAATTGTTGGACAATAATTTTTACCATTTGTGGGATCACAACACAAAACAAAACCAAGTTCGTGAGAATATAGTATTAATTATTGCGAATATTGAGATAGTTGACATCAGTGATCTTTCCCACCTCATGCCTTGGGCATTTGGTCATTATAGCGGGATTTGCACGCGATCGCCTTGAACGCGTGTGAAATGAAAAGGGGACTTTAGTTGCAAACCCCAGTCAGCAATGTCTAAAACAGCCCTCGCGATATCATATATTTACCTTCTGTTATAGCAAATTAATTTCATCATGATTTTTCATATGATGAATTTGTCAACACAATTATAATGAAAGGGCACAGAGAAAGTACCTGGGAGAGCGGCCCATTGGACTGTTTAGTACTATGTTGCTTTAGTTGTATTAATAATTTGTTACGGCCCAAATAACAGTTAGAGGAGACATGGCCCAATAAAGATTACTTGTTTCATTTCACTCATAACTTCTTTGTTGTATGTTTTATTTATTTATAAAGATTACTTGTTTCATTTCACTCATAACTTCTTTGTTGTATGTTTTATTTATTTATTTATTTTTTTTGTGATGCACCTCATGCATGTGGTATACATACATGATACATAACACAATATAATATTTAAATCGAGGTACAACTGAGTCTCCATTAATTTTGTTGCATCCTCCATTAATGTAATCGATGTTGAAAATCATTCAATATTCGTTTCGCGATGCCGTTGGAATGAAAAAATAAAAATAAATGTTTTTATCGTAATTTTCTTTTTAATAAAAAATATGTTAAAGAGTGTTTAGTGACAAATTATCTATTTGGTAACAAATTTTTTCTTTTTTCTTTTTTTTTAACCAAGAGTCTTATGACCTAACGATATTTCCTCTATCTCTTAAAGTGAATGATGAGTGTATTTTTTAAAGTACTTCTATTACTAATTTTACAATAATATTTTTTAATAAAATATTATGATATTGGATAATAGCAACTTTATAAAAGTAGGGATGGAATTGTCTTTATAAATTAAAAAAAGGGATAAATTTGTCTAAGTTGAAACAATTAACTAAAATATAGAACCTCAAGGACGTTTTAAATGTTACCAATTTTAGCTTGTCTTTATAAAAAAATGAAAAGGATAAAATTGTCTAAGAAGAAACAGTTAACTAAAATATAGCACCTCTGCTTGGAATTTTACAAATTACAAATTTTTTAGCATCATTCAAAAACTCTACGGAGCTAAAAGTAATTTTAATGATTGTCGAACATGTCTAAACACAATTTTTTTTTTTAAAAAAAAAAATTTTAAATAGTTGAAAAATAATCTCAAACGATCTCTAAATTGTTGAAGCCACAATATATCGAGATTCAAAATAATAGTCTTTCAATTCAATTTGACACACACACACACACGAACATATCAACATAAAAAGGTGTATGTTGGAGTATTCAATTATCACTTACATTTCAATTTTCAAAGAGAGGGAAACAGTAGTAGGTCGCATCGTTTACTTATGTTGTGTTTAGAAATATTGAATCGATACTTTAGATTTGGTATTTGGAAATATGTTGTGTGATATGGAATTATTTTTTATATTTCGTCAAATGTTTTTAGTCTAAGTACATATCTAAAACACTCATAAGGATTTTTTTGAGCAAATAGCACCCCTTTTATTTTGAGTAAATGACTTCCTTAAAAATTTAAAAATATTACAAATTAGGTTTACCGTTAACAAACCACGTGCCTCACGCATGATTAGTTAATTGTATTAAATAAGGAAAATCTCCTTATTTGACTCCGAAAATGCCCTTACCTTTTTTCTTTTTTTTTTTTATTTTATATATATATCTCATCCTGTCCTTTAATAAAGGTCATAATTGTCATTTTACAACGGAATTTTTTACTACTTTTTTTTTTTAATTGTAGAAAGGGAATTTTAGTATTTTTATGGCTCCATTAACAACTTAATGAGGGAAGATTTTTGTGCACTCCTAAAATAAGCGTCAGAAGATGTTACATATGTGTTAAATGCTTGCAAGCCAATGTTTTATTGTCCGCACAATGAGTTTATGGCACATTGCACAAATGTTAATTTATTGTATAAATGAGTAAAAACTCAGTTAATGGAGGTCACTGAGAGAATGCAAATTCTGAAGATCGAAACCGTTATTTATACAACCAAAATGATGTACTTAAAAGTGATTTATATTAACCCAGACTTTTCCAGTAATGACTGTTTGGATGGACTTGAATAGCATGATCCGATAGTCAAAATGTACTAGTATTATTTCTGATTAATATAAACTAAACGGTGATTCGATTCCATGTGAAGTAGTAATATAAACAGGCATAAAGTAAAAATTTAATGAAAAGAAAAGGCCTTTGATTGAGGAGATGTTTTTAACTTTTATCATGTGCATCTTTTATCTTTTTGCTTCTCCCTATAAAAAGGGTTAAAAAAAGCTAGCTTGAGACCCCACTTTATGAAAAACCAACCAAATATTCAAAACACTTCATGCATGGTACCTTTGAATTTCCTAATATTGTCACGGATCAAACCAACGAATTCTCGGCTCTTTAAAACCAAACAAATCAATGTCACATTTATCTTCAACAGTACTCCGATTAGATAATGATAACACTAGCTACCAAACAATGCAAAACAACTGTCAACACAATTCACACCCGATCGTAATGTTTGAAGTTGGGCTAAAGTGTACAATATTATCAGGCTTTCACACTACTTTTTTATATGTCGTCATAACGGCATGTCCCGTAACCTGCTCAGATGGAAAAGGGGGCAAGTAAATTCAAAAAATGCACATGAATAGACTACTAAACATAGGAAGAAATGACAAAGAGTGAATAAGTAAGAAATGTGATAATGTACTTACTTGGGTCACTGAATGTAACAAGACCAGTGCCTTTGAAATCACAGTTCCAATAGTTCCTCCCATGCATCTGATAGTACACATTCATGGCGTATGATGCATGTGCATGAACTTTATTGGGCTCAAAACATTTCCCACTATCATAGATCTCTCTGCAATCCACACCACCTGACCCACAACAGAAATCCAACACTGCTTGCACCACCTTCTCGTCGGCGTGTGGCTTCGCCACGCACCAAACCGACGGCCCCCTAGCCACGCCGGAAACTTTCTCGCCAAACCCTAATTTCCCACCACCACTGCAAAACTCGCAGCTCAAATCCACATCATACACCTTAGATCCGTCACCATTAAAAATCCCAAAATTTCTCTCGCTAGCATCCCCTTTTTTCTTGTTCTCATTGAACAGTGCAAACACAAATATCTCTATATTGTCCTTGGGCCTCATGGGCGTGCCTCTAGTAGACTGACCACGTTCAATCAACCTAGTGTTGTAAGTTTTTGCATTTTCCGGCGTGGCTGCAGTGTCACCGGACTCACCCTTCGACGGCCAACCGGATTCCGATACTGTGATCTGGACCGACCGGTTCCCGAACCCTAGAGCGCTGATTGCTGACCGTGCCGCATCAATTTGTGCGTCCAACATATTGGTGTACATGTACCCCTTAGGGTCGCGTACCCCGGTACCGGTAGCATTGCCTAGTAATGCATACTCTAGGCTAATCGTGCCGGGGTTGTCCCGGTACGCGAAATAGGGATAGGCATTGACCATGAAGGGTGCACCGGTGTCAGCGAGGAAGCCGACGATGGCGGTGATGGTGGGGATCAGGTTGATGGCAAATGTGGAAGCTGAAGGCGGAAATGAAGAAGCTAAAACTGCCATGCTATGTGGGGTTGTGACCTTAATCTTACGATCAAGCCCACGTGAAATCAGCACTGCATGCAAGTTCTGCATGGCTTGGACTAATGCCTTGGGGTCCAAGTCATCGTGGTCTTGTGTCAGGTACTCGTTGCCCACTGCAATGGCCACCACGGAGGTGGCCGGAATAAACGGCGCGACTCGGGTGCCGAACCACTGGTCGGCCGCGGACGTGCCGGCGCTTATGTTGGCGACGTGGTTGTTTTCTACGGCGACGATGAGGTCAATGCCGGTGTTGGAGAAAGCTTCGAGGATGTCTGGATTGGTGTCGTAGATCTTGACTTTGTCTATGAGGGTGGATTGAAGGAGCTGAGCCACCCTCTTCGGCGGAGGAAGGTTGTTTCCAAGTGTGCCGTAGTTTATTCCGACGCCGGAAACATTATGGAATAGGGTGAGTAGGAGTGAGAGGACAAGGAACTTGGTAGGACTAGGAGCCATTGTGTGTTTTTGACTGAGTGTTGTGTGGACTTCTTATTTAGTATGAATATATGTCCTGTTGCTTGCAGAGAAGCCCATCGAATTCTGTTAGAATTACAAGAGTGCCACTGATTTTGCTGGCCTAATATTATTATATTATTTATTGAATTAATGAGTGAAGGTATGTCACACAACTCATAAATAATAAATGCATTCTGAAGGGTAACATTGGAAGGGAATAACTTATGGCATTTTGGTTATTTTAAGAAGAAACCGGGCTATCTTAGCCAAACTACAATAGACCAAAATCGGTTAGACAGAGAGATGGAATCTTTTTGGTAGAGGCAAGCAAGCTTGACTATTTCTCATGCGATTTTTACGTTGGCTGAATTGCCCTCCTCTTTAGCATCTTGTAACATTATTTCCCAATAGACCTGAAGGTTATAAATGGAACTCCATAAAAGAGGCTGTGGTATCCAGCTGAGCTGCAAAAGACAATCACTCTTTCATGCTTATATCACTCTGATAAAAGTCTGAAATTTTGTTCGGTGTTTTATCTTCTTTTTCAACATATAAAGTAATGTGTCCAAAGTGCAGACACAATAATTGGAAAATTTGAAAAAAGGTCTTCTTGATTTGAAATATGGGAGGGGCCGTGTGAAAGCCCACATTTTGGGTTTTGAGTAGTATTTGGTCATCTAGATTGAATTCAACCCATGCTTTAATTTCTAAATTAGGATTGCATAAAAATTTGTTACCGTACACAATTATATTTTAAAAAATAATAAAAATAGTAATCAATTTGTTATCGTAATAATTAAAATATTTTGATAAAATTGTGGTTCAAGACCTAATCGAACCGATACGATAATGATAATTCGGTTATAGGCCTCAACGGTTCCAATTTTTCAATTCGGTTTCGGATTTTTTAATTTTCAATTTAGTTCCACCCTAACATGGATCCTCATTTATATATCCCCTGTAATAAGACTAAATAATGATGTATTAAATTTGAATATTTATTTATTTATGTAAAGTGGCATGTGTACCATTTTTGTAGATACGAATCACACAAACATATTTTATACAATCTCAACCACTGAATTTCTGTCTTGGTAAAAAAAAGAAAAAAAACTCGTATTAGGTTTGTTTCACTGATATGAATCAACATGATGTACAATCTTCAAGATTTTTCACCTAAAATGCAACGGAATCACTCAGCAGCTGATTTGATATCAAATCTTACCAACCATACGTACACAAATTACACATACCGCGTTGAAATAGTTGAATGCCAACAGAACAAGACCAGGTTACATAAAACTTCATTGCCCAAGAGAGAGAAATAAAAAAGAAGGTAATAATTCAGTACTAAGTTTAAAGTGGAAAGGAATATTAAAGCTTGACATGTTACAAAATTCTAATCCGTCACATATTTTTTTTATTTTTTATTTTCGAATTTTTGAAGTAGAAGATAGTTATATACCCACTCTCCCCAAAGTTTAAAATGAAATTTAGACACAAGACTTCTGCCGAAACCTGCAATGGCTTCGGCTGAAGTCTTCGGACCTTTTAGCATTGTCCTTCTTGAGAACATATCTAAACTGGAATATCAGTTAATGCACCAAAATCGAAGACAAAATAAATAAAAAGTTCTGTATATAAATCAGATGAAAACTTCCTTTTTTATATTATTGTTTATCATATCAAGAAAAAACATAATTTCTCAAGCTAGGAACTGCCATATTCAAAGAAAACCACGTTCAATGTCAAGAGACAAATATAAGTCATTCAACTATTATTCCTTAATCCGGTAATAGATGAATTATATGTGAACCTGAGCATCTTATACAGGAGCTTCAAGTTCATCTGGATTTACGGCCACACCATTCGGGGGATCTTCTGATCGGAGCTGAACAGAAACATTATCAATAGCTGAGTTCAGCTGTTCAATCTTCTGTGTCAGTATCTTCCGAGTTCTCTATAGATAAAATATCAAGAAAGGAGAAATATAGAAATATTTATCAGTGCTGTTTGGTTTGTTGATAGTTTTGGTCAATTAAACGAATGTAGAAGTTGACTCTAAGTTAAACAATAGACATTTGTGATTAAGAAAAAATAATCACAAATGACTGGAAAACAAATATGAATGAAGATGACTTACCCAAAAAATATATATATATATGAATGAAGTGATACTGAAGATTTATGTCCAATAGTTTTTCATTATCTTTAACCACTCTGCCATCGCGGAGGGATTATTAATCCATGAATTAATTCAGTCATTCAGTTACAATGAAGCAAAGCACTTCAGCTGTATTGTGTACAGCCCAAAAGGGAAAGACAAACTTTTTTGGAGCCGCTCCGCAGTTTGCAACCTAGGAGTTGAATAATATATATATATATGTATATAAATATATATATATGTATATCGATGGGCATAACACACACCTGCATCTCCCAATGGGAGCTGAACCTTGCATCCACTCCCTAAGGAGTGGCAGGAATACTGCTCATGCTAACAGCTGGCAGATTCAATACCAAAGATTTTTTTTTTTCTTTCTGACAAGTGTTTCAATACAAAAGAATACTTCGGATATTCTACTTCTATGTAGTTTCCAACCACCATTTGCTTGTTTTTTTTACCTCCTTTTCAACTTGTGCATATGATCCAATTTATGCTCTCATAATACGGAGAACCACTTTTCAAATACATGAATGATGCATATTTAATCACATTGCTGGTAGTCTACTTGTGTCAGAATGCTCAGGGCCAATAATGTATGAGATTTAGTACTTACATGATATATGAAAAATGTTTAGACATTCAGGTATTTTGGGGGCACAGTGGCCAAGGGAAATTTTGAAGAGACAAGCAATAATTCTTGTACATAATATATGGAAATTTAAGCAAAAAAAAAAAAAAACGATATAATTAAGATAAGAATTTTGAATGCAAAACCTCAGAAAAGAAGGGGTGGGGTTGATCATGCAAAATAACTTAATACAGATAAGAGTAAGGAGCAATTACTCACTTCAAGAGCTTTTTCTTCATCATAGATGAATTTGGGCAGTTTCCTCATTAAATCCTGTTTGTCAGCTCCAGCTAGTGCTCTACTAATCTGAGGAGGAACAAAAATTTTAGGTCCAATATGGCACCAATTGGTACTAAATATCATTTTTACAGTAAAATTTTTATAACATGTATTGACACCAGAATCGACTGACCCATGAATGGCAGAAATATGAACTACATCAATTTGAATAAGATAATTATGGTAGGTAAAACAACACAACCTGAGGGGCACATATACAACCGAGGGAGCCAGCGAGTAATCCTCCCAAAATAAAGCCACCAACAAATGCGCCACTGATAGGTATTCCGTCATCACTGTAATAACATAAGTAGCAATAAACTGTTTGTAAGAATGCTATCCTTATAATAGCTGAGACCATTGATGGAAAAAGACAACAAAACAAGGGGAAAAACTGCTTAAATTACAAAAGTAAAAACAATCATTCTATTTAAATCTTCCAATAAATCTTCAATACATTCATATTTATACTCAAACTTGAATGGCCTTATCACAAGAGGGCTCACGAAAGAGATGATACCTATACCCTGCTTGAACAGTAAGTGCCCTCCTAGAGTTGGAAATTTGCCGCCTTCCCGCTCGATTGGTACTGAAGGACAAGTTGGTGGGCACACACCCCAGACATTGGTCCACTGATTTCAAGGGTGCGCCTAGCATTAAATTTCATTAAAGTAAAAAGAATTAGGGAATTAAGCATGATGATTAAACATATGATGCAATCATAAATGTGCCAAGAATTGTTTTGGTGGAAAAAATGCACCAAGTGTGCGATAAGTGATAAAATACATATCATGCATTTCAACTTCAAAACCAACAAAAAGGCCAATTGGTGTTTGCCATTTTAGCTTCTTTTTTCATTTTAAGAGGAGTATGTGGAATTAGCAAGAAGGCCATAGGTTAGTGGCCAAACAAGTTACATAGTCCATAAAGATGGTTTTCAAGCTCCTAGCAGTACATGAACCCAATCTGGGGTATGATCTCCAAACTTACCAACAAAAACTGATGACATTGCTGGAAAACAATGATTCTCATTTTACAAAAAGGGAACCGAAATATTAGAAGTCATCATACGAAATCCTCCCAAGTTTTGTTGGATTGAAACCAATTTTAGCACCTATAACATCAGTTGTGTTAATTGAAGCCATCAATCACCGAATAAGTTGCAACCATCAAAGTTACTCCATGAAAAAGTCTTTTGTCCAATAAAAACCCAAAAATGGGAATGTTATGTACAAGAGGTCCAAATGTTAAGTTCTACTTAACGTATATTTATGAATTTCCACTCTAGACAAAATTAAGTAATTAACCATCATTAAAATTTTCAAAGCCTATAACTGGCCTCATAAATATGCAGTTTGTTGAACTAGGAGAGGAAAGAACTGAGCCTCTGCCAGTCACTGGCAGCACATCCACCAACCATTGTAGACCAAACCACACCCCTCCTTTCTTTCTCTACACCGTCCAAAACTCAAACCACTATTATCATAGAATGACAATATCTGCGGCCATCACAAATTTCATCTGCTATGGTCCCAGACACCTTGTGTATCACCAGCGAATTCCATCAAAAGTTTAGAACTAGTAAAAACAACAAATCATACAATCACAACCTAAGAAGCATGGACATGTCACTTCACGGACACTCTTGGACATGTCTCCAGCACTTCAGGACTGTGTCCATAATTTAAAAATAATTTTATTATTTCGGACACTTGCCCGACACATCTCGAACACTTGCTCAACACATTTCCACACTCAACAACATATCGCACACTCCGTCTTATATAAAACACAGCAGTCCAATAAACAAAATTATGAACATATATCAAAGTGTCCAAGCTCTTTTTCTTTAAAAAATTGACATTGAGAACATGTCATAGTATGTAATATGAACAAAAACATAACTACAATAACAAGATAGAATAGTAATATCATATATAATATAATATATTCCTTTTGATATTCAAATAGCTCCCCATTCTAACTTATGTAACTTTACTATAAAATTTAAAAATTAATTATAGTTCTATAATTGTCTTAAACTCAGTAGATATATAAATGAAAATTTATATTTATCTTAGCCGTGTTCATGTTGTGTCAATGTCCTATTCTTGTTTTAGAATTTAATATCCATGTTGTATCGTGTCATGTCCATGCTTCTTAGACCACAACCAAACCACAAGAATTATTTTCATCATTGTCAAAATCATCATTACAATCACTGGCTTCAAACCCAATATGCTCCCAAAATCATCAACAGAAACTTTTCAAAGTTCTAATAACCAATCAACTACATCTCTAACTTAGGGGTTTAATTTGAATTTGCATAGAAGCAGCACACTCCACACTCTATTAGGATAATGATGTCTCAAATTATCTATTTTAGAGTCGTGTTTAAGGGTGTAACTTTATGATAACTATGGGCCTCGAGGGAGTTGGGTTTGGGCTCTATCAATAGTTACGTAGGTTATTGTTGAGGGTATGAGTGGAAAGACATGTAGTCCGTGAGGACAATCTCGCGAGGGTGTATAGGTTATTGTTGAGGGTATGAGTGGAGAGACGTGTAGCATGTAAGGGCAAATCTCGCGAGGGTGGGTAGGGTGGGTTTACGAGTTTGTAATATCTCTACATGATTATAATGAGTCTCCTCATCCATGGACGAAGCTTGAGTTTGGGTGAACCATAAAAATCTTGTGTTGTCTACTGTGATTGCTTTATTTGTTTACAAAGTGATTTCCTTTTGTAAATCTTTGGCTTCCTCTGTGCCCGTTAATCTGTTTGATTCATGGACAAGTTCGAAATATCTAAAACATGCTAATGAAAGGAACACATTATTTAGCCATTTTAAGCATTTTTTTTTTTTTTTTTTTTTTTTTGCTTCTAATCTCTCTCATCCTTTTCCCAAGAACCAAACGGAGGCAAAAATCTAAAACGTGAACCAGGACCGTCGATATAACATGTGATTTGAACACTAAAACCATAAACATACAAACATTTCCGGTAAAAAATGTAACAGATCCATGCAAATTCAGCATTGTATGAATCGTAGAGGAAAATACACCTTAAACAGCAAAAATGAGATAAAAATTGTAGTTATAATAAGATAGTGAACACGTACGAAAATTTCAATTATTATGAAAATAATACTAAAAATAATCAAATCGAACAATGAAAAGTTAGTGATCAAAATTACCGAATGATGACTGGACTGAGAAATTCTTGGTTGAGACCAACGAAGTGGAGAGACAACTCATCCTTAGGGTTTTGTTAAGAGATCAGAGTTTAGAGAGAGAATGGGGAGTGAGTGTGAAACGAACCGACGGTGGAGCAGAGGAGCTTTAAAATAGGCGTTTTTTTTTTTTTATTTCTCCCTGTTCGATGATCTCGATGCTTCAAACATTTTAGAAAAAGAAATAAAAAAGTGATACAGTGCATTGCGGACAATGAAGCGATCATGGTTGCGATATACTTGCCGTTGACTTGTTTTTATTATTTTTCTTTTTTAAGGTCAGATTTGAGGTGGGACACATCATCTCTGAACACATCATCAAATTGTATTAACTGTAACCCAGAATCACGCAAGTCGTTGTAGTATAGTGGTGAGTATATCCGCCTGTCACGCGGATGACCCCGGTTCGATCCCCGGCAACGGCGAATTTTGATTTTCTACTTCGTTTTTTGGCTTTCAGAACTTAAAAGTTAAAGTTAGATCAATTTGTGGTTTTCTGATTTCTACTTCCTTTTAGAACTTAAAATTTAAAGTTATATTATGAATCAATTTGTTGGTCTTCTGATGGCTTTCAAAAACAAAACTACGAAGTTTGTAGTTTGCCTCCATTTTTGATTAGTTTGGTCCTAGTGCTCTCCTCTCCATGTTTGATTAGTTTGGTCAAAAATACAATTTATAAAAATAATTTTTTTTTTATATAGAATTAACTATTTCATCATATAGATGTCACTTACTCTAACTTGTCTAACCTATCCTTCCATCAAATGAGTGTTTTTTTTTTTATATATATATTTTTGGATAAGAATGTTAGATTAAAAGTTAGAGGTATACATTTTTAAGAACAAATTTATAAATTGAGAAAATTAAATAAAAAAAAGATTAATTATCAGTCCATTAATAAAGTTGTCATTGTCTTCTATTTTTTTCTTTTGTCTCTCTCTTCAAATCTTAACAAATAGTTTATATATACAAAAAAAAAAATATATATATATATATATAGAGAGAGAGAGAGAGAAAGAGAGTATTAATGCGTTTTACGATGACTTACAAAATAATAAACACTTTTATTATTAAGTTTAAATTTTGAAAGGCAAGACCAGGGTCAAAAAAGTCATAAATAATTTATTTCACAAACCATCTTTAATTTTCATAGATAAGTAATGAGAACTATATAAAATTTGGGGGGGGGTCAACTTTAATTTTCTTATACAAAATTACCATTAATAAGCATGAATAATTATAAAAATTGGTATTAATATTCTATACAAAATTAGTATTAATAATCATTAATAACTATACATTATTAGTAGTAATAAGTTAAAAAAAAAAAAAAAATGAAAAATGGAAAAATTGGAAAAGACTAAATATAAAAATTGGAAAGACTAAATATAGGGCGAATCCCTACTTACACTCTGGTCAATAGGTTGGTAAAAACTAGAACCATGGGCAAACCACGTACTCTGCAAAACTACAACTCACCACCACCTCTTTCTGTCATTTCCAATCCCGGTCCAGTTCCGTTACCACCAACAGAAAAAAATGAAAAAAATTGAACCGTCCTTCCGGAAGGAAGAGAACAACAACAATACAATGCAATAATGGTTCATTTTTCCTCAAAATCACCCATTTCTGAACCCTCGTGAATCTCTTCTTCTTCTGCTGCGTTTCTCCCTCTCTGGTTGATCGAAAATGGCTGGAGGAGGAGATACTCCGTCCAGAGAGCTCGATGAAACACCCACCTGGGCCGTTTCTTTGGTTTGTGCGGTTATCATCATCATTTCTATATTGTTGGAGAAAGTTCTTCATTCGGTTGGAGCGGTAAATATATATATATTTTTTTCATTTATTTTATTTTATTTTTTTGTTATTAATACAATTTCATTTGATGAACCCTTTTTTTTTTGGCTTCCCCTTTGATAGTGGTTTGAGAAAAGACGCAAACCTGCTCTGGTTGAAGCTCTAGAGAAGATTAAAGGCGGTAAGGTTACCATCATTTTTTTAATTTTTAATATTTTTTTACTTAGCTCCATAGAAATTGAAACCCAAGGCCAATATATATATATATAAATGAGGTAAATATATGCATATTTTTATGCAAGTAATGGGGGTTTCTCAATGTATACTTAAAAGGAAATGATTTTGAGTTTTTATGTATATGATTATGTCAAATTCTTTGATTGATTTATTGAGTGGTTCTACGATTTTTTTTTTTTTTTTTTCTCACACGGGACTTTAAGCAACCACCTTAATGGCATTAATGTTGAGTCTGTTCTGCCTCGATGTCAATATCTTAAAAAGGAAATGATTTTGTGTATTTATGTATATCAATTTCTTTGATGGATTGAATTGGGTGGTTCCTATGGTTCTTAGTGACCCGTTGTGCTATTTCGGATTGATTTTGCAGAGCTTATGGTTCTTGGATTCATTTCCCTTCTCCTGACATTTGGGCAGAACTACATTGCCAAAATATGTATTCCTATAAAGGTGGCAAACACAATGTTGCCATGCAAAGTGCAAGATCACGACGACACTCACGAAGCAAAGCATATGCTTTCAGATCCTTATGATTTTGTGACGGAACATCACCGGAGGCTTCTAACGAATGAACACAGATTTTTAGCTCTTGAGCCCGAACACCAGCGGACGCTTCTATTGGATGAACGTAGATTTTTAGCCGATGCTCAAATTCCAGCGTGCAAGCCAGTAAGTGCGTCTTGCAAATACTATTAGATTTTGAATCTTGACTGTGATATGGATGCTTCGGATAGCAATGAAAAGCTAAACTTATATGCGTAACTATAGTTTATGCACAAGTGCACAACAAAGCGCGATGTATTAAATACTCTGAATACTCTTTGAACATAGGATTAGATTAAAAAATAATAATAAAAATTTGGTGATTCCAGCTTATTTTCACCTTCTTCAACTGTCAATACTCTTTCGATCTCAATTACCAATCTAATTAATCCTTTCTCTAAGTATAATGCACATCTATTATCCTTAGATTTTGTATCTTCATTATCTCTGCAGGCCAAATATGTGAACTGGCCTTTTCAAATTACTTTCCTTTTGGTTAGTGTGGTGAAATAAATTGAAAAGACATGATGGAGATTGAGGTGAAATGGAGTATAGCACCCGAGATGGGAGGATATATTGGAAATGTGGATTAGTTTCTTGTGATTTCACATTATATGTGAAGTTGGGAAAGAAACTCGTTACATCAATGAGGCTAGACCTATGCTAGGAAGAAAGAAAATGTTGGCGCTGAAAAACAAATGTACGGAAAAGCTTGGAGTAACAGTAGTGGGTGTATCTGCATTGAAAATGATGACACAAATGAATTGAAATGTTACGAAAGATATAAGATTAGGCATGACTATGAGTCATGAGAGTTGTATGACTTGAAGGTGATGAAATTAAAGGGGAGGAGAGGGGGAGGGGCGGAGGGTTAGGGAGTCAACGAGGGCATGTAAAATTTACAGGAAGAGATGAAATCACAATAATTAATTGAATGATGTCCTACATAGTAATTCATGGGATGTGTAGGTTTTGTATTATTGACCAAAAGTAGCTGATGTATAAGTAGATGCTGCTTGTGGATTGATATCCAGGTGAAAAGTCAAATCAGCGCTGTTATTTCGAATGTTCCACAAACAAGGTGCATTGTACATTATATTAGTATGCTGATTTTACCAACATCTTTATGCCAAGAACCCGAGGGCTAAGAAAAGCTAGAGCTATTGAATGCTTATAACTAACTTTTTGCTGCCTGTAATTTTATTTTGGCTTTGGTTTAAAGTGGTATAAGGATTACGAAGGCAAATTAATTTTGAGGAGCATCTTATGTATCGCCATATAAAAGGTTTCTCAAAAGGAGCAATACGTTGAATATGTGGTGTGTGCTTTTTTTTTTATTGGTTTCTGATATCAATTGAACGAAGCAACACCTTAAGAATTGTTCACTTTTTCCATTCTTGTGAATTATTTGAGTTAAATGACCATCAAAAGAAGCTGGAAGGTTTCCATAACACAAGTTTTTGGTCATCCCATTCCCACAGTATATAGGAAACCTTGGTGGACTGGACTTGGAAGACATGGGAAGTGTAATTTAAAAAATCCACAGACAAAAAAAAAATTATATATATATATATATATTTTGGGAAAATCCACTAAACAACCTAGTTAATCACTGCTCCCTGATAGCTGTCTGTGGTCCATGATTGGTTATCGGATCTGTAGATTTAGCTTGTTTTGTGCATGCTATGGTTAAATTATAGCATAGTAAACTTTGTCGGCCGAAGTACTATTTTCTAAAATCAAGGCACACATTTATTTTAAGAAAGAGCAACTGATTTAACCACATCTCAATTTCTCTCTTTTTATTTTCTTTTATGCTAAGGGCTGCACTTGTGCAATGATAAAAATTTGGAATGTCAAGCATAGAATGCAGATTTGATTCTGGGAGCAGAGAATTCCAAAATCATGCCAAAGGTTGGCTATCTATGCAGAACCACATAGAGTAATGGCTATCTATGATTTCTTGTATGCTAAACTTATTAATACATGTAAAGTATCACCTAATACCATCTGCACGAATGATCATACCATAATTTTAATATCTCTTTTAATCAAAATCGCATTTTCTAATAAAAATATGGAGTTCAACTTTAATGCAATTGTCCAGCTATTATGTACTCAAGCTTTACTCCTCGACTCTTTAACTTTTTCATTCACATTATGGATTTGTATAGGTTCTAAAAAATTAGTTATGAAATATATGTGCATGGATTACATGAATTCCTGTTCTTCCCAGGTAATAACTAATCCAGTTCTTATCAATAGGGGTTCGTGCCGCTTATATCTGTCCATGGATTGCATCAGTTACACCTCTTCATATTCTTTTTGGCAGTGTTCCATGTTGTTTTCAGTGCAACGACGATGATGCTTGGGAGAGCAAAGGTGGGTGCTCATATGTGATTGCTTTTTGTATCTTTCTCATGTTACTTGAAAGTTCTGTTATTTAAAAATGAAGCAACCGGATGCAAGTGGCATGAGGGGTTCAAGAATCACCTTGAGATAGTTTCTTTTTATCTTTTCTAGTGGCAAATAAAGTTGCTTAGATGATCATGATTGGTCTTCTCCTCTATGCCAAAGATGGCCTTGCCCATACAGACAGCCTTCCATCTTGATTCTATATATATATATATGGGGAACAATCTACGCTTAACTTTCATTTAAAAATTTTGTACATGCAGATACGCAGGTGGAAGGAATGGGAGGTGGAAGCTGCTAAGGAATATGAAAATGGTATTTTGCTTTATTATTCTAGTAGCTTAACATATTCCACTTTGACGTTGCCATTCTCCCAACTGAGAAGCCGCCAATATCGTTAAATTGTTGCTTTTGCTCCTAGTATATTTCATAGCCGGATTTTTTAAGTTTATGTGTGCCTCTCGTGCAGATTCTATGAAATTCAGGCTTACCCATGAGACATCTTTTGTGAAAGATCACACCAATTTCTGGACCAAAACACCATTCTTCTTTTATATTGTAAGAAAGCTGAAATATGTTGCTGAATCATTCATTCCTGTTTTAATAACATATTGAATTTCTTGCAATAAAGGTGACAATATGCTAGTTAAATTATTCTCTCTCTATAACATTTTCAGATACTTAATTTAAAAACAGATCTTGTTTGTTTAACAAATTAAGTTGAACATTTTCCTTACCAAATACTTGATTATTGTTTTCTCTTTTTTACAAAAATATCCTGAATAACCCTTCAATTCCTAATGATTTGTTGTGCTGATTAATTAACTGTCTATATTGTGGGATTTTGGTTAGCACTATGACTATTTGGTTTGAATTTGAAAAGGAAAAGTTACAACTATTAAGAGTTGTTTTCCAAAAGAAAATAAAATTATTTATAGCCAGATTTATTGGAAGCTCAAAATTAACACTGGTTGGAAAATATAGTCCTTGACCTCGCCAACTTAAATATTTCTTAGTGGTGGCTAAAAATGGAGGTTAATATTTTACGAGACCTTGTAGAGTAACACTATGAATCTTCATTATTGAATTTAAATTCAACTTATATAGTCAAAAATATTAAAAATAATAAATTTATTGACACACATTTATTACTCAAGAAACACTCTTCTAGTCTAGTGGAACTGTGTTTTCTTTCTAATTTGTTGATTTGTTTGGTTTTCATACGGTTACTAGAGTCCCCTTGATGCAGGTAGGTTGGTCTTCTTTTGTACTACATTTTAGACTAATTTGATGCTCAATTAAATCAAACCTTTCAGGCATGCTTCTTTCGGCACTTCTTCAGGTCTGTTCGAAAAGCTGACTACACCACCATGCGCAATGGATTTGTCTCGGTGAGTCTTTTAAGTGCAAGAATATAAAAATTGTATTTGTACTTTTTAAATTGGTCAATTAGTTCTTGGGATAAGAATTTAATGTGAGCATTTTGACATTATGCTAGTATTTTTGTAGTTGGTTGACTAATTAAATTATGACCAAAAAATAAATAAATTGTTAAATTCTTATAGGTTCATTTAAGACCTGGAAGTAAGTTTAACTTCCAAAAATATATCAAAAGGTCATTAGAAGACGACTTCAAGGTAGTTGTGGGAATCAGGTACTTTTCTGTCATTAACATAGTGATTACAGTCTTATTACTTGCAGTTTTGTTTTGAGAATTTTGCCTTGGGACTGCCCTAATGTGGTCACAAATTATTTTCTGCACACATCTGACTCAATATTTTCCTGGTGCTGTTAGTGCGCTGCTATGGGGTTTTGCGACCATCAATCTGCTTATTAATGTTCGCGGTGAGTGAGTTTTTCGTTTTCCTTCATTTGATAGTGGAGTTCAATTTTATATATGGAAATTTATATTGACAGACATATTTTGCTTTCAAATTCACAAATAAGACTCTGCCATTCATTTAACCATTTCATTTCTTGCAGGCTGGCGGCTTATGTTTGTGCTGTCCATAATGCCTCTATTTGTAAGAAAGTTTGTTTCGATATAATATTCTATTTCGTTGCTTTTAGTTTAAAAAGGAAAGGGCTGATTATTGGATCGGTTAAAGGTTCTTTTAGCAGTTGGAACAAAGCTCCAGTCTATTATAACACAGATGGCTGTCGAAATCCAAGAAAAACATGCTGTAGTTCAAGGCATACCTCTTGTGCAAGTCTCTGATAGACATTTTTGGTTTAGCAAGCCTCAGTTTATTCTCACTCTCATACATCTCACACTATTTCAGGTAAAATTTGCCTCATTTTACTTGATGAAAAATGAGAAATATATATAGTGGTGGAGGTGGCATGCAATTCAGTGGATTAGGACTTAGGAGCCACCCATGTTTTATAAAATGTGGTGGGAGAGGAGAAAACAAGCTCGATGTAGTGGGAACAAGTTTTAACCATTTCTAAATAGTATATATATCACATTTAAATACTTATAATTTGAGGCTCAGTATTCAAAATTCTCTAACAACTTGATTTGCTTTCTCACGTGTTCAGAATGCCTTCCAGTTAACATATATCCTGTGGACAACGGTAATGAACAGCTCTCCTCTTTTTCCCTCGTCAACTTTTGGCAAATTCATCACTATTTATACGAAGTGATCTTTCTTTGTGCAGTATGAGTTCGGGACGCATTCTTGCTTTCTTGAAAGTTTGCCTCTTGTAATAATTCGACTTGTGGTAGGGTAAGTAGGAGTTTCGGGAAGCAATTCCATTGAACAATTTACTTCTACTGTAACTTTTGCAAGAGATGTCCTTGAAGTACCTAAATATTGTTCTAGCTTGACAACTTCAAACAAATTCATTGCTAATCCCTTTACAAGAAAATTTTAATGGAAATTTTTAAGTAATTCATCCAAGAAGCACATAGTAATCTTTCCTGATAGAATAGTAGAACATTCTGTTCTGACTAATTGGGAGATTTGATTTTGCAGGTTTATTGTCCAATTTTTGTGCAGCTACATTACACTTCCACTATATGCCCTCGTTACTCAGGTACTTGTATGATGCAAATAATTTCTTCTTGTCTATCCTTTTCTTTTTTAGGCTGACGGGGTGGGGGAGGGGGAATTTATGATGTGGGAAAGCAATAGGAACTTGGTCAAAGATTAATAGGTAGAATGAGTTTCATATAGTAAATAATGCAGTTCCAGTTCAGTTAGCTAAGACTTTTTAACCAAGTAACCTCTCGCCTTTTCCTGGTTCACGTTATAATGCATTCAGATGGCAACTTAATTTTCTAATGCTTATATATCGTTCGTAGTGTTAATTCAATTAACAATAGGGTACTTTTTTCCTGTTGGGAATTTTCAGATGGGATCAACTATGAAGAAGACTATTTTTGATGATCAAACTTCCAAAGCTCTAAGGAACTGGCAAAAGAATGCCGCCAAGAAGAAGCAAGAAAAGCCTCCAACTCGGACTTTAGGTGGGAGCCCAGTTGAGTCGCCTGAGAATTCCCCCAAAATCGGCCATGTTCAGTAATAAGGATGCTTGATGTCATGGTTGCACCAGGGCATTCACTTGCGCTGATGCCTATCGGGGTCTTTCCTTCACTACATTTGCACCATGCATGTATCTATTATGAGGAATGATATTAGTTCTGTTCCATCTTACACCTGATCAATTAGGAATGGTATATCGGTGCAAATTATCAGGCTACAATCCGTTTACTCGCTGATTGCTCCAGCACTGTTTGTAGTTGGATTGTATAATGTATACAGATTTAAAAAAAAAAAAAAAAAATGGTTCTGGTTTGTTTCTTAGGTACGTTTCTTTCCAGTTTTAGTTACATTTATACATTTCTGACCTTCGTAATGTACACCCTACAGAAAAGGACTTATACAATATACAGTATACATCTGATTTTATTGCTTGTGATAAAAGTTCTGTTTCGTTTCTTAGGTGACATGAAATTATGGATGTTGTTTCTATGAGATTTGGTGAATTAGAAGAGATGGGACACTCCATAAGCCTCTGCATTGTTCTTCTTCTTCTGAATCATATTGATTTATCTATGAAAGAGGTTGATGATACTTTCTTCAAAATTGACTATTTCTCCCTAATTGTCTGCGATCAAGTCGACGAATGGATCGGATTGACTTGAAAAGTGAAAATATTTGTAGAAAATCTTTTCAGTATGAATATGTTAGAAACTTGTGACTCTTGGTAAAACAGTTTTCAATTTCTTGTTACGTACCTTACTGGGCTTAGGGTTAATGCCAAGCCTATAGTAGTGTTATCTCCTCATCCTTCCATGATAGAGACTAAGGGTTCAAATATGTAAATATGGCATAGTGCATGGATGTGTGTGTGTGTGTTGAGTTTTGTGTACTTGCCAAAAAAAAATTAATTAAACAGGTGGACAATTCATTGCTTGCCATGGATTCAAAAGAAATGGAACATCACGCTGTTGCAAAGAAATTTCTATTTGCTAATCTAGTATGGAATTGTAATTCCAAAACTTTCTACTTCCAAAAGCATTAAACTTGTGCAACTTTGTATCAAACAAAATTACAAATCTCAATTGTAAATCATAAGTATGCTTTAATGGTACCTTTTCAAAACAAAAACATAATTGTATTGAAACAGTAGCAGATATGATATAACAATAATTATAGTAATATCATAACTTCATCTTCTAAATTATGTACCAATATAATTTATAGCATAAACTAGAAATGAAGCTCTGTACTATATATATATTATTAAAAAATTATATATTTATATATATAGCCATGCTGATATGGTATTCGTTTCTTACTTTTCTTTAGAATTTGATATGTCGAGGTATTCGTGTTTCGTGTTTGTGTCTATGCTACTTGAAAGCAATAAGGAAGAGAAGAAAATAGTTACTAGTTGAACGAGAAAAAATGAAATTAATCTTTTGTTTTGTACGAGTGCAACAACTTTGGGTCATGTGATATATGGCCATACGCACGAGTGAGAGATTGTTGGAAAGGTAGACATTATGGATTCGATTCTCAAGATAGTCATCTCGTGAGGGAGGGATTGTTGACAAAGTAGCATATAATGCTGCTCCTTACAAGGGTAGGCCTGGATCGAATGCCATATAAGACGTGTCTTACCTTCACTGAACACCAATTAATTTTTAGATATGATGGCATGGCCAATTTAATACATCCCAATATATTTTCTCCTACATTATTACTAATAGGCTCTATTTGTAATCTCTCTCCCTCACAATTTGATTAGTAAATCTATATATATATATATATATTTTTAATGCCCTAACACTTTCTTAACATTCCTCTTACAAAATTTTCCTTTCAACTTGTTTGGTATGTTGATATCACTAACTTGTCCATCAAACTTCCAAGCTACTACTAATATCATGATTTATTTCTATTTACGATGGTATTGAGTATTAAAAATGATAATTGCCATTAATCCTATTGTCTTATATTTGCTACTATTATTATATTATTATTTAAAAAATAATAAAAGCCCGAATTAATATTATAATCTACTATTGTTGATTTGAACAATGGTCTAAAGATTTGTTCATACTTGTATCTCCTCTACCCTTTAAAACAGTTGGTGAGGGTTCTAATTTTTAAAGAAACAAAGTAGGTGTGTGAGTGTGTGTGTGTGTGTGTGAGATGCAAAAAAAAAAGAAGAAGAAGAAGATTTGTTCTTATCCTCGATAATTAAGAGTACTTTGGAATAACAAAAAAGAAAAAGAAAAAAGTATACTCTTATTATTTTTAGATTTTTAAAATTAAATTTTGTATTTCATATATATTTTGTTTGTGTATTTTGCTAGTATAGAATCTATATAGTAAAGTGATATTAATCTAGATAGAGCACGCTACAACTAAGGGATAAATACCCACTACAAGACAGTTTTCACCATATCTAGGGTTGTTTGTTGTTGCGAGGTCTTATACTCTATCCCAGCAATAGCACTCCTAAAAGAGTAATGGAGACTTCTCTGAGATATGACTGCGACTCAAGAGCTTTGGTAATCCATGCGAAGGAGAAGATCGCCATCGACTCCAAAACCCACTTGCAGGTACAAACCCTTCTCTAAACACTTATTCGTTTTCTTTTAGCTCTTATCTTCTAATCTTTTTTTATTTTTATTTAATCTCATTCCATATAATGTTTGCCAATTACTATCACACTTCTTGTTCCGAATCTATGCTATTTTTATTTGCTTTTTGCATATTTAATCTGTTTGAATTGTTAAAAAGAATGTCATTGCAGTTTATCAAATCGTAATTAATGGTGTAATGCTTGCAAAATTTTCAATTCTTATAATATATTCATTTTGATGTTGGACTGTGGATGATGAACACCATTAATTGCGCGATTGAGGTTTATCTACAAATGTTTAAAATTTCAAGTTTTATATATGCCTAACATTCGAATTGCAAGGGCTATTGGTTCAAAGTTTGTCATTTTGGTGTTTAAAGTCAAGTGTTGGTATGTTGTGCCGATGACGCTTTTTACTTGTAGAGTTTGAATGATATGCCCCATTATAGTGATCTTCTTTTTCTTAATTGAAGATGATAAAATTGAAATTTTGACCAAAATTACCGATATTTTGGTGTTTAAATTACATTGGGAACAAGTTATAGGATTCAGCACCTCTAGCTTTTTTCCTCCCAGATATATAATGTTCTTAACCCATAATATCTCACCCACTAAAACCTTATAAATTATTGAAAGCTGTTTCTTTTTAATTGATCATATATATTATCGAATCGTCGGAAGCCCTCTTGGATGGTGATTTTGAATTATTGGATAATCTTATATGAATGTTGCAGCTGGAAGGCAAATGATATCTAGGACTTGAAGAGAGAAATGGATGGGCAGTTGTAAAAAAAATATCCAATATTCTTTTCAGCATCATCTCTCTTTCTCATTCTCTCCCCATATACATATACACATATATATATATATTTAAACTAACTAATTATGTAGTTGAACCCCCTTGTGTGCTTGATGCATTGTCCTTTTCATTTTACTCCTAATGGTATTCTTAGTGAGATACATTAATTGGAAATTAATTTTGCTTTCCTTTGTTCTGTTTGACATTTGGCTTCTACAGATCAATTTCAATAAGACGCTGTCTGATTTGTGTGCTCAGTTGTTGTGAAATGAGGATTCATTATACATTGTATCTAGATGACTCGGATAGTCTCAATCAATATAATCTTACTTCGACCTTGAGCTTCAGTATATGAACTTTCCTATAAGTTTCCTTTTCTTCTTGTGTGTCTACATGTGTTTGCCAGGTTCATGGCGAGCTAGATACAAAAATTGGAGTTCCATGTTATTTAAGTGCAGTTATGAGACGCTTCTACCCGGATGTATGTACTCATTCTTAGTGGTTATGGCAATTATTGTGAGAAGTTATACAAATCTTTCTGTCCTTACATTAAGTTGACATATCTGATAATCGTCTATAGTTATCGGCCAGCCTTGGATTTGGGTTGCACTATAATGGACAGGAAAAGTTCCGTTATAGCATGCAGGGCAAGAAGGCATTTCCTGTGACAACCAATGGATTGTTAAGCTTTAATATCAAGGGGCGATATGACATTGATAAAGAATTTAAAGAGGTTGGTTTTGTTCTGTCTTAAAAGAATTGCTATGATACATGAGAATTGATCCTCAACCTTCGTAATAAAGTTTGCTGGAGCAGGACACCTTTTTTTCTTTCCCCAATCCTATTTTTTTTATTTAAAAAAAAAAAAAAATTGAATTAATGAAATTTCAGATTCTTGTACTGCGTAACTTTATGTTGTTCACTTTTTTAGTCAATTCAGTAAATGCTCTAAGGGTGCACGATCCATGCGAATTCATCAAATTGAATTCATAAAAGCACATTGCAAATGAAGTTCCCTTCATTTTCTCCCATACAGGATGACACGGTGTAAAATGAAGTGTTGGACATTAATCTTTTTTATTTTTTATTTTTGGTGGTACTTATATATGGTAATGCTTAAACAGAGGACACCGAGTGGGGCTGCTGAATTTACTTTAGGCATACTGAATTTTCAGAAAGACCAAGATGTAAGGCTCAAAGTTGGCTGTGAAGTCATTCAGGAAAAAGCCATTAAGGGAAAAAAAGTTAGCAAAGTCTTTAACATGGTACATTTCCTCGATTCGGTACTTTTCAGCATAATTATGCATTTTTCGTCTCAAAATTTGCGAATTCAATTAATTGTGAAGTCATAATTCCCTTCTCAAATGCAATCATTCTGTGTTTTTATTTTTTATTTTTTTATCTTTACATATTAAATCACTTTCCCGTTGCACTGTTGGTTTTTTATGAGCCAATATTATTATTATTTTTTGACGTGTATCTCTTAATTGCATATTAGTTTCCTTCCGGTACCCGTTCTTCTAATATTTGTTTTCCTGGAGTGGACAGTGTTGTTTTTGAATATAAATCCCAATAGCCAGATTGCATCTAACAACAGTACTGGGCCCAGCACTATTGCATGCATCACTCCCTGTGGGTACCTACCATGGTGTTTCAGAGTCTCTTTCATTGCAGTGTTTAAGTGGAAGTTCAGAAATTATGAAACAATGACTCTGGCTGTGGTTGATAGCTGCAAATTCAATAAAAGAGGAAAAAAGAAGTTGTTCAATGGATCCCAGGACTTAAATTAACTGAAACGTTTTACGTGTCATAATCATCGGAATTTCTTGGGCAGCAATGAATTAAAATCGTCAAATGACTTTCTTTTTCTATATATATACATACATGTGTGTGTGCTCAACTCTACATTATCTTTATAATATAGGATTTTGTTCAATATTGGAAAAGAGTGATCACACCAGAAGCTCAAGGCTCTGTAACTATTTGATTAGAAGGAATATCACAGGTGGGGTTGAAAGGTTTATTATCTAATGAAAAAAATAAAAAGGTTCGATCTTGAATAATATTTTGGCCAGTATGAAGAAAACTCGGAATTAATAAATTAACTCCACCGCACTCTCCAATAGTTTGTTACCCTCTGATCCTTTCGTATATTCATATGTTCTTTACAGGAAAAAATCAATTCTTAATGATTAGCTTTAAATGCTTTAATCCGTTAAACTCTAGTTAGTTTCCTTGACTTCTGGACATCTGTGTTGTGCAGTATCTATCAATTCTTAATGGTTAGCTTTACAGGTTAAAATCCGTTAAGACTCTTAGAATAGTTTCTTTGACTTCAGGAGACATGCGTTGTGCAGAATGTGTAACATGTCTTTTGGTTTTCTTGAAGTTCATTATATTCACCTCTTCTGCTGAATTCACTTACCCCTCCATTTCAGGTTCCATACCTGCAGATCAGGGAAAACAATTGGACACTGAATGCTGACATCAATGGAAAATGGAATGTCAGTTATGACTTGTAATTGAGGGAGTGCTTGACATACTCTTTTGAAGGTGATATGTTATAGTTACAAAAGATATTTCTTATTTCTGATGGACAGACAGGTGCTGAAATGACCCTTATTGGTGGGGTTCGTTATCTTCTTATATGATAGGGGGGCCTCTTTTGGGTGGACCTTCTGTCAAGCTGACAAAGGGGTTTATATCTGCCTCATATAACATTTAATTAGATTTTTTTTTATCTTGGCTCGAATGCTCTGTAAGTTGAGGAAATTGTCCTCATGGCGGGAGTTAGGCGGACAATGTTTGTTGAATGCTGAATATGTAGTTTATTAGGGAAAACTTCAATCATTAAAATCTCTCTATTTATTTTTTATTTTTATGTAATATACTTTGTTCTAAATATATGTCTCTCGTTAAATTTTTTACGTAATAGGTTTTCTTCTAAATATATGTCTTTATGGTCCCTGAATCTGCCTTTCTTACCTTTCCATAGCCGATAGGAGTTGCTTTCTTCCATTTACCACTTATTCCTTCTTAGATTTCTTTGGCTTCTTATCCCAACTATCTATGTTAAAGTTAGGTAGGGTAGGGACTCTCTCTCTCTCTTTATCTTTTGCACTCAACCACTTATATTGTTAAAAGGTTGTTAAGGGGCTGAAAACTTTGAAACCTAAGATAAGTTGAGTGCATAAAATAATTGGTAGGTGAGATAATCTTTTATCATTTACATTGAAACCTATGATATTATCTATAATAACAATATGATCCCTCTTTGCATTGCACTGCGCATCATCCATTTTCTCAGCTTAGCACCCCACTGCTTTAAGAACTTGTCACTTTATTTTTCTGTCATCCATGGTTTTTTTTTTTTTTTTTTCAGGTGCCGTTTCTTTCTTTTTCTAGGCATTGTCCGCCATTGTTCTGTCCTTTAAAACCAGGTGATGAGAATTGAAATATTTCTTCTTCTTTTTTTTTTTTATAATTAAATATAATCGACGTTCAAATTATTATTATTATTTTATGTGAAAAGAACCTTGTTTGTTTGAGAGGTTATTAGGGACAATGGTAAAGGGTGCAAAACTCGCAATTAATTAGTTTATTTAATGTCAATTTTTGGGTTGATTTATAGTGATTAGGGTGCTGTTGTATGATTTAGACGTTGGCGTGGGTGAGTTAGGCCACGAATTAATATCGAACATAGAAACAGAGTTGTGCATGCACATGGGTGCATATGGTTTGTCCTATTCAATAGTAGTTATGGGTGTCGAAAGGAATGTTATCCAACTTTTGTTGTCTCTTATTATTTGTAAAGTGGAAATGCATTTGATACCTTAATACAATAAATTTTGCCTCTTAATACATTTTTATTATTTGATAAATACACCATATTGAGTTTTGGAGCATTGAATTGGCATCCTAAATTTGGATTTAGAAGAAATTAGTTTAAAGACTCAACTAAATTTCTTTCCATTTTAAATTAGAACTCTAGATTCGCTCGCAAACACAGCAAGTGAGTAGTTGAAGTGTTGCAAGCAGTCAAGTTGTTTTGTTTTGTTTTTTTGGGTTTTTTTCTTAATAAAAATTTGTAAGTGATGGATCACTTGAATCATTCCACTGTTAGTTCCCGTGAATTCTCTTTTTTCAATCTATTCTATTATACGTTATGTCTCCTCATAGGTTAAATTTTTTGAACCGTGCAAGTGTTGGTTGGCATAGCATCCTCATACTGTTTTAAATGTCCATCCGGGAATTAAAAAATGTTTTGTAAAGGTGAAGCAACAAGATTAAAAAAAAGTCCAGTGTATTTTCAAAAACCGAGTCAAATGAAATAGCCCAAAAAAGGGCACTTTTCAGAAATTTTCATGCTTTTAATTTGTTATTACACTAGGCTTTTATTGTGATTGGTTTAGAAAAGTTTGGAGTTGGTAGTATGAAAGAAAATTAGGGAGAGAAAAGATGTCTGTATTACAGGATAAGTACGAGAGGAAAGGATCCATGTGACTGGGTGTGCAACATGTTGCTGTTGGCAGTCTTTATTACACAATTTCTTTTGCTTGTCACGTGCCTTTTGTTTTCACTTTTTGTTTTTGGGATCTATAACCTAACCATGAACAAGATTGATTTGGCATTGGGTATTGATACATAGGGCCATTTTCACACTTAAAAAGGGCCATTTTCACACTCAAAACTAGTTTCAAGTGGACCCGTTTTAGTTAAACTTTTTTTCCATTTCATCATCACTCCAAAAACAGATGACCCAACTAAATTGTGCAGAGAAAATAACAAGAAAAAATTGGCTTGATTTGCCCCTCATAAAACAGAAAACTAATTTCGGATAATTATAAATGATAATTTATTCAAAAATAAATATTTTCCTAATGGAGTTTTTATAAAATAGTTTTCAAAAACCGTGGATCAAACATATTTTTGTACAATATTTTACTTTTTATTTATTGAAAAAGAGAGCTATTCTCGAAGACTGAATCAAGCTTAAGTTTTGTGGTTTTTAATGGAGGGAAAGCTATGATGGAGTTGTTCTCATTGGAGGTGCGTAAGCTTGTTCATTCGGCCATTGGAGTCGCACCTTTATGACATGATTGGATTCCTTCAATCATTGGTGTTTTAGAAGAAAATAAAATGGTCTTCCAAAATGTCTACGAATTCTTCTTTGCGGTCGAAAATAGAAGGCAGACGCGCACCTTTAACAACATTCTGGTGGTGCCCAATGCCATTCTATAGCTTGTTATTTGTTTTCAACGGTGTTTCAAAATATTATTTCAAGGTAAAATTGAGTGACAATTAAGTTATACAATTCCTTTAAATTAGTGTCGCTTTCATGTTCATGTTTTCAGTCTATGTAATTTAGATTTTGCTGTATTCGCGCTTACACTTTCGCTCTGTGTTACTTAAGGTGATCATGAAATGTAAACTCTTAGTTCTCCTGCATTTTAAGAATGTTAAAAGGATATAAATGATGTATTTTTAGATTTTACAAATATAAAAGAAAAAAGAAAGAAAGAAAAAGTGACGGGTTTTGTAAAATTACTATTGAGACAATATTTAAATTCTCATTAATGAGGATTTATAACATACTCACGGTTGACGTAGAACAATAATAAATTAACATACGTAAATACATGCCTAATTTGATTGTTTAGAATGATAGCTTGAATTAAATGTTGGTGGGACTTTGTTTTACTCAGTACTAAATAAGTTTCTAAATTAAGAAACACTCCATGAAGTGGAGCATTGAGGCAGAGCAAATGGTGGCATAGAATGGAAAAAGGAGGTGTAATCATAGTTAAATTTTTGGATGATAAAGTGGTTGTTATCTTATCTCGGACAAGAAAAAGGTAGTGCCATTATTATCTATGGTAACAAGATACGAGTAGACTTGCCCTACGCACTACCAAAGTTGTCAATTCACTTACACTGGCTTAGAGAAAAAAACAAAAATAGAATAACTCAAATAAATGCGTAGATGAATTGGATAGGATCAAAGTTTTAGACTCGAGAATTATTAAGAAGTACGTCAATATCATGTTTTGCAGTTCACACAACTGAAATCGAGGCTTTCTTCATGAACAACTCCATATTCTACCACATGCATGTATAGTCTCTTAGTTCTACATATATTAGACAATTACCGATAATAAGAATGACATTAGGTTATTCTCTAGATTACAAACATGTCAATACAAAAATAATTATATTTAGGCCGAAATATTCAGAAATGATGTATTGTGGAATTTACGGTGGGATCCTTTCTTTGTGTCTGTCTAATTTCAGAATAAAAAATAGCAGGGGTATAGGTGAAGAAAAACTAGGACAAGGGTGCCTATTAAAGAATTATAAGTTTAAATTTGGGTTGGATTACCAAAAAAAAATTATCATGTTCTTTTAACATCATTGAAATTAAGGTTTTCTTTTTGAACGATTTCATATTCTACCACATGTATGATGTAACTATAGTCTCTTAGTCTTACATGTACTAAACTACTAATAATAAGAATAATATTAAATTATTCCTTGAATTAAAAATGAGAAATGTTTGAATTCAAAAAATAATTATATTTAGGCCAAAGTCTTCAGAAATGATGTATTGTGGAATGCATGGTAGGATCCTTTCTTTGTGTCGGTTTAATTTCAAAATAAAAAATATCAGGGGTATAGGTGAAGAAAAACTAGGATAATGGTGCCTGTTTAAGAAATATAAGTTTAAATTTTGGTTGGATTACCCAAAAAAAAAAAATTAAAATTAAAAGGTTTGGTTAAACCAGCTAACATGTTCCTTATAAAAGCACCAAAAGTTCATTATGCATAAAATGAAAACGTTAAAAACTTGAAGAAGGTAGAATTCTTCTCTCTCACACAGACACACACAGAGCTCTCTTCACATGAATGATGAGTCCTCGTTCAAGAATTCTAGGAAGTGTAAATTCGACGACGACGGAGTCGCCGGAGGTCAACACCGTCGACTCGGACTTCGTCGTCATCCTTGCTGCCCTCCTGTGCGCCCTAATCTGCGTCCTCGGCCTCGTGGCGGTAGCTCGATGCGCCTGGATTCGCCAGATCGCGGGCAGAGCCGCCGGCCGTTCAGCTCCTCCGCCTCCGGCGAACAAAGGCCTGAAGAAGAAGATCCTGAGGTCGCTTCCTAAAGTCACGTACACTGTCGAAGACGCCGGGAAATTCTCCGACTGCGCTATCTGCTTGGCGGAATTCGTCGCCGGGGACGAAATCCGAGTGTTGCCGCCGTGCGGCCACGGATTCCACGTCGGATGCATCGACACGTGGCTCGGATCTCATTCGTCGTGCCCGTCGTGTCGTAAGATTCTGGTGGCTAGGTGTCAGAAGTGCGGTGGCTTGCCGGCGAGCTCAGTCGCCGGAGCTGAGACTGAGGCCCGATTGAAACAAAGAGAAGATAATATCAATAGGTTCTTGCCTTAGCTTAGAAGCTTTGTTTAACCTTTTTAAATTCTTCAAGCAATTAGGGTTTGGAAATGAAAATTAGATTGTTCAGAATATAAATCTTTACATCTGTACATAATATATATTCTGAACCTACCCCCAAAATTTTATATATATATATATATATATATTCTGTAATATTTATGTAGAATTTTTAGTTCCTTGTTTGTGGTTACAATTTTTATTTTTCTGTTTTTATGACTTGTGTTGTTACAAAAAGTTTATGTGGATCAATTTCATTTTCTTGCATCTTAATTTTTTTTTTTACTGTAATTCCAAATGGGAAAGTACAAAAAGAGGTACTATATATGTTCTAATTTTAGGTGACCCATGGAATCAATTAAAGGAATGGGACCAAGGTTTTTTGAATTTTGACATTGATTTTACTTTCAGGTCAGATTAAATGGCCCACTTAACAGTTATTTTATCTTAAACCTTCAAAAAGTAAGTGGTTTGGCAAGTAATTTTCTTATTTAGTTCTTCAATCTCACTTATAGGAAGAGTTGATTGGAATTGGAATTAAGAAAGGAAAATAATTCTTGTACTAACTTGTACTGAATGATTGCAGTGAATTGTTAGACGTATTATTTTAATTGGTCAATTATATAATAAATGAGAAAATGAAACCCTTCACTTATTTATATTGAGTATAAATAGTCAATTAAAAATTATTTAATTAGGCATTTCATTGTAAGTATTATTGTGTCACTAGTCATTAAAAAGAATTTAGTTTAAAACTTAAATTAAAAATTGAGTAGTTATTATAGTGAATTGTTTAACCGAATAATTTTTAATTAGTTATTAATATCAAATACAACTAAGTGAACGGTTTTAGTTCTTTATTTATTGTATAATTGACCAATTAAAAAAGTAGGTCTAATAAATTATTGCAATTATTCGGTACCAGAATTATTTTTTTTTAAAAAAATTAATTTTTAATTTAATGCGCGGGTCAAATATAGTATGTACTCATTTGTTAGTGGAGTTTAGCTTCAAACTTATTATTGGCTACGAAGTTCAGTTTTTAAAATTTGTCACCAAATTTGAGTTCGCGAATAATGTTGAAATGAGAAAAGAATAATCTTAGCTCGATTAATTTGCAGTAGTACTCATAAATGCAATTTATTTTGTCTGAATTATGTGACACAAATAATGAACTTGTCGTTATAATCTTGGTTTATTCCTTGCATAATTTTTATTTTCATTCCTATTGGCTTTTGGGGGATGAAAAGGTCAAAAAGAAAAGGACTTCCCAAGTTAAAGTAGTAATCATTTAAAAAAACCACTTTCAGGTTTTTTCACTTTTATACAAAAGCATCACTTTAAACTTCTATAATAGAAAATTATCCCCCTACCTTGGAGTATCGATTATGTGGTGATTTTTGATGAATATATAATTATTTTGCTTAATTGAATGAGAGTAAATTTTACTCTCGCTAAAAATAAAATAAATAATTTGAACAACCTTCAAATAAATGATTGCCACAAACTCGATGCCACTGGTATCCAAGAAGTATTATGCCACATAAAAGGTAGAATATACTGTTTTCACAATAATAAAAAAATGGTTGCATCCACAACCTGTTTTTCATTTATTTAATACAATGATAATGGTCGTTCATTTTTTTTTAGGGAATGTTCAACCTTTCAAAGTGTTTCATAATTTATCATCGCAAACGTGACGGATCTATATTGAAAGTATTGGAGACAATTACCCTCAATATATATATATATATATATATATATATATATATATAAGTAATCTATATTTACAATTTATTTATTTTCAGTAATATATCCTAAGTCTTATAAAGCAGAAGAGGGAGTAGAAGCGAGAGCGAATTCGAAAATGGGAGCGTGAAAGCGACAGAATTAAATCATAAATAGTGAGAATTTGAGGCAAAGCGCGCGCGAAGCGTAAGAGCGGGAGTGTACTTGGAGCATGAGAGCGACATCCGTTGAGAAGGATTGTGTGACTTAGAATATATCCATGAAATATTACATTTGCGCTTCCTAAAATTATTTTAAAAATACATTATTACCCCGCAAAATTCAATTTTGTCCCCTACCTTATGTCCTGTCTACAGTCCTAATTGGACACATCTAATTTTTTTGTCTTACGTGCACTAAGCAATGGACACACGCGGTCTTTCCATCCCCTATGTAGTGAGCAATTATTGCATATGTCGTCCTCACATTTGGTACGTATTGAACAATTATTTAAAAGAATTCCTTAAAAATAAATTTGAAGAGATTCGAATTCTAAACTTTGAAGATGTAAAATTGATTAAATTACAAAAGTAAACCATTCGTAAAGGTTTTTTTTTAGTATTCTCTCGCCTCAAATACAAGAGGGGAATGGTTAGCTCCTTTTTATAATAACCACTGCAATAATAGTAAAATATTGAGTATGAATATAGTCACTATTAGTAGTATAGTGGTAAAAGTTGGTCAAATGCATAGCAAAGCGAATTTGTTCTTGACTTCTTGTTTACATAAACAACTGACAACTACCATCAATAGTCGGCAAAACCACTAATTAAGCTACTAAAAATGGTAATCAATACAATAATTTGAAGATATAATTAATTAGTACCAAAATGTCACCAAAAACAACTAACTAAGATAGTGTTAGTTCAACTTATTGGAATTATTAAAAAAATAATGGACTATTATTCCCTTTTATTCGGAGCCGTCCAACAAAATAAGATGGATGGCCCACCAAAATGCCACTACAGCCTAATACATTGCCACCACGTGTGCACTCATAATCCTACGTGTAACGGTTACACCTATTAGAATGCATGGCCGCAAATCATGCTCTTGAGGGTGGTAATATTTTTGTTGAATTTTTTAAATCCCATATAAAACAAAAACATTGTGACATTTTTGTAACACATGTTACCAAATATGTTATTTATTATTTATTATTATTTTTTTTACCAATTTGATAATAAATATACCAAACAAAAATGATTGCCAAACATGTATTCAATGTCCATAATTTTTTTTTTTTAATTTTATTTATTTAATTAATTTTTTTTGTAGACAAACAAGATTGATATGCATGCTTGTAAACAAAAAATTAGATTTATTTTTATTTATTTATTTTTTCAGTTAAATTAGAAATTAGAGGTGCAAAGGTTCGAAACCGAGCTTCCAAGGACAACATGAGCAATCCAACCAGTAGGATGCCTTCACAAAAAAAAATTAAGGATGACAACGAGACGGAGTTGGGTGGGTTTGGCTAAACCTTATTCCGTCCCATTAGAAAATTCGTTATACTAACTCCACTCCGATTCCGAGACGGGTTTATAATTGGTATACTATCTCCACTCCGATTCCGGCAAATAAAGTACCGACTCTACCCCACATATGCTGTTTAATTGGGGGACGAGGTGAATTATGCCACTTTTATTATTTAGTAAATAAAACTAACCCAATGTACTTAAATTGGGCTGATAAATAAGTTGGCACAACTTAAAAATTACCAAGTAGTGAATATTTAATATATTAACCAACATTTTCAATATTAAATATATATTTATAATTTTTTTAAAGGTACATATATAATCGAGGCGGGGGCGGGTTGGATTCATTAGTAAATCTGCCCCTGCCCCATACCCTCTTCGGTTTTCAATTTTTTTTTTTATCATACTCGTCTCAAACCCGTCTAGGGGCTATCAAATCTATCCTATTAAAGGGCGGGCAGAGCGGAAATACGATGGTATAAATTGACATCTCAATGTTAGCGCTAATCAATATATGATGATAATCATGGTCATGTTAATCATAACTCCTTACACTTCTATCTATCTTCATTAATCAACAAATTAAACATAACTAATTACTGTAAATCCTAAAATTAGAATGTATGACTCGAAATCATGATCATAATGACAAAAGAGATTAATTCAGGACTTATTAATTGGCAAAGTTTCTGTTGAGGTTTATTTTTAGTGCACATAAGACACAAACCAAAAATTCGTTGCACGTCTCTCAAAAAAGAAAAAAGAAAAAAGTAAAAGGAAAAAATATGTTTGCATTATTGTAAAAATATATTGTATTTTTTAATATATATATAAAATAAAAAATCTACCGACAATTGTATAGCTAAAATAACAAAATCACATGAAAGCATTCTTATTTTGTTTCAAGATTCAGACATTTTTTTTTTAAATAGTTGACACCATACAAAACGTAACAAACATTATTTGTTTATATTTCTCTCATTTCACAACATAAACATTAAAAAAAAAAAAAAAAAAGTTATCAAAAGCGCCCTCAATGTCTATCATTTTTAATTTAATTTTAGATAAACCGGATATGTTTGCTTGAGAAAAGAAAATTAGACATGATTTACGTTAATTATATGATAATCATGGTTATGTTAATCAATGTTATAGAATCAATTTGTTCTTTTTCCGGAATAATTTGAACATTGGCACGAAATTTTTTTCTTCATGATAAATGGCCTACTAGTTTGGTGGTACAATGAATATGAATTGAACCGGATGAAAGTGGTTACCGAAAAAATGGACATGCATTTGGAATGAGCAAGATGCCGTTTATTGCTGAATTGTCACCATTTTTTTTTTTTTTTTTCCTTCCTTCCAGCAAGATTGAAGGTTTCACGTGTTGTGCATGCTTTGGTTTTTGATTTGCTAAATCTTGGGAATTAATGCTTTGGTTGGCGTTTTTGTCGTGGGTCCGTTACAATAGACAGCAAGTCCGTAACCTGTTTAGTAAATAATTTTTTTTTTTTTGTATAATGTCAAAACATTTTGTAAATAGTGTTTCAGGGTCGAAATATCGATTTGATATTTTTTATATGCTTTTGCATAGTATCAACGGGTATTGTAGCAATGCACAACATCTAATTATTATTATTTTAAAATAAAAAAAATTCTGAAATAATCTTTTTAACTAGTCGTCAGTGGTATATTTTAAAAACTTGCAACCATGATTCGCAATATCGATCACGGTCACTGTGTAACGGATTCTGACAAAGTCGGTGTAAATTGGCCGATACTAATCGTTTATCAGACTTAAAAAATGATTACGTATCGACCCATAAGTTGAATCATGCACCATTACCAAACGGGGTCTCATAATCCATGACTTTATTTCAAAGCAAACCCTACATTAATATTATCTCACAGTATCTCGTTTTAAAGTAAGTTTGGTTGGAGGTATCAATTAGTCAAAAATTAGCTGGAGTACAGTTAGACAAGGAGTGTTCACTAATCAACGGGCCAGTGACCTAACGATATTAGCCTCTTATTTTTTAAAGGGAGATTAAGGATTCAAGTGTCAGAAGAGACAAATGTATGTGAGTACCAATTAAAAATAAATAAATAAAAGAGTGTTTACTATACACTAATCAAGAGAAGCTTGTTGTATTAGGCATGTGAAAAGAAGGGGAAAACCAAACCTATTCTCTCCTTGAAAGAGAAAGGAAAAAGCTGAATACTTAGCACGAAGCGCAAACACTTTTCTTTTTTTAAGAGTGTCACAGTGGCTCAGGCATGTGTCTGTCACGTCTCAAATTGTTGTGAAATTTGAAATTTTTTATTTTCGTTGGACGCGGTTGGAACACGGGCAAGACATGACGGAAAGTTGCTTCAATTAGTTGTTTTATTTATGATAATGTGGAAAAATTCTTTATGTAGAATACTATATTATATATTATTATTTTTTTGACGTATTACTATCATTTTCATGTTTTATTTTATTCAAATTTATTAAATCGGTTCTTTCTTTAACGTGTTACATTTGAACGTTGGGAATTCGAAACTCCTCGAAACCATTTGAGAAAAATTTAATTCTGGTGTATATGGAACAAGGAATTGCATGTCCACAACACCATCGTCCACCAAATAAAAAAACAAAAAAGAACTGTCCAAAGCCATCAAAGGCCAAGTTTGTTGGGCTGTCCAAACAGAACTTAAAAGCATATAGATTGGGAAATCAAGATGGCCCTCCCAACAACAAGAACATCGACCCACCTTGTCTCTATAGTCTATACCAAACATGAAGTCCAGTGGGCTAGCCCAATGCTTGAGCAGGCTCAATTATTGGCCCAGTTGTCGCCGTCTCGAGCTGATGAAATGAAAAATCAGAAATATATTGTCCGCGCAGCCAAACAACCCATTTCAGAATCCATGGAACTAGCTAAGCTGGAGAGTGAGTAGAACCGGTTGAAATTCATCTCGCAAAACAAAAGGGTAACCCTACAAACCCTAATTCTTATATACTGGATTTCGAATCATAACCCTAATACATATACATATATACATGTATATTGGCAGGATGAGATTTTTCCTTGTTCTGTAATGGCATCAATTTGGACTCTCCAACTTCACACCGTTTCTTTTCCGGTAAAAATCACATTCCAGATTCTTGTTCTTTTGCGCTTCAATCTCTCGCTGCTATATAGTATATGCGTGTAATTGCTTTTGTGCCATCATCATATCTTACTCTCATTCAATTTGTATTTTGAAGCGTCGATTTCCCCCAAATGTACTGGAAATTAGAACCTTATTGGGGTTCAATTGTGGTTATCTGAATCGGAATCGAAGGAAGACATGTCGAAAGTTTGTTTTGAGAGCCTCAAGCGATTCGGTGAGTTCTGGTGCCGACAAGCGAGTAGAAGATGAAGTGGTCATCGAGACGAAGAGAGATAAACTGGTGGGCTTTAAAAATCGGGTTGAAAGATTGCAGCAAACAATTGGCTCTCTTCCTCATATAATTTTGGTGGTAATTTGTTTCTCTATCTTTTATCTGTACTAAAATGTGTTGTCATGGCATTAATCAATGCATTCAATTGGAATTCTTTGTTTTTGAGCGTGCAATGGCAGGTTTAGGCACCCTTGCGAAAGTAGTTAAGACCATCCTCCGTTTGGTGTGTATAGCTAAGTATTACATTGTAGGGTGTTAAGGAATCAACAGCTTCCAATTTTTCGGTTGGCGTTTGTCATTGAATCGTAATGATAACCCCTTTCTCCATGGCACATTGGGATGAATAACCGGACAGACATTTTCGTAATAGTTGCCGCTGAACCTTCATTAGTACATCTATTCACCGAGTTTGGACTTTCCTTGCATTTGTGTCAACACTTGATTAGGAACTATCATCCCAAGCCCTGCAACTCATCCTAGGATTGTCTTTGGAGAACTTGTAACAAAAACGTACTAAAGTAGTGGAATAAAAAATCCAAATTGGTATGTTTCATAGCACATTCTTCCACTATGGTATTTATTTGAAACAAAAATTAGCATTTTGCAAAGTGTTTAATTAGTGAAAATTTATGTCTATGGCTGTTCTAAGAGGTGGCATATGAACCAAGTGAGTGATGGAAGCAAGATTGGCTTTCCATGATGGGGAAACATATATAAATATCTTATATCAGGCTGCTTTCCATGACCGGAAACATAACTAATATTCTATTGAGTTATGCTTGTTTGATTAGCTTCCTTGATTTGGAATGTGATCTAGAATTTTGAAGTTTGAACTTTGGTAGTTTATGCTTATGTTGTTTGTCCTTTCTTCATCTCAGAAGAAAAGTCATTCTGGAACTAGTTTTGCAATTGGGATATGTGTCTTGGCAACTATGTTGGCTATTGCAGTGAGAGTTCATGCCTTGAGGAAATCAAGGTCCAATCGTCCAGGAACGGTAGCTGATCTTGTGAGGCGTGGCCAGCTGAGATCCGATAGAAGAGGCATGTATGATTCGAACTCTTACTCTCTGACAAGTGAGTGTGTGTGGGTTTTAACAGATTTACTTTCAGTGGTTTTGAATTGAAAACGCATTCACATAGCATACTATGAAGTTTAAATGTTAGCTCATCCACTTGTAACCTCAATAATGCCCATGGATTTTAGTACATCCCTGGGACTTCTGTTTTAATATGCAGATGTTTTGCTGGTGTTCTAATTTTGTTACAAGCCAAATTCACATTTCATCTATAATGCTTGTGTTGCATGATTATGATTGGTGCTCCACATGAAATTTCTTCTTCACAGTTCTACACCTCTCAAGTACGAAGACCCATTCAACAACCCAATGGTGAAGGTTGGTAAGAGTAATTCCACTGTCGAAATGTGTGGGAAGGTTTATCGCTTAGTGCCAGTGACTCTTACAAAGGAGCAACAAGCTATACATCAAAAAAGAAGATCACGTGCATATCAGTGGAAAAGACCAACATTATTTCTTAGAGAAGGTGATTCAGTACCCCCTGATGTGGACCTTGATACAATTAGGTGGATTCCTGCAAATCATCCTTTTGCGACTACTGCAAGTGATATTGATGAAGATTTGGCACAAAACAATGTGTATCAAAAGCATGGTGTTCCATTCCGTATTCAGGCTGAGCATGAGGCACTGCAGAAAAAGCTTGAAGCTCTACAGAATGTAAGTACATATAGCACCTTGTGGTTTACTTTACCTGGAAGGTGAAAAATACAGCTCTGGTTTCTAATATTTTTTAACATTCAATGCATATAATTGAGCCTACTTAAACGTCTGGATAATGCATCCAGTATCAGTGAATTGACATTGAGCCTTTAGCTCGAGTGGCATCTGTGCTTCGTCCCATGTGGAAGGTTGAGGGTTTAAGTCTCCTTTGAGGTAATAGTGGCCAGTGGGTGTGAGTGTTAGTTGGGTGTATGCAATTACCACTTACCATTTTGCTGGTGGAGGTCCACCAATTACCATTTTTATCGTGGACCTTAAAAAATACTTATTGAATGAATGCCAAAACACTCATTTTATGTCGTCGTTTATACGTTTGATCGTATGAAGTCTTAGTTCTTTGGAAATCCTACACGAGAACCCAACAAAGTGCCGCCACACAGGTAGAGTATTATGTAATTTGTACAATTAATATGTCAGGAACATCCCAATCAACTTGTACTTATAAATATTGTGGGTATATCACAAATGGGTCTTATTCAAAATTTTTATGTGGTAAGTAATTAGAATGATTTAATGATTTAGATGCGTCTGGTTTTATTTTGTTATATTGTCATATAATAAAAGCTTTTTCGAAAAATGTAGAAAGTTAATGAAATAGGTGGTCCTAAATTATATGTTCATAATAAATTTTCATAAGCAATCACCTCAATGGACTTATCTCTTTATGCGCCTCTTTGGTTCAGATATGCCACATGTATGATGTTTCAATGAATAAAAAAATAAGAAGGAAATAGTTCACATGTAAATTTTTTTCTGGTTAAGGCCCCTCTTTTAGGTGAAAGGGTTGGTCTTTTGTTACTTCCTTTTTCAAGGACTTATATTTTGGACCACTGATGATGTTAGCAGGAAATATGTCTTGTTAGTCATTAAAAAACACAACATTCAGTAGCAGACACGAGAAATTGGACAGAAATATATAGGGTATAGAGGTATGATCATGGTTGGTGCTCCACCAAATTTTCTTGATATTTATTTAGATTCTAATGCATGATGTCACTGTGCCATCTGGTTTGTTTTTAGTACTAGATTTTAAAGTGATCTACTGCAAGTACAGAGTCAAATGTGTGTAGTATGTGATGGGCAAAAACACATTGTTAATGCCCTTTCTCAACCACGGCCAACCTGTTTGATTAGCTTGGAAAGTCTTGAACAAAATTTATAGAATTGCTTGATTTTTTCTTTGTTTTTGTGTTTCTTATTGTATATGTTCGTTTGGGATTTTGATGTGTACCCTTTAGTTTATGTATGATAACACATGTAAACAAAAGATGATAATTTGTTTACTATGCATGGTTACCTGGGTTTTGGTGACCTCTGCACCCAATCTTGCATCACCTATCTTTTAATAAAATTTACATGCGTGTTTACAGGAGCAGAAATTCAACAAATTATTTATTGATCCTGGTGCTGTCAAAGAGTTTGAAAGACCATTTAAGTCGAATTTGAGGCCAGACGAGCATGTAGAACCGAGCCCATCTAATGGTGATGTTGGCTCTAAGCCTTCCAAATCAGATCATGCTCCTAGTTCCTTTAAAAGCAGCAATTCAACCTATGAGGAAACGCAGAAACCCTAAGCTACAATTGATTTTCAGTAATATTCTCTGTACCTGCAAAATCAAATGACTCTGATGTTTTGACTTTTGCCAAAGACAAATCCTGCATTCCATTTGAGATTGACTCCTGTTTTTTCAATCCCACTGCCACCATAATCTTGTTGAAATAGCTACGGTTGGACTGTAAATAGGATTTTGTGTTTTATACATTTAAGCAGAATTTGTGGATTTCTTTATTGCAGATTCCATTGTATATTTGTGGAGAAAGTGTTTATGTGCAACACTTGGTTCAACTCCATTTTTCTGACAAATTTTCATACAAGTCGCAAATCGATGCACTCATGTTATTTACCACCAAGGATATTAGGTTTATATACAGCCATGGGTACTTTTTGCTACCTGAATCACTGCCTTTTGCTTATTCAGGCGTTCTGAAATTTGGGAAACGAATCATAGTTCAAGCTGAGAGGGTTTTGTTCTAATGTTTTAGTTGCAAATTTAGGTTTTTGATTCCATAGTAATGAAGGATTTGATTTCCTCATAGCGGTCTAGGTAGGAAAGAAAACTTCGAAAAATATGAGATGTAACCTAAGTTTGAGAATTTTACATGCAAGGTAGACTTGGTTGCTATGGATTGTTAGAAGAAACCACGCAAAATTTTGATTGATGAAATATGCCCTTTGAACTAAATGTTGCTTTTTTGGGAGCTCTGCTTGGCTATGATTTCCCACGTGTGGAGCGATCTCATGTGAATGATCATATCCTTTCATTGCAGAAATCACATGTGTGGAGCGATTTCACATGAATGATCGTATTCTTCCATTGCAGTACAACACGGTGTTGTGTATTACAGGATCCTTGGTCGAAAACATATTGTGTTGGATTGATCTAAAATCTTCTCGCGGATCTCATGTGAATGATCATATCTTTCCATTGCAAAAATCAAATCGCATCTGTGGAGCGATCTCATGTGAATGATCATATTCTTCCATTGCAGTACAACACGGTGTTGTATTGCAGGATCCTTGGTCGAAAACATATTGTGTTGGATTGATCTAAAATCTTGTCGTGGATAGCTAAATTTTAACTTTTGAGGTGATTTGAGAAGTGCCAATGATAATAAAAAAAAAAAATTAAAACAAGAAAATTGATTATTCAAATTTTCATTTTTTTTTTACCCTCTCTCGTCCCATGATTGTTGAAGTCTCTCTATCTAATCATCTTTGATGAAAACACTTTCAATCCCTACATTACTCAAAAGTGAACACTGGTGGTCATTTATAGGTGGAAATATATCAAAGGTTATGTTGTATTAAACGGTTAGATTCAGGATCTGATCTCATTCTATTACTTTCATTAAATTGAATTTGGTTTTATATTCTCATGATGATGTTTTAAAGTTCTACAAAATAAATCTAAGTTTCAACACTTTTTAATCCAAAATTCAAGATTCGAAATCTAATGTTTTTTTTTTTTTTTTTTTTTTAAATAATAAAAAATAAAACCATCACTTCATTTCATAAAAATAATTAAACACATAAAAATTATCCATACACATTATTTTTATATTCTCATCCATTGTTACCAAAATCGATCCAAATCGACTACTCCTTTGAAGAATTATGTCCAATTTATGACCTGGGTTTATCAAGAGGGCAACATGTTTGTTCATATTCTGAGTCAACAAGCTATGGTGAGAAAGGACTGGATTGTGTTGGATTTTGATTTTCCTGGTGCAGCTATAGAGTTGGCTTCTCCCTTGCTTGGCTTGGGAAATATATATACACACATACTCATATTCTCTAACACAAAAATTTTCAGATTTTAACACACTTAATTCCTCTTTTCAATTTATTATATCCAAAGCACTTAATTATTGATTCATAATTCAACACACTTAATTATGTATGATTAAATATACTTATTTTCAAACAACAACATTATGAAGTAAACACATTTTATTCAATACATTTAATAATTATAGAATTAAGCACACTTAATTTCATAATTAATGACATAATTACTGCAACATGAAGATATATTCATATGGGTTTTTAATGAATCATGTATTTTAGTTTTGCCCTCTTTTTGCATATGCAGCGATAGGAAGATGCGTCGTTTTATCATTACCATGTTCTTCTTCTTCAGAATGAGGAAAATTTCCATTCTTATGTGCTACAATTGCAGCGATAGGAAGATGCGCCGCCCCCACACTACCTTGTCCCTGAGGATTTATATGACTTGCTGCATGATATAGTGCCGCCATCCCATCAGGTCCTCTCACAAGTGCGGACCCATGGACAAATAAGAGAGTGAGAACAAAGAAAACTCTGAACAAGACCGCCATGAAGATTAATTAATCCTTCCTTAGAGGCTCTTGCCAAATCCACTCTGTTTTTTTTCCGCTTCCTCTTTGTCTCTATTTATACTTGCCATAAGATGCTTTCAGGGTCTGCCAACAATGCCTATATAAAGAAACTCCTCCTAAATTAATGTTTATTCTCCACAATACCTGCCAAAATAATAGTGTGTGTTCATACGTGTATGGTTGAATTTGCTACCCATGTCAAAGTCAATCATATGATTCATAACATTTACTATACATGTTGATACGATTATGGTTGGATAGTTATATAACCATATTATTTGACTGGATTTGAATTCTTTCTTAGCTTTCCCACTGATTGGGTAATTATCTAACCATACTATTTAATTGGGTTTGAGTTCTTTTTAGTTTTGGCAATTTAATTTCTTCTAGACGGATTATTATGGTATTGGAAAATGATTTGTAAATGAAAATAAACACTGTAAAACCAAATCGAAAGAAGTTAGCCTTTTGGTTAAGAAAAAAGACAAAAATAAATAGTTAGGTGTAAAATGTTTAGATCTCTTTTTCACTTGCTTCTCTCTGTTGCAATAACACAATTCTACATTTTATATGATGATTAGAAAATTAATGATATTCAGAATGTAGAGTTTGAATGAAATGGGAGAGTTGAAAACTCTCAATTCATTGGAAACACTCAATTGGATCTCACATCGATCACTATTGGAAATCTCTGGCTTCTATTTTATTCAAATTCTTTTGCCTTAAAAGTCATTTTCCAGATTACAATGCAAAAAATGAGATCAGATTTTTTTCGGTTAAGTGGACGAGTCTAACAACTTCCATCTTATCCATTAGATCAATTTGGAGCAGTAAGGAGCCATAGATGTATTTGTACTGCACCCACAACAACTATAAGTATATTCTTGAAAACATCTTGATGGAGTGTGTGTGTGTGGTGCTTCAACTAATTTTATCAGTAAATAAGCTTCTGTTAGACTACAAAAGTTCATCCTATTGAAAAGCTAGATATCTTCGAATAGAATGGTGTCCTAAGATTCATTGAGCCTACGATAACTATGTTGATAGAACATTGTGTCCATGCACCTGAACACATTTTTTTTTTTTTTTTTTTCTGAATAAAAGATATATATATACAGTGGTGTAGCCACAAAGGGACAAGTGGGGACAACTGCCCCCACTGAACTTTTAATTTTTTTTAATTTTATATTGATTTTTTTTTATTTTTTATTATTTATTATTTTTTATATTTGTATAATTGCCTCCACTAAAATTTGACAATGCACGTATATGTACTATATATAAATACACACACACACACACACACACACACACACACACACACATATATATATAATCAAATGACCATTCACGGTATTACACAAAAATGTATATATATAATCTTTCCAAAAAATATGATATTTTTTTTCTTCTTTCTCAAAATATTATATTCTTTCCCACTTTCCCCCAAAAATACAAGATATTCTTTCACATTTTTAACTTTACCACAAACAAATGCGTTGTTTTCATCACATTTTCAGTCAACATTTTTCTTTTAGCAAGTCTTCAACATTACAAAAATTCTTAAAATCCAAACAAATACTACAGTGCAGAGACAAGTAATCTGATATATATATATTTTTATCATCATCTAAATTTCAATTATTATGCCATGAATATTTTGAAAACTCGACTGCACAATTGAATGGAAGACCAATGGATGAATGATATGATGGTTGTGTATATTGAGAGAGATATATTTAATACTGTTAACAATGATGTTATTATTCAACACTTTCAGAATATGAAAAATCGTTGAGGGTAGTTGTGAATGTACTGAGTAAAAATATTATGAATCAATGTTTTAATTTTTACATATATTATTTTGGTTCAAATTATATATATATATATATGGGTTGTGATCATTGAGATAGCTAACAAGTTAGGCTCCTTGATATTTTATACCATTGTTAGATTTGATTTTATTGTATTGATGTGTAGGTGAGCTGGCTAATAAGTCATGACACGCTACTAATGCCATTATTCAATATGACATTTATTTATTGTTGTTATATATTTATATATATGTTGTTGGGGATAATTAACTCCCTCTAATCCACTCAATGGTTGGCTATTGTTGAGAGTTAAATCCCTCATTCATTACACATGGCGGAAGCATCATCACATCACATCAACACAAGTATATATAGAGATAACAATCGCACATCCACGCACCACACATTGTTTTACATAGCTTGCCCAAGGTTACGTCTATGGGCGAGAGAGATTTCACTATTATGAATCAAGGAAGAAAATATACAACCATATGTCAAAACCCACTCATTCACTCATCATCTCTTATGAGGCTACATGTATACACTCGGGAATTACATACACTTTCCATTCTCCTCACAACACTCACCCTTAAACCCCTTACATCTTTTCTCTCTTCTCTCTCTTTCTAAACCTCTCATACCCGTATCTATTTATGGAGTCTTCAAACCCAAAATGTTGAAAAAGTATTCCTCAACTTGCCTATAAGAAGTTACCATAATGATCAAAACTCTAAAATTGAAACATAACGGGATACACTTTCTTTTATAACTTTCAACCTTCCAAAACAAAATAGGAAACTAATTTTCTGCATAAAAATTTTGAACCACAAATCGAACAACCTCCACCTCGGCTCAAAATTCAATCTTCACGTGTTTCTCCATACCCCCAACTCGAATAAGGATCTCTTCATAGCTCCACCTTAAACAAGGATCTCTTCATAGCTCTACCTCAATTAAAGATTTATCCACTTTGAACAAAAGCATTATGATGAACTTGAGAAACACTTTAACAATCTTCACCTTTTCTCAAATTCATCATTCTTCATTTTTTCTTCCATCTTCTCTATCCACCCCGTTGGTGTTCAATTGCTCCCGCATGGCAACCCACCAATCTTCAACTCATCTTCAT